CGTCCGTGCAGCACTTGTACGTCATTCCTTGGATAAGACAGGATTTGTATTTGATAGGAGGAAGAATTGGACCTAATGGGAGAAATAATAACGGTTTTTAGGCTTCATTTCATCATCATGAATTATTAGTCGGTATAAGAGCAATTTATTTACTAAGGTCACCATCCGTCCGCGGCGGTTAGCGGCCTACTCACTTTTACATAATCGTCCTCTCTCTCTCGGGGGGTGCGGCAGTTATGCGGGATGATTGGACGGAGGAGGCGAAATTAAAATGTGCATAATGCCGTGCGACGTAAATTGGAAAACTAATTCACCTTGGCAGTGAATCTCGGTATTTGTAATTATGGACTCGTTGAGAGGAGGAGGAGGATTGAAGAAATTAGAGCGGAACGACGACGAAGACGACGACCACTATTAGTTGGCAGTGGCCGCGGAGGAAGCCGTGGGGACATTAATATTGTAGGATAGGGGGGAAGGGACGATTTTATATAAGATGATGTGGACATCGAACGACCGTGGGGACATTGTCCTTCTGTCCCCTCAAGCTTCCTTCCGCGGCCACTGTGCACCCTCCCTTTACGTCCCGCATCCTTAGTGGCCGCGGAAGCCGTGGGGACATTAACATTGTGATTGGTGAGGGCCTGCGGCTTATGTATATATGGGCAGATGACGTGGATGTGGAAATCGAACAACCGTGGGGACATTGTCCCCTCAAGCTTCCGCGGCCACTGTTAGATAGTTTGTAGTTCGAAGTACTTGTAACTACCGTGTGTGTGTGTATGTAGATCGGATTGGATTGGGGGAAAGGAGTGTGGGAAGTGGTGTGGAGTCGAATTTTGAAGGACTTTCTCCAATCCTTCCATCCTCCCACAATGTTTTGCGTATTATGTCACGGATTTAAAAGGAATATTATGTGATTTAATGATGTTTTCGTGTGGTACCTTTGGATCGACAAGTACTGCGTTTTACTCCAAAGCGACAGAAAGAGAAGGAAGGAGATCTCTGTCGGTGGAGATATTTTCTCTTTTTTTTGAGTGGAGGAAGAGTATCAAGTTACGTAGCTTTGTAGATCCGCCGTGTGTGGAAATCGAGCTGGGTAAAACTTGGCCAATTTTGCTTTGAGAAATTGTATACAGAAGGATGTTCTGTCGAAATAGAAATCAGGCAGGTTTTATTCTGGAAGAAATTTTAGCAAGGAAATTTGCACAGAAAAATTGGCGAATTTTTGATAGATCAATTTTTATACGGGGTGGTACAATGTTGAAAAAATCAGGAGAAAGTAAAAATCAGACACATTTTATACTGGATAAAATTTTAGCAAGAAAATTTGTACAGAAAAATTGGCGAATTCTCGACACATCGATTTTCATACGGGGTGGTCCAACATTGCAAAAAAGGAGAAAGTCTTTAAACTTTCTTCGTCGCAAAAGTCGCAAATTCGTCGCTATACGTAAGTAAAGTGGATGCGAATTTGTTGCAAAACATTTGCCGATTTCCTCTCCTTGCGTTTTTTTTCGCAACGATTTTGTCCACAACTCTGTCCATCCCGATGAAATCGGGGTATAAAGAAATTTCGAAAATTGACTCATTCATTGGATCCGACATTTATGCATTTCCTTCTTGTTTTCCCTCCACGAATGTCGTGTCCTTCCGAAATTTATTTATTTGTCGTGACTTTTGACCTTTTTCAGGCTGCCGGGAGAAAGCGAAGGCAGGCTTATGTACATGATCCGTTAAACTCATTGTAAATATATACTTTCTCCATTACATGGCCTCTCATGCTGTTCCATGTCTGTCTGCCTGGCTTAAAAAGTGTATGTATGTACGAGAACAGGGGCCGCGGAAGAAGTGTGGGGACATTAACATTGTAGGACAGATAGGGGAGAAGGGCCTGGTTTATATAAGATGGGGAGATGATGCCAACATTGAACAACCGTGTTGACATGGTCCCTCTACTTTCCGCGGTGCCACTGTTAGGGAGAAAAGTGTATATTTCTGAGGGACTAGTGGCCGCGGAAGCTGTGGGGACGCTAACATTGTAGGATAGGGAGAGGACCGGGTTTATATAAGAAATGGGGAGATGATGCCGACATCCAACAACCCTGGGGACACTGCCCCTCTGTCCCCCCACGCTTCCTTCCGCGGCCACTGTGCACGAATGGGATGTTTGTACTGTTTTTGTTGACGGGTACATATGAAGTGTACACAAAGGAGAGAGAGAGAGGTTTGGGTGGGTGGGTGGATGGTAGATTCGATGGCAGTGGAGAAAGCAGCACCGATTTTCAGAGTTTCGGATTCCTTTCCGTCGTCCTTTTACTTGTTGTTGGCTCTCTGCTTTGTCTCTCGCTACGTGGTGACCCTGACGTTCTTGCTTCCTCGATTCACACACATTTTGCAATATGATTCACAAAAGAGAAGGAAATAAATTGAAACACTTGAACAATTCATCTCATTTTCGGAGAAAGCATGTCCCTCCCGGGTATGATGAAAGTAAAGCCGGGCAGCCAACTGCCTACCTTACATGCATACATACACTCCACTTTGGTATTTATCATGATGGTCGTGGGTGGATGTGGATTATTCTCAGGATGAGATTTCTACTTGATCTCCTCTTACAAAATGTCAACGGGTGTTTGTCGTCTCCTCCTCCAAAAACCTACCGGATTGCGGGTTCCCTCTCTGTTGTGGGAATTTGGATGGGATGATGCCGAAATTTTGAGAAAAGTATGGATAACTAACCCGAGAAAGTTTTAGGAGAGAGGAACTGTTTCATGTTTTTTTTGTCGGCAAGTTTGGCCGACTTTCTCTTTTTTTGCTGGATTTCTGTTTGTTCCAAGTTACCAGGACATGGGAAGAAGAGTGAACAGTGGCCGCGGAAGGTGATCTGGGGACATTAACATTGAAGGATAGGGGGAAGGGAAAGGTTTATTTAAGATGATGTGACATCGAATAATCAACCGTGGGGACATTGTCCCTCTTTCCTTCCGCAGCCACTGGAAGTGAAAGTCGGCAACTTTTCCCTCCCTCGTCGTCGCCGTCGTCGACGGAGCAGCAAGTCCGTTGTTATTATTTGATTTGCATGCGAAATGACATATTTTCTGTGTTCTTTTACCAGGAAAATGAACCCCATCGTTCATATATATCTATGATGATCAAAGCATATTTTCGACTTTCCCTAAATAAATCGCATCTCTGTCGGGTCCTCCTCCACCTCCAAGTCCACATTTAGAATGCAAAGTTCGTCATTTCTCTTTCCACGTAACTCTTCCCTGGCTGGGTGAAGATTATAATAATAAATCTTTGCGAAAACGGGTCTGACTGTGGAGTGTGTTTTTTATTTGCGTACGTACTTGAATGAAAATAAGTGATGAGGCAGGAGGCAGGTAGCAAACAAAGCTACAAGACAAGAATCCGGGTATTAGTTTATGTATGTACAACATGAAAATTATTTTTGACTCTGGCCGGGATTATTTATGACGGAGGTGGTCGTGGTGGTGGTGGTGGTGGTGAAAGTAAAGTAAAAGGTGAGATGAAAAGCAGGTTAAAATAGGAAACCTTTTACACACACGGTTTCGTTTCATCTCTTCATCTCGTCGTTGTCGTCGTCGTCGTCAAACCCACGCATGCCACGGACACCTCAGAAGAAGAAGAGTGGATTCTATTTGATAAAATGTGTAATATAAAATCTTGTGTGAATTTAGTTATGTATGCGTCATTTTCTTCCCTGTCACATTCACACCTCGGGTCCTTCTTGTCGGGGCTCGATAATTGGAGAAAGTGCACTCTAAATGATGTGTCGGGATCGAGTTGGGAGGGGGTTGCAGGGTAGAGGTGTATTTACTGTTTACTGTTTACTGAAGTTTATTAAAATGTCGCAAATCATCAGAAAAAATCTGCTTTTCAGATCAAGACACGATTTACAGTGAAATATCATTTTTTCGATTTTGATGTATGTATGATAGCTTAAAATTTGCGAAATTGAAGAATCCGGAGTAAAAGGGCTGGGCCGGATTTGCGCTACAGGGAAAAATTCTGTGGAGATTCTTTTTCACAAATTTTAAGTAATTTAATTTTTGACTGAAAGTGTTCCAAATTTAATTTGGTCAAATGTCGTAGAAGAATAAATTTGGACTAGAATTTAGTCATTGCGTCGAATCGGGAAGCCAGTTTGGTAAATTTCTGAATTTTGCAAAATAATTTTGGGTACAGATTTATGGGACTAATAGGTGAAAGGTGTAATTTTTCACCGCACGGGAAAAAAATTGATTCCAAGTTTGATAATTATTGGACTTTGGTGACAATTTTGCTTCCACATTATTTAGCGTAGCCTGAGACACCTACATATTACGGAGATTGAGAAGCCATGAATGTATATAGACCATAAATAAATACGGGTTATGCAACTAATTTGAAATTATGTTACACGATTAGACCAGACCAGACCTCCTTTTGACTCGGTCCCTTTTCACTCCTGGATTTTGACATAGCTTTCTTTCTTGAGATTTAATTCTCGGAGGTGAAAGTAGGTTAAATGAGATGATGGATGGATGGATAAGAAGAGCGAGAAACTTTTTGAAATTGGATGCCTCACTTTGATTGGAATGAAAGGGGGGACATTATTTTAAGACCTTTTTAATCATTGCTTTTACTTATCGCTATGTAATAAGATCGTATTATAGACGTGGGCGACGTGATGAATTGAATAGGTTACGGTACGTTACGTAAAAAATATATATAAGCTGAAAACCAGTTAAATTTCTGGATTCATAGTGGGAAAATTGGGAGGGTATTATTTCTTTCTTCCATAAGTACATGGCCTTGATAAGGAATTTATATTTAATTATGTGGCTTATCATTTTTGAGATTTAATTATTTTTGGGGGAAATGTGAAAAAAATGTGGTTCTTGTTATATAATGTTTTGATACCTGAAGCTGAACAAGTGTGTGGAATGAATGAATGAGTCATCTCAAGGACAAGGCTGTGAGCTGGACGACCAACCGGAAATAAAAGTTAAGGTTACTTCCTTTCTTTCGTGGAAATATGTACGAGAAATTCTGCGCTGTACGGAAATCGAGGAGGCAACACCACCTCGCACGAAAGGGGAGAACAACTTTCTTTCTTGCAGTGGCCGCGGACAGGACGGAAGGACAATGTCCCCACGGTCATTCGATGTCCATATCATCTTATATAAACCCGGCACTTCCCACCTTATCCTAGAAATTTTAATGTCCCCACACCTTCCGCGGCCACTGCTTGCTTTCTCCCTCACACTTTCTAAGCCATGAAAATCCATCAATTGCGACCATGTTGCTGTGAGTGCGGTGTTTTTTGGCCGACTGACTTTTTGAGTGTGTGTTGACAACAGCGTGTGTTTTGTAGTGAACTCGTCAGCTGCTGCAGCTTCTGGACTGGAAAATTCGGTGGAAATTGTACCAGAAATATTTGTAATTGGCGAAATAAATTGGTGGAAAATTTAATAGAAAGGAAGGAATTGTCAGTTTCGGGAGGGTAGTTAAACTTTGGTGAGTTTGATAAGTACTGGATTTTATACTTGATGAAAGTTATTTGACAGAGAGATTTTGATTTTGTTTGATTGCTATTTTTCTTACTGAACGAAAAAATAATTTCATATATATTTTTTATTTCTAACAGTGAAAAATGTCATCGGATGGGTTGAGAAATCGAAAGAGTGGGATGCTAGCAATGGGTGGTGAAGCTGAACAAGACGTTGCTCCCCCTCCGTCTGGAGATCCTGGAAGTGTCGGTGACAATAAGAAGCTTCCTGATTTGATTGAAAAGTTGCAAGTGGACGTTGATGACGTGATCTTATCGGAGGCTGCGGTGGCCGAGATGGAAATGAAGATGGCAACTTGTGGGGAATCTGGCCCTCCGGTGGAAGAACAGGGGGCGACGACGACGTTTCCGCCTCGTCATCAATGTTTCTACGCTCGTGGATCTGGACGGGAACGGGACGAGTATACATTAACGCAGGTAGAAAACGGGGGGATTTATGTAATTTGTGTGAGATATATAAGCTAATAATATTTTTATGATAAGTTCCAAGCTCATCACGACGACGAGATTCCATGGAAGGGTGGACTCTTGGCTATCTTTTTGTTCCTGGTTGGAGTTGGACTGTTCATTGTTTCCGGTGTGCGACTCGTGTACAAAGAACCGGTAAGTTAAGAAGGAATGAAGAAGAAATAATAATGTGGTTGTCTTCAATAGAATTTTTAATTTTTGGGATGTGTTTTATTCTTCTAGTTCTTGGATAGAATTGCTCCTTTGTGGTTCTTGGGGTTGATTGGCTTCATTCCAGGGGCTTATCATACCTTTTACTTCACTGGGGGATTGTTGCGGTATTACTCGTTCACGGATATGCCGCAGTTCAACTTTAACTAAGGGTCGAACCAAAAATCTACAATCACTACATCAATCGAAACTATTGTACATACTCAAAGATGATCCTCTTGTCCAAGTCTACCTGTATATATTTACATGTAATCTAGACTGAACCACTCATTGTTAAGATAACTCAATCGTATGTTCAGCCCGAATTGAATCTTCACTTGAAGTACTCTACTCCACTAATTGTAAATTTTTAATCTACCGTACCGTCATCTGGTCACGATATCCTTGCTTTTAAATGATTCTATACATGTAAAATATGCGTACCAAACCTGCAACTATTTACAAATCGAGCAAATCTACATATATAGCAGACCAGCTTTTGTTTCCATTTTGTACGAATCTAGTCATGTATGCCATTCAAATGTATTGTTACTACTATGTAGCTAATGAAATCGTACGATACCATTTTAAAAATGAACTACACAAACTATTGTACACATATTTTGAAGAATGATAATAATACTAATGGGTGAACGATCTAATACTTCTGTGATAAACTTTGTTATCAATTGAACAAATTATTACCACAATTTATTTATTATTACTGTAAAGACTGTTATTTATTTATTATGAATTATAAGTGTCATTTCCTGTAATCTTTTTAGAAACCAGTTGACTTGAATATCGGTCAAGAAATGATCTTACTCACGTTACAACTAATTTCAATCCATTCCTGGATTGAATTCCTCTCTATATGTACTTTAGGAAGACAATAATAAATGTAATTGCAGCAAACAAAACTAAAACCAAACCACTGGAAGTTTACTAATTAGTCAAGGTCGTCATTATTTTCATGTCATAGCCATACACACACATCAGTCGAAGAAGAAGTTGTAGTGGTCACTTTTTCATATTGCATGCATGCATATGAAACAAGCCAGATCAGGAAGAATCGCCACTCCTTCCTGACTTTGTCTCATCTCATATTTATCAAAATAATGAATAAAACTAGCTGCAAATATATGTAATTTACGAATAAAAAACAAAATCATTCTGTTTTAAATCAAAAACAAGTCAATTTGCATGTTTTGTGAATGTATCTATTTACTTTTAACATGCCATTTCCTTCGAGTAGTACATACATACAATCTAAATACATGTACATAAGCTCTCTTTTAGCACTTGGCTTGGACTCGTGTTTGGCAAAAGTGAGCAGAATCAGCGAAGAGTTTTTGCGAATAAAAGTATATATGAGCAGAATTTACCCCTCAACCCCCCTCCTCCCCCACTCCTACACACATTACATTACATTTCTCTCTATATGCACTCCTATTTAGTGTGGAGAGAGGTATTATTATGTGATATGTGATCTATTAACTCGTCGTGAGGGCAGGCGCACTCGGAAGTGGTATCCGTAAGCAAAAACAGCGAATAAAGGACGTATTGATATATATGCGAATCTCAAATCGCAAGAGTCATGGACGAAAGGATGATGTGCTAAAACTTTACTTAAGCTCGTGTCGTACAGAGAGAGGATATCTTCCATTATTATTCGCAATTTCGCATGTATATATCACCAGCACAAATTATTAGTCCAACAACAATCATTAAAGTCGAGTTTGGACGAATTAAAGTAAGAAAAACAAGAAATAAATCGAGTTCTAAATTGATGTTTGTTTCGCAAAATAAAAAATAGTTGGGCAAAAGTATTGGGGATAAAATTGGATAATTTGTGAGTGGGTGTGTCCTTCTTCTGGTGGACTTGGTGTTTAGTTAAATGTGCAGTTTAATTAAAGAATATGAGAACAATTGTTAATAACAGAAGGAATTGTTGTGAAAATGATGCATAGTCTTTCAAGAACAAGTAATAATATTTAACTGTTGAGTTAATAAACAGGTCGAGTGGTTTATTATAGTGGGCTAAATTGGTTAGTTAGTTAGTTAACGTTGGTTGGTTAACGAGAAGAAGTGAGGCTTTCTCCTTTTATAATAGTCGTCCCGTTCTGGTTGGTGGTTTCTAGTTTTTTAGAAAAGTTTACTAGTTTTTTGGAAAAGTTGGAAAATATAAGGTTGGGAAATTTACTTGACATTTCGATTCGATAAGGACGACGTATCTCCATGATATCGTAAGTCATGTTAATAAATTGAGATTTTTTGTTGGTTGGGTTTGGTTGGAGGTTTTTTCGTTTCATTTCTCAGATTTCTTCAATCGCAAAATTAACTTCAGTATTTAGCATCTGTTTTTAACTAATCAAAATTGATCGTGATTGCAAAATTTAAAAAGTATAACAAAATTGAAAAGAAAACTAAAGAAGTGTAGAAATTGAGGACATTGAGGACATCATTTCTAGTGATCAGTTAGTTCTAAAAAATATAGACCAAGCAAGGTTAAATATTGTTTTGGAGTATTATTATTATTATTTTAGTGCTTACTGACTAATTAATGAAATTGCGTTATATTTTAAAGCTCAATTTTAAAGAGTATTTTAACTAATGGTTTATCATTTTTTAATATGACGCATATTATTATAGTGGGCTGATTCTATAATATAGAATCTATATTACGATAACAACAATATAATATTATCAATTAATTTGTGCATCTTTCATTAATTAGGACAAACCAGGGCACGACGACCCCTACTTTCCCCCTCCGATTAATGCAAGTTAACCTTCGGAGAATTCGACTTGGATTCTTTTACTAATTTTAATTTAAATCTCTCAAATGGCGAATTTGCTACATGACTTTTACTCTGAATTAATACGCGGAATGTGTTCTTCTGCAAACTGTTCGGGACACGGGGAGTGTCTGAACGGCACGTGTCTCTGTGAGGTATGTACATATATACACCAAATATGACGATAGTTGCTCATCAGTAAATTGAACATTTCGCTTAATTTTCTGTCTAGATAAAATTCGCCGGTGAAGAATGTGACGGAATCAATGTAAATTATCATGTCAGTCTTGCCTCGGTGTATCTCATAGTTGCCCTCGTCTCGTTAATCCAACTCCTTATCGCCATGATCATGGCGTGTCGACAAGTGGATAAAGGAAGCCGTTTTAGAGAAGCAATCAGCCCCACGACACCGAAAGCTATTTATGCCATCGTTTTTCTAGCAGCTTCTCTTCGTGCTGCATACTTTGCAGTGTCGGTATGAACAAATACATGTCGTCATTATTATTCTCGAGATAATGGATGACGACAGCATTAAATCAATTCTTTTTTATAATAATTCCAGGCAACGTGGGCAGCAGATTGGTTACTTAGCCTGCTGACGGCTTACTATCCTCTGCTATTGACAGGCTCGTCGCTCATCGTCTGCTTTTGGGCAGAGGTATGTAAATAAAAGCCAGCTAATTTCCTCATGTCCGACGGATTCATCGATTAGCTTTGTTGCATTGCATGATTGTTTTATTTTCTAGATATTTCATCTCAGAAATGTCTGCTTTGAATCTCATCGATTCCTATCGAAGTCATTCTTGGGGTTTGTTGCGTTCAATGTCGTCACATATTCAATCCTCTTGGCACAACTGCTTCTGGTGCTGGCAAATACGAATGAAACAGAGAAGGTAAGAAAACAAAGGGCAAATCAATGCATTAATTTAATATACGTTTCTATTCCTGTGGTCAAATGAAATAGTATTGATTCTTCTTGTATACTTGACAGAATTACTACTTCAACGTGTTTAACGGATGTTACGCAATTCTTTTATTTATTGTCGTCGTCTTCTTCCTAATTTATGGAGTCGAGGTTTATTTTAAGGTAACCTTTAACTAGAAAAGTATTTTTACTAAGTGTGAAGTGTGACTTTTCCCCTTTAAATAACATTGTTTTTTTGTGTTGTGCTGTTGATTTTAACAGATTCGGGGTGGATTTCTTCTTCTAAGTCCTATTCGAACTGTGGGACTCGCCACTAGCAAAACTGACACAGTGGCACTTGTCACTCAACAGCAGGCATGTTATTTATACTATCATAAAAAAATGTGGGCTTGTTCGTTTTGATTTTTTATCATTACTTTTTGTTGTAATGCTGCATTGATGTGAACTTTATTTTTGCATTAATGATAACACTAGCCTATTGCTTTCTCTCCACAGATTGGTAATTCGGATCGCCCAGTGAACGTGTCACAATTGAATCAGTCACGATTCGGGTTAATTTCTCAAGCATCCATGCTGCTCGTGACGGTTGTGTTTATATTGTCGGACATACTGGGAGAATTTTGGAAGAACAAGTATGTCTTTGTTTTTAAATATCAATTCTGATTTTTTTTACTTGTTTGTTATTTCATATCTAACTATTCATACTTTCTTGTTTTAAAGGGTTCCATTAGAAAGCAGAAACTACCACGACATTCTGTTCCGCGTGGTGGAGATTGGAGTGGCATTATGGTTTCCGTGTGTCTTGTGGAATGTCAATCGACCCGATCAGCTTTGGATTTTGAACCCAAAGAAAATTCTCCAAACGAATGTTAACAAATCGACAATGTCAGACTTACCAGGTTAATTAACGATGCAATTTATTGGTATAGTTCTAGTGTGTTTATGGAAAGATTTAATTTGATTCTTTAATTTTTAGATGACAAATCAAGTTTATCGGACAGTGTTGGCTGCTACTTTTGTTACGATCCGGATAGAACCGATGCTGGGCCGATTATTCAACCTTGTGAATGTAGAGGGGATGTCGCCAGTGTACATCATGAGTGTTTGCGAAGATGGCTTTTGCAAGTATGATTATTATTCCTTTTTAGTTATTTATTTTGTTGATAGCGTTAGTAGTAATATAAAATAATTCTAATAATTGCCACACTTTTCTCCAGAGAGCCGCTGAAAATGGAGAAGCCTGTTGTTCTGTGTGCAAGACTCCGTACAAGTTGGAAAGGGAAAAGTCACTCTCCTGGTCGGCATGTTCCGATGTTTCAGCAGCACATTGGCTCAAATTTTCACTCATGGTTGCAACTATTTCCGGCATATTCATGTCAACCTGGGCACTTTGTCACATTTTAACTGCTGCACCGTATAAAATACTCGTGGTTGGATCAGCCATTATTGGAACTTACGTCATTTTAAAGTAAATTTGCCTTCTAAATATGCATAAATGTCATGAGAGGTAATTACTAATCTCAACTCTAATTCATTATTAGATTCCTTGGACAAAATACCTTCTCAGCATATCAACAAGCCAAAGTTTCTTCAGTCAAGATAATATCTCGAAGTCCAGATGTATTACTTAGTCCTCCTGCTACAAAAATCTAAAAAAACACACACACAAACCAACTCTTAGACGTTTCTTTCAGTAATACCCTGTCATGTGATACCTTGCATAGTTAATTGAGTGCCCAAATACCTCGTACATTTTGTTATATAAGTGTAATTGGTAAAAAACTAGAATCAACATAGAACTATTAGCAAACAGTAATTGAAAGACTCAACTATTTTACCCTTTCTCATTATATCAAGACACATTTTATATACAGTGTAGTTAACCAATCTCCTCGTATCAATTTGCACAAAATAAATACTTCTTATAGCAGACGAAGGAAGACGAAGTATTTAAAACAACTGATAACGAATAATATAAATGCAAATTATGACGGAACGAAAAATATCTAATAGGTGTCTATCCAACCAAACAAAGTTTTCCTTCAGATCCCATGTAACTTCCTTTATAGATAAATAGTTAAATATTTAACTTTCGTACGCGAAGGTCAAGTAAAATCATGTCGTACGATTACCAAAAATATCTCAAAAACAAATATCACTCGCTCAGCTATGTAAATATTATATATTTTCCTCCTCGGTAGTAATCCGTAGGTAAAAAAACTAGTTTGAACAAACAAACTTTTCTTTAGTATGACTCAAATCTATGCAAAACTTTTAATAGCAGATTTGAATTTTTTTGACTTGGTAAATAACTCTTTTTAAATATATCTAGCGAGCCCAGGTTTGAGATACGTAAATGCTTTTTCGGCATTTTAAAACACCAATGTATTATTTGGACAAGTATAATTTTTGGATGCGTGATAATGTGATTATTATATTCTTATTTTTAAATACTTTCGTTTTTTATTTACGATACGCGCACTACGTGACCAACAGTTAACTAATTAATAACTTGCATTTGAGTTCAGTGTATATTCTGTGATAAGGAAAACCTATCCGGTTTTATTTCTTGCTGGTTAATTAATTATTACGAATGAGATTGCGTTTATGATATTTTTAGTCAAAACGAGCCATAATATTACCATTGATTTTTTAATTACTGCAATCATCCTCAATTTTTATTATTCAATTTAAACTTAATTTTGTGGGATGAAAAAAAGAATTGTATATATTTATGTATTCCGCTGCTGCGATATCTCCCCTTGTAATGATAATCCTTATTGCATTGGATTATACATAATTGTGCTCTAGTCGTGATGTATGAAACGTGTTTTAATTATATATTGTGGTCAAAAATTTACGATGGAAGATTGTGGAAATTAGCTGCTTCGATTCCATCGGTAGTGACCACCCACCGCATTTACGGACGATAGAAAAAGGAAATCAGAAGAATCTCGAAAAATCCAATGAATAATATTTAACATGATCAAAGATCGAAATATGTAATAAGTGAAATATTATAATGACAGGATAAGTTGGAGGAGAGAAGGAGACGAAAGTCAATAATTGATTGACGATGCTGACGAGCGAGAGAGTATAAGTGATATAATTTAACCACCGTAATAATTAAATATTACATGCATAATACGTAATTTACCTCAGTACGCGGTATGAATATTCCTATGCGTATGAATTCCTTTAGTTGTGTTATTATTGCTAATTAATTTTCAAAAAGTCTAGTCAAGTCAATATCAAAGATATATAAACACACACGCGCAGTAATAAGTAATGAAATACATAAATGAGAATGAAATCTGTGTAAGCAATAAAGTAAAAATAAATTCAGTGTGTAATTATAATCATCAAAATTGTTTGTTGTGGGATTTGATTTTAGATTTATTCATCTCTGCATTGTAATTTATTACATTTTATCATCCAATCTTTCTCAAATAATAGTCTATGCGATACTGCTCTATTTATGTAGCTGCTATGGCGTGGTGCTCTTGTCGCTACTTATTTTACAAATTATTATAAATGACTAAGAAAAATAGCTCTATAGCGAAAAAAAGATCATTTTTAAATTTGTACAAAACCTTTTCTGAGTGAGTTTTTTAAGGTGGCTTATTTACTTGACTTAATTGCTTGCTTACTTTTGCTATACATTTGTTTGTAATAATTTGTATAAAATTGCTGATGATTGTGAACACATAAATAATTACATTGAAAAAAAAACTCATCGTCGTAATTTTTTCCTGGCTGTTTTTTCCTTGTAAAAAATTAATATCAATCAGATCAGATTCTTGTTGAATATTATAAATTGTATTAGGTGCCAGAGATTCAACGTCTTTTTAAATGTCGAGTGTTTAATCAAATTTTATGAGATTGGAAGGCTTTCCCCGTTTCTTTTGACATTCTTGCAATGTCCGACACCAAACGAGGGCTCGGGGAGCACTTCCAGCCCGAAATTTGTACATGGTTCCTGTCCAGATAGAGAGAAAAAATGTGTTAATTGATTATGTCATTTTTATTAAATGGATTCAAAGTAAATATGCAAACATACCCGAATCTGGGTCAGCCAAATGAAATGAGTCTGGATGAAGGGGATCCTCTGCTATTTGGATAAGCCAACCTAGGATTGATTTCATTTTGGATGGCTCCAATTTAAAATCGGAACGGTCAGACCTATTAAAAATATGCATGTACGTGTTAATTTTTGGAACTAATTGTAAGATAATATTCAATCGGTGGGGAGACTCTTACCCTGTCAATGATTTGGCCGTGTAGTAGAGCAATACTGATCCCCAAAGTTGGACTAGAAATTAAAATTTGAAAACATAAATTACATACATAATAAAACTAATGATAATAAATGATTAAATATTTTTACCCCAATAACGTTGCCACGCTCCATTTCCTAACAATGGTTTCTTCCCATTCTTGAGTAACATTTTCCTTCGTAAACAACCTTCCAAGATAATATCGTTTCCCAAAACTTCAACTTTTGGAATTGTAACAATTTGATTTGGAAATGAGGCGGAGTTGGTTTCACTTTTTTCTAATAGAGAGTCGTCAATGAGATTCCGTGTACTTTCCGAACTTGCGTCTTTCCCAGTCGTCGTGGTTGTAGTAGTGTTGGGGGTTTGTTGGGTAATGAATTTCGGTCTTCATATAAGACATTACTTTACTATACATTTTACTGAAACTAGATGATCTATATTTACTTTGTTATTACCTATTTCCCCAACTATTTTGCTTTTTGTGGCCGGCAATAAATTTTTCGGGTGACTGTTCCGCCGGAGGTTCCAATTTGAGTGATTTCTTGTAATGGTCGTCCTCCACAAATTTTAGCAACTCGTCAATGTACCGAATAGAACGGAGTTTACACTGCAGTAGGTAGTCTTTTGGTAGGTTGGCATAAGTCGATTCAGTTTGGTAGGTTGTAATTATTCTGAAAATGTTATTCGCTGCCGGGTTATCGTTAAGAGAGCAGGATGGGTTTGCCATGCTGAGGTAAACGAGGTCAGTTAAGTAAACGCCTATGTGTAAGGGAGAAAAGTTCATTAATTATGACATATTGGTCAATTGTTGTGAAAATTTGTATATTCTACCAATATATGGGACGCAAGGGAATCGTAACGAGTCCAAATGTTCTCTATACTTGGCCCAGTTATCCTTATCCGAGAAAATTTCAGCGTATTTATCAATACTTTGTCTGTCTCGTTTTGGAACAAGATTCCACGTACTTTTCAGCCTAAAGGGTTTCAACAAAGTATGTAATTACAGAATATCTTAATAATAAAGACACAAATTAAAAAAAATATGTATACCTATAAATGGACGCGCTTCTCAGTGCAGAAATGATGGCGAAAAGGGAATGCAAATTATTCAATTCGTACAACCGTTTACAAACTCGGGTAAAGTATGAAATTATCTCTGCCCTTATCTTGGATAATTCTTGATTAAGAATTTCTTCAATTACCCAATAACTGACCTGCATATAGTTACACACAAAAATGTAAAACTTCCATACAACAGTTGTCCTTTTAAATTACATCAAATCAAGATTTAATTTCTCCTTACATGATTAAATCTCCTCGTGTACGCCACAATGTTTGGAGCCACCTCATTCTTCGTCTTCTTAATCCACCCACAACTCGTAAGTTCTTCCAACTCTAATTTCTTAAAGAGGTCAAAATCAATAAGGGTAAATTGTGCGGCGATATCGTCGTACGGGATTCGAATAACATCCACCACCGCAGAACTCATCCTGCCGGGACGAGGTAGAGAACTGTGAACGATTTAATGGTAAAATTAATTTAAAAACCAGCCTAAAAAATTACACATTTCACTTTATTTATGCACATACTTGGTACTAAACGTGGACTTGAACCGGGGGCGATCAGTCGTGTCGCGTGTGTCGAAACAGGACATTTTTCTGAGACTCCGACTCTGCAATTGAGCAAAATATTGTGTCATTTAACACAAATTGACTTGTTTGACTGACATGTTCCATACATAACAACCTACTGTTCGCCCAGTATTATTAGTCGCAAAAAATTCTGAAAGGTTACCTGGCAGATTATTTATTTTTCAATTAGCAACCAAATAACCTCTCAGAAAATTTTCCAAGAAATTGCGACTATTAATATTGGATGAACAGTAGTAAAAAGGTTAGAAAAAAAAATGGTAAAAATAAAACTAGAAACAAAACAAGTATTACGATTTGGCATTGAGAAGACGAGGATGACGATGACTCCCTCGGAATCTCAGAGTATCTCGAAATCGACGACATTGAACAGGAGCCAGCAGGCGTGCCCCACGACTCACTCTTCTTCTTCACTGTTGTTCTAAACATAAACTGTTTCATAAAACAACATCTGCTTTTCAAAAAGTTTTGTCAGAGTCCGTCCTGACTTGGCAGCCAACTCTCTCTCGAGTATATCCGTCCTTATTCCTGGTTTTTATTAGTATTGGCGTGTGGCGTGCGTGGGTTGGTATATATAAAAGGCGACGATCGATTTAACCCCCGTCCTCAGTCTTGACCCAAAATTTTTCGTTCCAATTAAGCTCGATCGCAAGCAACTAGATGACAATGATGATGGCAATTGGTTAACTGTCACGTGTGCACAGTACGTTACGACATGAAGGCAGTGATAGACCGACGAACTCTGTAGAAAAAAAGAGAACCGGTGTAAATTTAGTAGGAATAATATTAATAATAAATGAAATACGAATAGATATGTATGGAACTAAATTTCAGTCCAGAAGCGGACAAAGGTGGACGTGGACGCAAAGTAGGTTAAAGTAACGCGTATTTACATAAACACGGTATAAATAATAGTGATGTTTATGAAATCAATAATATTTGTTTATCTATTGAAGAGTGATAACAAAGGAGGTGAACTTACTCGAATCCGACGATGATAAGTTTGCTTCCTGGTTGATTGAAAATTATTTATCAACAACACTTTTCTTCACTCGTATTAACTTTGACCATTTAAATATCTATATAATTCAGAATCCCGTATTAAATTTGACTCTCCCAAGTTTAAAGTGTTTCTTGTCTTGGGTAAAGAATTGAGTAATTTCGTCCAAAATGACACAATAGGAATCGTCAAGCCCGAAATAATAATAAGCTCGATTATTATTAAGTTTTACACAATGGATAAACAATAATGCTAACAGTGACCCGGACCAGATTCCAATTATGGCCAAGTTAATGGAAGAAGAACAAATGTATTCGAACAAGTTTGGCATTTAGATAGATTAATTAAGACATTCAATTCAAGTAGGTTTGAGCATTGCTAATTAATCGTTAAATTAATTACTTAATCACAAAACAGCTAGTTAGATTCTCACATGTATTAGAGAAGTTGGGGCTCGAGACTTACTAAATATTTAAACTTTAAATTAACAAACTTATTTACTACTTAACATTTACGTAATAGGAAATGACTCATGAACTCTTATTCTTAATCTTGTTCTTAATTAACACGTTTTGCTCATAAGTTCTATTTTTTCCTCTTGGTTGGTTAATTTAGTAACTCACAACATTTATCAATGATAAATTATCATCACACATACGATTGGTTGAGCATCCCAATTCCACAAAGTAATAATAATTACAACGAAATCAACAACAAACAGTAGTCTTAATTACTAAATCCTTGAGTTTTAACCCTTGTCGAATCAATGTGTATCACAATTTTAACAAGAAATTAACCAAGTTAATATGTATGCATGTGTAGTTTCACACGTTAAGTTAATATTTAGGAGTACAGATTCTTTCCGTTTTTTCGAACAATTAGGAAACGCTAACTGTGGAAATATACTTCAGTCGGACTTATTGTCTAAACCTTATCGTGGGAAGCTTTATTATAATAATTTATTCAAGCCGGATGTCTGGCTGGAATAGTTTTGAAGAAGAAGAATGAGTCAGCCAGACCAGTTTACTTCTTGCTCAGTTCAGTACACCTGGACAGATTATTAATCCGATCCGATGGTGGACTTTATAAGTATATCTGCGTCGACCATGCGTGCCATGCATATATTTTTTTGTACATATAATATGCAGTCGTTCGTTCGTTTCTTCGCGTTATAAAGTTGTTTTGGTGTGGAGGTGGACGAGGGTAGGGAAAAGATCGGGCATTTTCCATGTAAATGTCTCATATTAATCGCATGCATGCAGATATATGAACGAGATATATACCGGAAGTAGTATAGAAAAAGAAGAAGAAGTAATAATAATAAGTAGATTAATAATAAGACGGGCTACTTTCAGTGATAGTCTGATAGCTATGCAAATATTAGGACTGGAATGATATACACATTTGCATTTACAAAATTCTATGAAATTATTATATCCACTATAAATGGTCGAGGAATTAAAATTAAGCACATTTTTCAATGCTTTATTTATGCCTGAGAGCACGGTGGTTACTCCAGGGATGTGACAATTACTTCCATTCTGAAATAGATAATCGTTGTTACATAATTAGACAAACCAGTTTAGTTTGTTGGATAGTAAAGGTTATTATATATAAATTTCTACTTACAAATTATAGAAAATCGCTAAATGTAATCACTCGTAATGAGAGAAAGCTATTGACATCATAAATAAATAGTTGTCCATATTTGTCACATTCAATGGTGAAGTTCTGCCGAGGTGGTCAAAGTGAATTTGAGACTGTACGATTTGACTTGTCGATTTGAGCAAGACTTTCGCATCCTCTTTGGACTTGGTGTTGTTACAATTGTTCGAGATTACAAAACCGTCGATAAGGTTCACTCCTAAAAACAGTAATTGTCAAAAATTAGTCATCGATGCAAAATTTATTAATAGGAAGGTATTTTAGGTCAGTTCAGTTGTCCTCGTATCATCTGGAACTGAAACTCCATTAATTGTTAGGGATAAAACATTCCCATTTGCATGAATTCCATTAGTAAATTACAATAGAACACGTTATCTTGATAATATCGAGCGATATGTGAGACAGGAATACCATTAATTTTAGACGCGTTCAAAGCTAAAACTTTGACCGGATTAACAAAAACTAATCCCCCAGAAACACGAACATCGTTGGATTTTAAGCAAAGAATTTAAAAATGCGGCTGGTTCAATGAACTTCAATGTCACCACGAAAAAAACTTGCAGTAATAATTTTTTGAGTTTGGGTGTGCCGTTGCCGACCATGATGGTGTATACTAATTCAGACTGTGCAATAAACACACTTCTCCGCAGATAGTTAAGTTCATCATAAATTTGTTTCATGTCCGTTTCGAAATCTTGATCAGTTTATGGAGATCCGACGAATTGAAGCCCCCAGTTTAGATTTCTTGCCGTCTCCTAATAAATTCGTGGCGTTTATTCTGCCCACATCCCATGACCCTGAATGACGTTGGGCTGATCAATTTTGATACTGCTGTTGAGTACTTTTCCAATTCCAGCGATAGCCTGTTCCCATCTAGCATATATGCATTTGAATTACGGGGTTTATCAATAATTACTATGAATCTTACTTTATATATTACATTTGGAATCGTTTGGAGAGTTCATTATAATTATTGTAAAGCTGACGCGACTCGTTCAACAAAGGAGATCGAGTGACCAGAATTTCTTTAATGAATTATGTACCACCTGATCCCCTCTCGGAAAAATGAATGCAGAATAGTCCCTATTTCGAAATCCGACCCTTTTAGAAAGATCTGAGACATTGGGACATGCTGAAACTGTATAAATTTATATGAACGTGCTTATATTATGACGAAATAAGAAAGTGAAATGATTATTACTATTATGTAAACTGACTACTGTTATACACTTCAAACATGGCTTCCGGTCCATGCAAACCATTGTATTGCCATCCAGTCTAACATGCGTATAATGTAGTTCGTATATATATCTCAAACCAAATAAATCTTTAAGTGAGACCATTTTTAGCCCAGAAAATCCGGTCTAAACTGGTGTTTTAAGAATCCATATGAATTTCTAAATCTTTTTCCTTTGTTTTATTTCACCACCACCTAAAAATAATAGGGTACAAATTTCCTTGAATGTTTCCAAATTTAAATCTTCACACGACAAAGATTGATTGATTTCCTCTTTTTTGAATTGAACACATTCATGGAAAAAGTCACCCTTGGCGTCACATCGATACATCATTCCGTCCCACCTACATTTCCACCTTCCTGTACGTACGGGATATAAATAAATGCGTCGTAACCGTAATGCATACCCTGTTTGAAATTTAATTCCATTAAAAACAGTGCAAAAAATGAAACAGTTTCGGAAAAGGAAGGAAACGGACTTTCCTTCCTACGTGTCCTCATGAGATGATTGACATTTGAAGATCCAATCACTTAATTGGACCGGACTTGGAAGTGGACACGGCCAGAATTTCAATTGGCATCGGGGCCACTTTATTATGACGATTGACGATCACAATGATGACATCAAGTCCACCGGGAAAAGGGACCCCGGAGAACAAACACTCGAAAAAAGAGGAAAAACTTGAGATGAATCTGTTCATCCGTGGAACGGAGCACTTAATGGGATGACTTTTACACCCTTTTTTATTGAAGTGCCACCATATGTTGGATTCGATTTGTGTTATCCATTCCACACATATGTAGCTCTGCAGATTCGTGGATGGAATGGAATGAAGAGATTAAATTGAAATTGAGAAATGTGCAAACAATTTGTGGGATGTTGTGCTGCTGCTTTTGTCTATAAATCAGAGATGGGTCAACGGTTTTAAATGAGGAGTAATCAATTTGTTACTGGCGACAGGTCTTGGATGGGTGGATTGACGTGAGGAGGCACAATCTATTTGCAGAAATGATCCCACTTTTTCATATAAATAGGGGAGTGAAACGTTGCAAAAGGGAACAGTTCTCATCCGCTAGTCCTTATCCTCCTACAACTTGACCGTTATTTTATCTTGTTAGATAACCACCAGACCACCACCATGAAGTCGAACAACGTAACGACAACTCTCCTCTGGGGGGCGTTCCTCTTCCTCGCCGTCGTCGCACTCACGGTCCAAGCACAGGTCAACTTTTCGCCAGCTTGGGGCAAACGAGGACATTCCATTCCAGTCTCGGTGCAAAGCAGGAACGGAGGCGACGCCACGTTGGGGAGCGACCATCTCCAGAACTTGAGCGATTGTAAGCTCCCCTTTGAAGGAGTGGTCAGGGTGTTGAAATTGATCCAAGTATGTAAATCTGTGCCGTATGAAATCATTGATAAAAATATAACTAAAAAGAACATGTTTTCTGTGTAGATCGAGGCACAGAGACTCGTCCGATGTGAAGCGATTTCACAAGATTCTACGGATTGATTGATTTTTTATCGGCAAGTTTCCCCCTTGATGACGACTTCCTAAAGATTTACACTATTTTAATTGGAATGGGTACTCTACTGTAGCTTTTCGCGGACAATATGCACATACTAAATGTGACGGTGTACGTATAATTCAGAGGACTCATTTTTTGATTGTGTGAAAGTTTGTGATATATGAAGTATGGATTTTATCTGTCTAAATATCCATAATCTGTACTGTACGTATAGAGGTTGAGTGAAGCTTTACTATTTCATTTCGTCAATAGTAGAGCATTTATTAGTTGCTGGGTTTTAGATATAATAAATCTGTAAAGTATCTTATGCAATTTGGAACTAAGAACAAAAACACTTAGCTTTCTATTTCCTATTGCTTAACTATCCTGGTAAGTAATGTATTGTGTAAAAGTTAGAAACTCAGCTAGGCATTGTAACCACATGAAGATAATATTATCATGAAGGGCTAATAATAATAAATTATAATAAAAATATAAGCTGTCATTTAAACTCATTTCGTGTAGAAAATATTTTCAACAAATAAAAAAAGATGTACTTATAATATTTTTCATGAATTGGTATAATATTGCATATCTACTAATTAGTCTGTAACATTTTCGCAACTTGATTCACGAGCATTTTCGTGGTCATCTTCTTCATCCTCAGAAATATCTTCGCCTAAGTCTGCGGATGCTGCTGTAGTAGAAATACAATTAAGAATTAAGGAATGTTGGTATTCATGATAATGCGAAGTTATATAGATTTGTTTTACCTTTCTCTTGTTGCAAGGTTCCTTCCTGCATTTGAGTTTGAATTCGGTTTCGGAGATCGTGGTCAAACGTAGAATGTAGCAAGAGGCCCATTACTCCACCCCGATTTGACATGGCCAAACGGATTTGTCGTTCTTGTTCCAATAATTCATCTAGTTTTAGCCACTGTGGAAGAAAACGACTAGTAAGTACGTGCTGAAATTCATTAATGCAAAAATAATAAAACATTCATTTACATTTCGAACTCGTTCCATGTCAAGTTCAGCTCGTCGAAGTTTTTCCCAACAAAAGTGTCGATTACATTTCTTTTTGGGAAGGCGACAAAATTTCTCCATGTTTTCAGTCAAGTCTACAACGACAGGGCAGCCACAAACCTTGAAGTTAAATATATACATTAAATAAACCATTATCACTACAAATGGAATAATAATTGAACCCACCTCACTGTCCCGAATTTTTGGTTCTTTCGAATGTTCGGGGCAAAGCACGGCTAATCGCTTGCAATAAGTACCATTTGATGGATTGTAAAAATCACAAAAGATCGGCGTTCCTTCCAACTTTGTTTTATAAATGGAACCAAAGGAGGTTTGACTTTCGTACTGGAAACATTAAAGTCGTAATTAAATATAAATAATGTTCACATTTGAATTAATTATTAATATTTGTTTGTGTTTCCGCACTTTGTTGTAGCATCGCTCCATGTGTTTGATACATGACCTTATAGGAATTTCATGACCACATGTAATGCAGTGTATGATTCCTTCTTCTTCTGGCTCTTCATCTTCCGCATCTGGATCTACTACGAGTTGTTGAACGTTATGAACGTGTCGGTCGAGATCCTTAATTTAAGAGGACCAGAAAGAATCATTATGGTTTTGCAAACTAGTATTTTATTGATATATATGTAACTCTTTTATCTTACAGCTCGTTTCCTTTCAAGCTCAGAAATTTTAATTTTAGCTTCAATTTGCTTCGTCCGAATCTCTTCCAACTCTTTGCGATTATGTTCTTCAGCAACGGACTGGGTCAAGTTCCACTCTTGGATTCTACCCGGAAGAATCTTTATAAAAATATATAGAACAATTTTATGTTACCGAATTTTACGAATCAAAGTTCATTTTAAAATTTTAAAATACCCTGTAAATCCGTTCCGTTGCAAGTTTAATGCAACATTCTTGACTGCAATATTTTGAATTCTTTCTCGCTGCGTTGGTACAATCTAATCCAAAACATTGCTTCTCGTCATCTTCATCATCATTAAACTCGTCAGAATAATATTTTTCCGATTCAGAGGATGTCGTTTGGCGACGAATTCTTGTCTTCCGACGAGCCTTTTCTTTTGACTTTTCCTTCCGTCTTTTTTCTTGTTTCTATACATTAGAAAAAAATCAAACTTCAATTTTACAAGTTGCCAGAAATTAATGACTTAAAATAGATCAATCAAATCAGCATACCTTAGCAGTTCGCTTTTCACTCGGTGGTGGTGGAGCATCTTCTTCCGAAGAAGCCCATAGATTGGGCGAATGTCTGTCTCGATTTTGTCTTTGTTGCGTCAAGACTTTGTAATCTCTGTCGTCATCATTTTCGCTCCCAGAAGACTGCAAACGTTTAGGCTTCCTCTGCCCAGATTTCTTTGAAGATGACAACGCATTCTTCTTACCGAGGACTTTCTCCTTCTTCCCATCGCTGCTCTTCCTCCTTTTGGATGATGAGGGTACACTGGGTTGTTTGGGCTTCTTGTATTCTATCTCTAAAGATGGAGTGTCAGCAATGCATCCAGGACAATAGTAATGCTTTATGACCTTTGCATCACTTTCCGTTATGTTGATGCAGTCGCCATGAAACCACTCTTCGCAATTGTCACAAGCTCTAAACAGACAAGTTGGACATGAATTATTCATTCGTCATAAGACAACATCATTGCATGGTCATAATTTTGTTCTTACATCATAAAACGTGTCGAGTCGCTACTGCGGCAGATGCAATAAACATCCGTTTCCTTCAACAGAGTGGCTATTTTCGACTTTCTCTCCGGCAGGTCGAACTGCTTGGCGATATCTTTTTTCTATACGGAAACAAATGGAAATAAGGGTCAGTGAGTAAAAATCTATTTTCTGCAGTTGGTTAAAATCGGGTCAAGACTATTACAGAAATGTCCTTGCTCGCCATTTTTTACGGCACGAATGATGAGGCCGAAACGAGAATAATTGTGGGGTCTTTGTAGGGTGGACCTCAACAGCAACCACCTGGAACAAGAAAGTATGAAATTTAATAAACAAAAACCCTTGTCCGCATCTCAAACAGTTTTTACAAGGCTACGATTCCTGCATAACGTGACGTTTCAGACTTGCGTTCTTATTAAAGTAGGCAAAACTAAAGTGGAGCAAAATCTCGGTCAGTTTCCGCCGAGAGATTTTATTAGTAAGTTATTTCCAACAACTAATACTCGCTATTGCTTATTACATAACGCGGCATGGCGTGGCGTGGGGTACGAGCAAGCAAAGCACAGAACGTGGGGTCCAGAGTTACTCGAAGAAAGAGGTAACTAACAAACCCTCCCGAGAAGAACGGCTATATGACTCTTATTCCCACTCTTGGTCTTAATGAGAAGATTGCGTGATTGGCGGAGAGAATTTCTTCAAGGTCTTTAATACACTTGGCCTGGCCTCCAGTTCACAAAGTGCTCAGGGAAAAAGTGGGAGTGAAGAAACAAGCCGTCGTTCGTATATACTGCTTATTTTGTGACCACCACCAACCACCACCACGCTTTCATTTCTCTCTCCACTCACTTTGCCACACTTCCGCTTCTAATCAATCCCCACATAGCGTTGGATAAATATGTACGACGGCGTATGATTTAGTTACTTTGCATTGGCCTGCTTCCCCGAAACGGATCCAACATTGCACCACAACGACGCGGACTCTCAAGGCTGCCCCAACAATGCCACACACTCAGAAATGGGAGTGAAAGTGGGTTGTGCATGGCAAAAGAGAGAGAAAGAGAGGGTTGAAATTGCACCCATTAAACATCCTCTTAACCAGCGTCGACGGCGTCGAGGAATTGAGGGCAACCTAAAACCAGCTCATGATCATGAATGACTCGCTGAGATTGTGGATTAAGATGAACTCATTCAAAAAGTGGGTCACACGACGTACGCTCCCACAGCAAAACCGACACCAGCACGACCACCACCACCACGACGAGTGCTGACTTTCACCCGAGAAACACCTGCTGGATAGAGAGAAAGGGAGACCACGGGCAGGGAGACGAGGAGGAGGAGGAGGAGGGGAAGGAATATCTTGGCTCCCATCAGACACGCTTTCTCCTTCGACCCGACCTGTCAGTAGTGCATCGACTCCACTCTCGGGCTCACATCCCCTCGAGGAATTAATCAGAATCTGTTATCATCAGCAGGACACCAACAGACCAACTAATCAACGCCTTATCGAAGATTTCCATCTCTCCTAAATAAATTATTTCATAGTTTCTTTAAAAAATTATATAACAAGATCATCGAGTGAAATCCAAAAAAAACAGTTTTTCGAGCGGATTTGGATTGGTTCTACACGGAGATGTAAAACCAATCCGGGTGAAATTATACGTTTTTCCTCGTCTCAGAGAATGGGAGGTGGTGGAAAAAACGAAATGGAAACTGGAAGAAAAAGTGTTACTGGGACTTATGACCCAAGTGGGAGAAAAAGTCGTATCCCGGCTGCATACCCGGTCACAATGGTGAGTTGGAAATTAATTGATAAATACGCGATAATTGCACGTACATATATTTTCTGTCTCGATGTTCAGTTTTTTATGGGAAAAATAGGAATCAAATTAATTCATATTCTACCTTCCCCCACAGCTCGTCGATCTGCAAGTGTATGTTGTCCCGAGAGAAAAGTGGGTCCTATCAAGGAGATTGTACCGGCATAATATTGTAGATGATGGACTATCCTTAGGATTTGTGAGGTAAGAGCGAACAAAGTTCTATCGTAGTTAACTGCTTATCAAAAAATAACTTGGTCCACTTTAGTTCGTAAACGAATTTCGAATATTAATTCATATTTCTATCGAGCATTAAAGCTTCGTTTGGTGTAACTTATTACGCCACAATTAAACATAGGCGCAAGTGGGCAACCAGTCAAGTCTAAACGCACCTTAAATTCTCTCTCCCATATAATTTTCGAATGACGTAATATTTTACATAACACATTTACATAAAAGATAAGCTCCCGATAATGATAAATTATCCAAGCCGGTGAAAATTTATCTATGTACCATCAAAACCCAAACATATTATGCATCACCATTTCATAATTTCGACAAGTATTTTGATAACCTATCCAGCAAGGAAAAATCAATGCATTTCGTAATCCCATCACGGAAACGGTGACTTTTTCCAGTCTTCCAGTGGAAGCAACATGGGAGGAAGTGCTTTCTTCTTTCGCCTTTGTTGACCATCATAGTACCACACCAGACTGCAAGCCAGTTCCTTTCCCATTGTGAGATCGACTCACTACGAGACGAGTCAAAAGTCAAGTGAGGCGTGTAGGGGGATACATAAGAGAATCCATCAGTCGTTGTCGACATGACATCAATACATGCACAAGGAATTTCCACCACCCGGTTTGAAATGATTAATGTCAATCAATATTATGAAATGAAACACCTTGCTGGCGAAGGTTACTCGGCGGCCTTGCAAAGTCCACTACCAACCACTCATATAATCACCATTTCCTCTTTATGTCCCTATTCATCATGGGAAAAAATTCCATTAAATTAGACGAAACCTCATTAACTGGATACGCACCAAACCAAATAACCATCTCCGACTCGGCGTGAGTTTATCATTTCATGGAGAGAGAGAGAGGGAATAAAAGTAAATCGAAATAGAAGTAAATAAATAAATGTGGTTATCTTAGAATGGAGGTCTCCCAATGTATGTGTGTTCTCAGATTTTGGGCAAATTATTGTCAATCGGTCACAAATTTAATTAATAAGAAATTTGGGAAAGACGCAATCTTCTAATGGGGACAGAGATATTTGCATCCAAACAGAAGAAAACGCGCAGTAGATTTGAAAAATGTAAAATTTGTCGACTTTAAGGCGCGTTTTCTCCTCTTCGGATGCAAATATCTTGGTCAAACGTGCCCATTGGGAGATCGTGTCTTTCCCAAATTTCATCCTAATTAAATTTGTTATCGATTGACACAAAATTACACAAAATTTGAGAACATACACTTGGAGACCTCAATTATCTATTACAGAGAAAGAGAGAAAAAAGCATGGGCAGAGTTGTACCGTGCATCGACGCCATGTTGGTTTTTCCCTACTCCTAAAACATAGCGCTATGTATGCATCTATGCATATATCTACCAAGTATTACGTAAAAGTGTCGCAAACTTTGATGTTATTTTCATCACAGTATTCTTTCTGTTAAAATAATTGTAAAAAATTAATGCTTAATTTCCCTTTGCAGAGTACTTCCCCAACTCAGCGTGCACAACTTGAGACGGGAATTACAACTCCAACTCGGACCTGACGTTATTCCGAGAGACTTTATTTTTATCAGAGCAGTTGGCAACATTTTTATACAGGTGAGTAATACATTTGAGGTTGGAAATTTTGGGTGGAAATTATGCCAATTGTGACTCCCCATGACCCACTTGACCGAACAAAGTGAGTCTCTTACAGCAATAAGAAAACAATACTAATCACATTATGAGTACTCATTGTTTGGTCGGAGAGAGAAGAATGTATCCGCTCGAGCCACAAAGTGGGGCAGTGATTGATTGCATGTTTTTAGTTCTTGTACGTATGTAATGGCTGACCAATCGTAATTTCCGATTCGCCAATAACCCAAATTTTAGATTTTTTTATTAGTAAATGATCATGGTTTAGTTACTACTGATTCGTTAAACTAATGTCTAAAATCCTTCCTCAGCTGAAGCCGAAGCAGGAGGTTGAGCTGAAAGTGAAGAATTTCATCCCCCCATTTTCGACTGAGCCGGAAATCTATTTATTGGAAGTGTTGCCGAACGAAGATCCGCGTATGATAAGTCCTCTCCCCCTCCTCCTCAGAGAAGATACGCCTCCTCACATTTGCCATGATCTGTGTCACCACAGCCTTGCAAGGAAAAGTAAGTATTTAAATCCGCATTTACATATTTCTCTCTCCCTCTTTACCTTGATCCCTTAGATACAGGATCAGATTAGAAATTGCGACGGCGAGGTAACCTCAATACAAAAATACACTACATATCACATACACTTGAAAAAGGTGCTGGGTGCATGATGGAAAGTAGTGCTAGGACATGAAACATGTATGCATATCGTTTCTGGAACAAATTGCTTCTCAGATCGGGGCCCCGAAAAACAAAAGGGAGCACATATTTTACTAGTTAATATTTCTTTTACACCTTCTCCGCTAATAACTATACATACGTCAAAATGAGACCCATATAATAATCCACCCCTCCACCCACTCTACGCTAAAAGCTGAAGGTCTCTCTCCTCTCCGACACGCAACCCTAACAAAGCTACGTCCATGTCCATGTTGGTTGTTCTTGAAGATTGATATCGCCCCGAAAGAAAGTTGGTCAAGCTCATTAGCTCCGCTACGAGTCATGCGTTGAACAGCGGCGACGCTGGGTTGACCCAAAATAATTTGACCACTTGGTCCCCTCATTGCGTCACAGTGGTTCTCTCCGAGTTATGCATACAAGTCTCTCCACGCCATTCTGTCACTTGTCCTCTCGCCCATTCCACCTCGACGCCCATTTCCCTCTCAGTCCGGTTCGTGAGACCCACTTCTTCCTTTCTCTCTCGTCCCAATAAAGTCGTAACAACCGACAATAAATACATCATCATGGAGTGGAAAGACACCGGTCAATTATTATTCGCAATCACGACATGTGACGAAGAACTGTAATCTGTAGTAGTGCGGCCTGTAATTAGTTGTCATCATCAATAATGAACATCACCATCATCCTCCCTGCGGTGCAGGTGGTTAAGAGGGAGTTGACCACCTCGCCACAACCGACGACGACCCCTTTCCCCCCGGTAAGCGTGACGCCCTCCACGTCCGGCAGTGTGACGTCCGAGTATCAAGAAATCTTGGAGGAGTATCACCACCACGAGACGACTCATCTCCATCATAATCATCTCTCCCAGTCGAGAATTGATCACATTGCGGCACGACAGGCCGCCTATGATGAAGAGTTTGAGCAACAATTGCTCCGAAGGGAGCAAGCCTTCTCGCCCGCGAAGTCTATTCCCATCGACTTGGAGGAGGAGGAGGAAGAATTGCAGATAATCTCGTCCAGAATTTCCAGCGGGCATTTCACCACGGAGAGTACTTCATCCCCTGAAACGGTGAGGACGGCTGTTATACGATCACCACCTAAACAAAGTGGTGCGACGAGGGACGAGGGCCAGGAGCGGAGGGGACAAAATGATACGAGGTAAGGTTTCTTTTAACCAAAGTTTTACTTTAAGCTGGGTTTATACTTCACTCCTAGGTAACTTGCGCAACGTTATAATTTAACTATGGCGCAAGTTATCAAGGAGTCAAGTATAAATGCACAATTAGTTTCATGTGCAAACAAAGACCAAAAATAGTCTACTTTCTTTTCCAGAATTGAGGAGGAACCCTCGTTGCGATCAACATTCGTAGAGAAATCTTTACATGAGACTGATCATGAGACTGAAATCGTAAATCAGGGAGGAGAAAGAAGTTTGGCAGGGTTGAAAGAGGGAGAAGAAAATTATGATCAAAATTCATCGGAGGATGCTCAAGTCACCACCCTTGACGGCAGTGAGAAGAAAGAAGACGTAAGAAATGGCATGGACGAAGTAATGACTCAACAAGACATTCTGGACGAACTGGAGGAGCTTATCATCATCAAGGAGGAGGAAGGAAGGGACGGCAAGCCTCACATCGTCATCACAACCCAGGGTCCTGACCACATTGCCGAGCTGGATGACGACGATGGGAACGAATACGAGAGGAAAGCTGTCAACAAATTCAACACGGGTGACGACGTTGGGGGAAAGTTGGACAAGGAGGAGGAAAACGAAGGTGAGATTGAAACCCATTCTTCCACTACTGCGCTACCTGACTCGCAAGACAAGGCTGACGAGGAGAAAGAACAAGATAACTCGACGACTCATCAACAAGTAAGAAAGTCATCCGTACCGCAAGATGATCATGCCCCGACGAGTACAACAACTTCGAGACCTGTCCTACGTCGGCAAAGTAGGCAAATATTTGACCCTGATGTGATACCTACGTCACCCCCGACGAAGTCCGACACCAGAAGAGCGTCAACCCACTCGGACGATGACGATGAGGCAAAGTATCAAACAAATGAGAAGAAAAGACAATCAATCTCAAAACAACGGGACGATTTTACCCCGTATTCAGACACAGAGAGTAATGAAAGCAATAATACTGTGATAGCAGCATCAGCAAGGGAGGCGACAACTCCTTCTCCCCCACATCGTACCCAAGATGAACAAAAGACTAAGAGAACTACTGAAAAAAGACATTCACTTAAAAAGCAGAGCTCTGATGGTAACAATAATTATACGACGACGACAACTCCTTCCCCACCCGCGTCTCGAAAGGGTTCCGACACTGTTGGCGAGAATGTACGGTTAAGTCAGGCTAAACGTAACCCGATTACTGATCATGACAATCATGATGGACGGCAGGATTCCGTACCTACTTCTCGACGAGGATCAGAAAATTTTGAGAAAAGAGATGAACGCCAGGATTCCGTACCTTCGTCGCGAAGAGGGTCAGATAATTTTGCGAAAAGAGAGGAATGCCAGGATTCTGTACCTTCGTCTCGAAAGGGTTCCGACACCGCTGTGGAGAACGTACGGTTAAGTCAGGCTAAACGCGACTCAATTGCTGACCATGGTAATGACGTTGGACGGCAGGGTTCCCTACCTTCGTCTCGACGAGGGTCAGATAATGCCGAGAAAAAAGAGGAACACCCTCATGCTACGATGGTGAGAGGACAATCGATACAAAAACGAGACTCTACTGCTGGCTTACACCAAGGAGAAAGTGGGAATAATGAGAAGGCCAACTATTCTCAAGACGGACACCAAAAGAAGCAAGCTTCACCACCTCACGGGGAGGAATTTAGGAGGGGAAGATCTCTAGAAGAGAATAAGCAAGAGGAGGAAATTGTTGCAAAAGTCAGAGAGGGGGCAAAGAGAGGATCGATTACAGGGCATCCCGTGGAGAAAGTTTATGATGAGGCGACGTCGTCAAGAAGAGCGTCCAAGGCTGAGCCTGCTGGTGACCATTCGATACAAAAGCGGGGTTCATCCGACTCTGATCAGGAGACTGTTCAAAAGAGAGCTTTGGGTGAGTTGAGTGGGGAAATGCATGATCAAACTGTTGGGAAGTCGCATTCGAGTGAAGAGAACGTTAGCCAAGAGAAGAAAACTCCTCCGAAAGGACAACCCGTGGTGGTGAGACGGACTTCTGTTGTAAGCCCGACGAAACAGGTAAATTATTCTCAGGACAAACAACACCGGTCGCATCAATCGCCTCCAATAAAACAGCATTCTCCAGATAAGCAAGGTCACTCTCGAGATGACCACCAGCAGGTAAAACATAATCAGGAGCATAGTCAGACGACTCATAAACGGTCGAATAATCCACCACCAAAACGGCAATCGAGTCAACAACGGTCTCCTCCAGGAAGTAAACATTCTCCAGAAAATAAGGTTCAACACGGGTCTCAAAAATCTTTAGAAAATCAGAACCAACAAAAATCTCATCAATCGAAACAACACAATTCTCCTGAGAATCAAACTAGATCAACGCAGCAACTTCCACCAGCAGAAGGCTCGCATCAATCCCCTCCAGATACTCAAAGTCAGACACGATCACATCAGTCTCCTCCGAAACGAGCTCATCAGTCTCCTCCAGCCAAGCATTCTCAAGAAAGCTCCCATCAGTCGCCTCAAGCCCACCAAAAAATTCAAACCAGGTCAAGTCAATCCCCTCCAAGGGTAAGTCATTCTCAAAATGACCAAATTCAAGCCCGGTCTCATCAGTCCCCTCCAAGACACCCCCATCAGTCCCCACCAAGCCAGGCCCATCAGTCCCCTCCTAAGCAAATCCACCAGTCCCCTCCGACGCACACCCACCAATCTCCGCCAACTCAAGCCCATCAGTCCCCTCCAGCACACACCCACCAGTCCCCACCAACTCAAGCCCATCAGTCCCCTCCAGCACACACCCACCAGTCCCCACCAACTCAGGCCCATCAGTCCCCTCCTAAACAAATCCATCAGTCTCCTCCGACGCACACCCACCAATCTCCACCAACTCAGGCCCATCAGTCCCCTCCGACGCACACCCACCAGTCTCTACCCTCAAAGATTTCCCCAGAAAAGCAAATTCAAGCCCGCTCCCACCCATCACCTCCAGCAGAAAAATCACACGACATTGAGCCGCATAACCCCCCTCAAGATAAGGAACACTCTCCAGAGTCTCACCAACAGCATGGATCACCTCAGTCCCAACCACCACCACCAACGCCACAACACCATTCTTCCAAAACTCAACACCAACCAAGCACCGACAATTTTTCCCCCGAGAAAAAGCAGGAGATTCATGCTTCCCCTCCAACAACCCGTTCTTATGATGGAATCCAACACCAGGCTCACGTTCAATCCCCTCCAGAAAAACAGCACTCTGCATCAGACCCCCAAAGTCAACCTCTTACACAATTACCCCCAATCGTGACACATTCTTCTGCCGAGAGTCAAACTCCCCCTCAACTTATCCACTCTCCCCCAACCAAGGAATCTGCAGGGAGTCAGACGACATCAACTCATCATCCCCACCATCAAACGTCCCCTCCAACAATAAAGCAACCCCTCCAGCCCACCAACAACAACAATCTTGGTCAAAAACCTGGCGACCATCCAACCCCCAAAGTCCGAACGGCCACAACAACCACCACATCTCATCACCCATCATCTCACAAACTACCTCCCGAACCCCAACACCAACGCTCCTTCAAGCAGCCCACGTACCCTCACCGAATGACAAAAACCACCATCGCTCGACAAGCCCTGGCTCGAGAGAAGAGACGAGCTTACGTTGAAGAGAGGATTCAAAGCTACATGAGAAAATCTCAGTACGCCTCAGCCAACGCGTTGCACGAGTCTTACATCATGAACAAGATTCGGAACGGTGGCCTTCTCCCAGACATGGATAGCGTCGCCGCCCACTACGGGGCCGAGGATCTCACTGCCATGCGAGAAAAAGGGCAAGGAAGACGATTCACTAAACTGGACCCGGCATCGATGCAATCCTTGCCAGATATAAATTCCTATCATCACTACGCCACGAGTTATGCGACCTCGTCGAGTCGACGGGTGCCCTTCTCTTATCATACCGACCCACTCCCACCACCACCACCGCAAACCCTCACCGCCATTTCTATCATCAAACCCCCACCCCAATACTACTCACCAATTGATAACTCTAACAACAACACCACCACCACCACCAATGATAACCATCTGCCCGACCCCACGACTCGATCTAACACGACTTCCTTCCAATCAACGGCCGAGACTTCGCAAAATAGTGGAATTTACATCGACTCCAATCCCGAATCGACGTCTAATTTCTGGAAAAACGTGTCTGAACAGGGATTCTACTACTCGTTCAGAGTGAGACAGTCCGGCACGGTGCAAATGATGGACAAGTCCGTGCAAACGGGGGAACAACCGCAGAGTTATGTGCTAGACTTTTCCCGAAGACCGGATGGGCGCTATGTCCTTCAGAACAGTAGACCGGTGAATTTGGGGAGTAATAGCAATCATCATCATCATCATATTAATAACAATCACGACACCACGACACATTTACCTCCCATTAACAATCGTAAGTGAAGAGAAGGGGCACAAGACACCCCACACACAAATCAGTAGTAGTGGGTAGTAGGAGGAAGGAGGGGGCTTTTTTTAAAAAAAACTAGCTGAGATCACGTAGAAAAAATTCCATGCTTCCTACATGTACACATGTCCTACATCTATTCATCCATCCATTCATCCATCAGTAGAAATATCATACAAAAAATCCATCACCACCCCCACACGACGAGAATCGTATGTATGCTGTCACCACACTTCTTGACATTCTTCACATCCTCTCTTTATCTAGGAGACAAGATTCTTAGAGATATCACGGAAACTGTCCAACTTCGTCATGACCAGGAACTCAGGCGTGCAGAACTTATACAAAGAGCGAACGATCTTCAATCACTGGTCAAGGAGAAGCGTGAAAAAATTAATCGGGTATTTCTGCATTTTTCCATTCTTCTCTCACCTTGCAGGCCGTATTGATTTCACGTATTTCACTTTTTTGCATTATGCTTGTACGTACAAAACTTGGGCTGCTTTCTCCTCGAGAGTACATATTTCTCTGGAGAGAGAGAAAGAGTGATTCCTTGCATGTTGCCAATCAGGGGGAGAAATCTCTCCTTTACATATTGCCTACTATAACTTCTTGAATATTATTGCGTTGTTAAAAGTTGAACGTGTACATACTTATTTTTGCCCAGTCTCATTTCTCTCTTGCGATTGCCCTTAATTACTTTCTCTATAACGTCTCTCTCTCCCTCTAAAAACAGTAAAAGTCGGTCAAGGCTTTCTCTCCTGTAATACTTTCCTGTATGCATATGACTCTCAATAATATTTTCTAAGGATTGAATTTCAAGATTAAACAATTAAACGTTTTCCTGCTTAGATTTCCATCTCTTGCTTAATTGCCCTCTTTTTCTTTCTAACCTTGGCTGGCTAACAACCCTACATGAGTTAAAGTCTGTAGGTATACTTAAAATTATGATTATTATGATTCTCTCTTGATTATTAGAGACATGAATTTTGGCATAAAAAGTACATCGAGGAGTCGTCCATGACTCGCCCCCTCGAAGCAGCATGTACCTCCCTCCGAGCCGAACTGAACACTGTGCACAGGTAAGAGTTATGAGATACCAAAATGAACTATTTCACAATACTTTAAGGTACTAGAACCTAGGTGAATTAGTTGTGTGCCTCGTATTTTGAGTTTTAAACGAGTAGACCAACGAATTTTGAATACAAAAAAAAACATGAGTATATTACAAGTAATTTCTTAAAATCAAATTCACTTTACTGACCCCCATTTTCTTTCAACTAATAGAAGACTAATCGCCCATTTGGAAGGACGAGATCTCCCACTTCGGCTGAGGGACGGACCGTCCAAAAAGGTGCTTTTATCTAGCCTTTATTTATCCTATAAGATTATCTATTGTACCAAAAAGTACAACAAATGTGTTCCTAGGCAAATTATAAAATTATGGCTGCCCGACTCCAACATGAAATCAAGGAACTACAACAGAAGGCAAAATCGGCAAAGTTACGGCTGGAATCAGAAGTTAAGGTATGAAAATATCCCATAATAATGTGGAAATGAATCGTTATAATACTAATTTACGCCCCGTGGTATGATATCTTATTAGCTCAAGGAACAAGCGGAACGAGAAGTGAGAGATATTCGCAACGACCTGGCGCACAAAAAGGTGGTCATGTCCTTGGCCAGGTCACAATTTCCTGCCGCTCTGGCACACCATCCTCGCGCCTATGAATCCCTGGTGTATTAACTAAACGAGAATTAATAAGATCCGATCAGTCAGTCGACATAAATATGTATGTAAATGGTCCGGTCAGCTAGACGAAGAGACGACAGTGACCTCTTAGTGATGATTACTTCTTGTTAGAATTTAATCCATTCTTTTCGTCAGTAGAAGAAATTCGACTATTTCAAAATAATATCTAAAACACGACATTTAGAGCAGATCTACATACATAATACATATTATATATTGAGAAGAAAGTCAAAAAATACTTGGAAACCAGGACGTTATTTAGTTGTACCAATTATTTGTTATTCTTCTATTGGTTCGGTTGGTTTTTTAAAAAAAGACCAGCTTTGACAGAGAAAGAGAGAGGAAGATGCAAGTTAGTAGATTGTGAATTCAGATTGAGAGGTGTATTTCTTATTTGGGGAAGTATTTTCTAAGAAATGTTTAGTATTTGATGATAGGCCATTAAGATACTAGAATAATTAGTCAAATTAATTACACATCCTGACGGGAATTATATATATACATATATGATAACGATGTGATGTAATATAAAAATTATGTGACACGCAGAAAAACTTTTGCTTTTTAGGAAACTTACTATTTTTAGTAGACGAGATCAAATACTAATTTGGGGTGCTTCAGGTATTGATAATCCTCAGCAGTCAAATCCGTTACTTTTCGGTTAATCTTTGAAGACGATAGCATCGATTTTCTGAAAATAGATGAATTTATAAATTTGTTAGAAAGCAGGATCTTAAATTACAGTAATTAATTATTTTCATTAATTAACTCCAAAAGATTCTCTAACAGTTCAATTTAGGATTGAATTATTTATAGCGAAAAAAAGTCACCAATTTCTCTATTTTGATAGCATCCTAAATTTAGTAGGACAGCCTAAAGTTTTGAAATACCTCTTAAAAAATCACACGCATGCACACATATCTTATCATATATTTTACCTGCACCACTTTACATATATTACTAAAAAAATCACTCAAACTTATATTTATAGTGAAAAGAAATTACTCTCGTAAAAAAAGTTTGTATGATGCTAGTTGAGTGAGATGATTGTAAAATTAGTACCTATTAATATCTGGTTATTGTGGGTTTAGTTCGACAAATTGTGTAGATTTGATGTAAACGCAAACCTACATCAGTTACCTGAAGAATGCTGGAAAGAAATCGTGACAAGAATGGATGGATAATTAACGACGTCGGGACACCGGAAGAATGAAGATATCTAATCTTATACCAAGCAAATATATAGAAAAAAACTACACTACTAATTATTCTATGCCTTAATATCATCTTATCCATCCAATCCTATATAGTCACCTGTAACTAAATATACTCGATAATTAAAGGCTTACTTACAATTAATAGTTTATCTTCCGCCGGAAAATTACTAATTTCCCTACCTACCTCCTCCTACCTCCCTCCTCCCTCATTCATTGTAATGTATTGATTTGATGCAAATTTTGGGAAATAAATCTTAAACGTTTGGTTGTGAGAGAGGGTTCACTCTACCAAAAAAATACTTATTAGCTCGTTAATATCGTTATTAACGTAACCTTACTTCATATCTTAATTACAAAATCGTAATTGATACACAAGCACAAAAATTTACTTACTCATCACGTCCCCTTCCCGATTGACATATGGTTCTCCTCCAATTCGACCAGGTAAGAAATACGTCACAACTTTAAATTGCCAAAATAACAAATAATTAGCAAATTGCAAATTGGCAGAAACTTGAATCAAGTTACTTGACGTACACAAAATTAATCTCAACATAAAAAGGAACTTACTAATCACGCCCCCTTCCCGATAAGCATATGATCCTCCTCCACTTCGACCAGGTAAGAAATACGTCACAACTTTAATTTGTCAAATTAGCAAATAATTAGCAAATTTCCAGAAACTTGATGTACATAACATAAATTAATCTCAAACAAAAAAATCTTACTTCCTAATCACGTCCCCGACCCGATAAGCATATGATCCTCCTTCACATCGACCAGGTAAGAAATACTTGACAATTCTGAATTTATCGAAATACCAAAAAATTACCAAATTTTCAGAAACTTTAAAATTAATCTCTCATACGAATGGCAAATTAATTTATTTTGATGTGAGTGAGTCCTGCTCCCGCCGCCCCGGTCTCAATCGCGGGACTGGTTTTGTGTGGGACACAGTCTTTTTCCTCCCGTCGTCCAACCACTTCAAAAAATTTTGAAATTTTGTGAAATAATTTTGTGGTGGGGACCGTGTCAAAGGTCAAAAGAGGTGTGACATGTGAGCACCCGTCACGTCTAAGGCAGAATTAATATGTAGCGTGGTAAATATTCGTTCAGAGCTGGACTCGGTGGACGGAGGGACAATAAAGTAGACAGGATTCGAGTGATTATTCGAGTTAATTTTATTTTAATTACTTAATCACTTGTCCTTTGTGCTTGTGAAGGTGTAGAAATGTTGAAAATCAGAGCCTTGAATGAGTCAAGTAGCAGCAGCGAGGAGGAAGACGAGGATAATCCAAGACTTAGTGTAGAAGCGCAGGTGAGTTGATTTAATTAATTGAGAATTTAAAGAGGATTAGATATTTTTGGTTTTTTGGTTTTGTGATTTACTAATCGTGTCATTAACTTTTACTTACTATTCAGGAGTCACAGGCGAAATTGTTGTACGAAAAGGCTCAGAAATTAACCATAAATCAAGAGTATGAACAAGCGGTGGAAATATTTGTGGAGATTTTACAACTACCTTACCTGAACGTTTCGGTGAGTGGGGAAACGTTTTTTGGATTAAGTTATATTATATTATGGGTAAAATTTAATGTTGGGTTGAACAGGAATCAGAAAAGAAGACGTTATCTCCAGTCCAACTTCAGCTTCGCTTAGGTTGTTTGAAATGTCTCAGTACATTATATACATCCGGCGCGACGAAGAACTTGGAGGATGCTACCGCCGTTCTTGAACTTATTACGGAACTGGAGCCGAAAAATGTCAACTTCTGGTATCGCTTGGGAAAGGTTGCGTTGGAGCGGAAAGAGTTGGAACTTGCCTACGATGCTTTCACCTCCGTCTTGGATTGCAGTCCAGGCCATTGGGGAAGTATTGAAAACTTGGTTACCATCTCGTTCGCCCTGCACGACCTTTTAGGCTGCCTCCGCTTCTGTGCGATTGGGCTGGCTAAAGATTCTGGATTTTTGAAGGGTCGCATCTTCAAGAATGAAGTGTTCAAGTGTCACTCCTGGACGGAGGATGCTGTCAAAGGGAGGACTGAGTATGAATCCCTCTTCTCTGAATCACCAAAACTCGCCGCCTTGACCGAACCGGATATACAAAAGTATATCAGTGAAGCTAGACGACTTATGAGCCAAGTTTCCCAAGAGAAATTACAACGTAGGAAGGAGGAAGAGGACGAAGCTAGTAAACCTTTGAAATGTCCGTTTGCCTTAAAATCGCTCACTCTATCTGAACTAGGAAATACTGTTTTTGATGTTTATCATCACCTGAAAGAATCTGGGGTAATTACTTCTAGCTTTGTTCTTCGAATCTAAATTATATAAAGCAAATTGATGATGGTAATGATCATTGTCCTCTTTTTCTGAACTATGTGTAGACCTTACTTCGACTACTAGACCTTGCTAGTGCACAAACTCTCGTTGCCACCAGCACAGAAGGCGCTACCACTAAGAACACAATAGAAACTCCACTTCAAAATGGAAATTGCTCCCAAGAACTTGGTAACTGTGCATCTGTTACGATGCGAAGTCGAAGCACGAGTGATGATAAGGACCCGATTCAAAGAGATAGTGGAAACGATTCAAGCAGGCCAGCGAATGATAATTCACGTAAATTTTTTTACAAATGATTTAACAATGACATGGTATGCAAATTATGGAAATATTAATCAAAGTTTATCCATTAATTTCTACAGAAATGGTAAGCGAGTCCGAAGATAAGATGAATGAAGACGACTCTCAAAGCGCAAATCCAAACCTGCAAGGATGCTCGACGGAAGAAGAGGCGAATTCACAACGAGGAAAGAACAGGAAAGGAGGTGTGAAATGGTGGCAGATTGAAGGACAGCGTAGATCTCAACGGGTGCGCGGAAACATGGTGACTGCCCCTGTTAAAGCCAAACCGGCGAATACGTTTGCCGAAATGTTGCGAAACATTATTCCTGAGGCTCTTTTGTAAGTTGGTCCATTTACTTTAACCTACATTTAGTTTGTTCTTCTAAATTATTAATTTCGTTATTAATTATTAAATTAGGGTTGACGAAACTAATAGTCCCACAAAGAAGGATAAGAATACATATCATCAACACCAGCAGAAATTATCATCCTCCAGCAGTAGTAAAGTCACTAACCCGAATCAATACTACTTTGGATCTAGTGAAGAAAATAGTGACGTTAAAATGCTCATTAGTCAATGGAAGTGTGTCGACATTTTAAGAATAATAACTCAATATGTTCGCTGGTTGGCTCGAAACTGTAAAGCACAGTGGCCCACAGAGTTGAGAACAATTTTCACAAAGTTGTACCACCTATATCGCAACAGTGTTCCTACCGAGTGCACCCTTGATCCCGTTATTGAGAGTGCAAATTTGGACGTTGAAGACGACTGGTTTACCATCCTTGCTCAAGCCGAACTTGCCCTGGATGCGAGCAGTTGTCCCAACCCGACAAATATGTTCTTGCTAGAGAACGCTGCGAAAAGTGGGATTTTAAATGAAGATTTTTTACTCCGCGTGGAATGGTTCAAGTTTAAGAATCACCTTCTTCAAGGAAAAGATGAGATTACTGTTGACCATTCCTACACAAAACTTCATCTAAATTTAATTCTCGAAATGTTGAAAAACAAGCCGGACGGATTTATTTGTGTGCTTCCAACCGAAGTTGATTTTGTGATATCCTCTCCCGTAATTATTGACAAGTTGCAGTACGTTCAAAAAATTGAAAAGTTGAGCAAAATTGAAAAACTGTATGAAACTAAGCAATTTGAAGATTTAGTTGAAATTCTCAACTTTAGTCTTTCCGTCGATTCTTCAGATGATGTGCAGAATCGGATCTATTTAACTGAATCATATTTTCATCTCGGCAGGATCGAATGTGTCGAACATTGTGACCTAGTTTTGCAAACTTTGACAAAAAATGGGTCCGAAGAGAAGTTACTCTCAATTCTCAAACTCCTTCGTGACATTTGGGAAGGAATGAAGTGTAAAATGGAAACAAAAGAGTTCAAAATGATGATAAACACATTGCTCAAAATCCTGATCCGTGTGGAAAAGCAGGAACAGTGTTCTCACAGTTTTCTCATCACGGAACCTTGGTGCCTCCTTCATGCTGTGCTCTACCACTTGGAACAAATTGAGTCCGCACTGTTCATCGATGAAGAAACGGTGCCTGGGTCCATCCTCATTTTGCAACTGGGGCACGAGATTCTCAGCAAGAGTGGGAAATGTTCCATGAACGAGGGACACTTTTTGTCCTACTGTATCGCCATACTTTTAGAGCTCGCAGGGACCGACATGTACTGGGCTTTTGAGGAGACGAAGACCTGTCTCGACCAAGCCATCCTCTGCATGTACTCTCATCCCAGTAAAAAGTTTAAGCTCAAAAATTTAAAGGATCACGGAACATCAGGCATTCCCATGAATTGGTCGGCCTGCTGTCAGCTCTATAAGTACTACCAGTTGGACGAACTGCCTGAATTTGACAGTAAACCGAGCAAGTCTATAAGTGCCGAGGTGGAGAATTTATTCCAAAGAATTATTACCGAGATGCCAGCACAATTTAAGTCACAAGAGCGTTATGAGCAGATCAAGGAGTATATCAAGGGAAATGGACCTTCGGACGTTGTATTTGAACCGAACGAGTCAGCAGAGAAATTAGAAACTTTCGACATTTACTATTTACTTGCAGATTTCTACTTTAAGAATCAAGATTTACAGAAAGCAGTGGAATTTTACATCTGGGATTTAACCGTGTGTCCTTTAAGATTCGATTCCTGGACAGCTATTGCCCTAACGAAGACGGAGGATGTCGTTTCGAAAATTAATGCCTGTGATGCCTTCAAAGTTGACGACGTCATTGTCGAGTCGGACGCTGTGATTAGATGTTTTCAACAATCTGTTAATCTCGATATGACCAATGCAAAAGTTCGGATTGAATTTGGTTCATTTTTATACGCGCTGCATTCCGTTTTTACCCGTGAGATGAATCTGCACAAGGACAAGTTGACACCAGAACTTGTGGAGGAGGTGCAGATGAGGCATTCGACGTATCTCCTGAGATCAAAGAGTTTGTTTGAGCCGTACAAAGTGGGAGGACCGGATGCTCCAAGGGATAAAACGGATGAGGACGATGCCTGGATTAATCACTACATGTTGGGGAAAGTTGCAGAGAAAACTAATTCGACGGAGCCGACGATATTTATTTCTCAGTATGTCTTGGCTGGACAACTTTTGCATGCAAAATGCTCCACGTATCCATCTCGGATCAACTACTATAATCCTCCAGATTTCGCTTTGGAAGCTTTGGAAATTTATTTTAGGTCAGTGTAAACTCAATTTAAAATCTGAATCCTTAATAACACAACTGTTAAGTTTGCCTAACTTAAAAAATCTTTTATTTGTCTTTCAGAATTCACGCGAGTATTCTAAAGTTTATAAAACATATTCAAGAAGATAGCAATAAAGAGTGTGAGGATATGTTGTTAAAATTTCTGAAGGATGCGGAGGAGAGTCCCTTTATGAAATCCAAGCAAGGCCGAGGTACAGATGGGGAGAATAAAAGAAAAAAGGCTGCTGGGTCAGAAGAAACCATTTCAAGAAGGGTAACTACCTTGGATCTTAAACATGTTTTTCGTATTTGAGAAATTATTACAGTAAATAAATCTCGTGATTTTATATGTGCAGGAGAAGACCATAATTAACTCTGTTATGCAACAAATTTTGGACCAAGTTGAAACTATGGTGGCTGCTGAGGTTCCGTCTTCTTCCACAGCGGGAGCTGTATCGAATTCGTCGTCCAACTCTTCAACAGAAACCACATCGTCCAGTGAGGAAGACTCGAACCCCGTCACCGCCAACACCACCATTCAACCTGCACCTCCCGCCTTGCAGAATCTGTCTTTATCTGCATTCCGGGATCGTATTCGAGCCGAAGAGGAGTCAAATTTAAAGAGCAAGATATCCGAAAATAATTCAACTAGTAAAACTCCCGAAACTTCGCAAAATGTGAAGAAATCTTCTCCAGAGGAAAAGAATCATGCGGAGAAAAATCCATTCTTTAAAGATTTTGCTTCTGTCCGGTACGGATTAGTGATTTCAATGTGTCTCAAAGCTATGAAGGAGTGCGTGTCGCGATGTCCTCAGTATTTTAAAGCATTCTATAAATTGGCGAATGCCTATGTCTCCTTCAAAAAAGATTATAAGAAGGCGAAAGAATATTTAATGGGAAATAATTTCACTGGCACAAATAAAGTCACGGGATTGTACGGCGAGAGAAAACCGAGCAACTTTTTTAACGTGAGTATCAAAAGTATTTAAATATTCAACTTCTGTTACATTAAATACTTTAAATTGATTATATGTGCTATAATTTTTAGGGAATTTGGAGACATCCCATCGAAGATATTGACCGTCCTGGAAGTTTTGCTTTTTACATGTCGAAATCCATGTCACTCTTGTTGATGGTTCTTACAAAATTACAAGATCATCAAATGCTGGCCGACGTTGGAATTCAACTAGCGAAAGTTCCAGATTCCAAGAATACCTATTTGTACACCGAAGATAGAGAACAGTATTCATCAGAAGCATTTAAGCTTTGCGAAGCTTCAGCTAGGAAGTCCCTCTCACTGGCAAAACCAGCAACGATGTTGGAATGCGGTTTGAGTATTTATGATACGTATACAAAATTTCAAAAGTTTAATGCCAAGGAGAATTATGTTGCTCACGTGTTATTGGAAGTTTATAAACGACACTCGTCAGCAGTTAGAATGGTAATTATTGGTCAATCTAATCTAATGAGCATGAAGTTAGAAATTTACATTGTTATTTATAGAAATTTGATGAACCTTTTAAATTTTTCTCTCTTTAGAGCATTCTTTCTGAAGAACCCGTTCTCGCAGATGCGGTCCGCTTTTTTCAACAGATTGTTTGGAGTACTTGCACAAAGACCTCGAAGAACAGCATGATCGGATATAATCCTCCAAGGTCAGCAGAAACCGTTGGAAGTAAACTACTGGCTGAGAGATCGGTATGTGAAAAATTTGTAATGAATGATTTTTACACTTCATCATTGTTTTGTAAACTTATGTGACACGTTTATTTCCAACTTCTTAGTTACTAAACCCAAGCGGAACTCTCACCAACAACAACATGCTCACACCACTATCACAGAAACAACCAATTATGAAGCGACGTTTGTCAGATGGAACCACTCGAGAAGAAACCTCTGTCAAAAGTGGTCAGAATTCTATGGTGGGACCAATAACTCCACAACCACTTCATCCAATGGAGTGGCTGAACTATGACCCTTCGGCAGCCGACATGATGCTAGCAGCCCAATTAGCTTCATACAACAAAGTGCTACAACAGCAAATCCAAACTTTTTTGACTCGCAATTCATCCATGCTTGACATGGGGTTAACTGATCGAAGTGGAGGCCTGTCTGTTGACAATAACACCAAGCAAAATCATAATAATCAAAGGCTTGATTTTTCATCTGGAAAAGTAAATGATGAAAATAAGACCAAGAAATTACAAACGAATACGAATGCTCAGCAGATGCTGCCTAATCCGTTCAATTCCGATGCGTCGTCGACAAACAACGACAGAAAGGATTCTACAAAGCAAATGATTTCAAATATGTCCAAATCCATGACTAAAAGAACATCTGAAACTAGGAACAGTATTAATGACGCCAGCCGAACTAATCTGGTAAAAAAACGACAACAGCAACAACAACAACCGCAGCAATATAATAATACTAACAATGTCCCCCAACAGCAGCAGCAACAACAACGTTTCGAACCTTCATCATCGACTACTACTCCTTCGCGTGGGCTGAAAAATAAATTCAAACCGCCCAGAAACATTGCACAACTTGGGGCACAACTGAATAAAATGCAGAGTGAGAAAACCCGTGTCGAAATTCCGACTATATCACAGGTATCATATGCATTTTTTAATTGTAATTAAGCATGGCTAAGTAGCTAAATTACCTCTTCATTGCTAGATTCAAACTCTGAAGAGTCCATCCACACTCAACAAGGAATACCCAGGCATCACTACTTCCAAGGCTAGCCCCTCTACATCAACATCATCGTCTTTAATGCCATCCAAAATTCTTTCTCTCCCAAAACCCAAACCTACCAAACAGACCTCAATTCCCCCCAACTTGATCTCCCCACCATATCTATCATGCTCTCCGTTTCAAGCACAGGCCACAGCCATGGTAAACCCCGCTATTCCCGGAAGACTTTCGAAGAATGGGTCACAATCGAGCTTAAACTCAAGTAATGCTTCTCCACAACCTGCCCATTCTCAAGCCGTGACACAACCACGGTACAGCATAGCTTCCAATCTTCCAGGACATTTACAACCCTCGCGGGTCTTCCCCAGACTAACGAGTACCGCACCGCAACCCGAAGTTGTCGATTTGACAACAAAATCCAGTCCGGAAAAAAATACAAATACAAACACTAAATCTAGTCAGCAAAGTTTCTCAACCAAGTCCGGACTGGATATTACTCGGTTGGAAAAATCGTCATCAAATTCTCAACCTCAGATTATCGAGACCTCATCAGTCACTTTAACCAAAGTTTCCACTACAACTACAAATATTAATAACAGTAATTACAATAATAATACTAATAGCAATAATAACAACAAGCCCAAGGCTTCGGGAAAAATTGACGTTACCACGTGCAGTAACGAAGAACTTTGGGATCTCTACATGCAAACACACAAGCCGTATAATCCCATTGTAACTACTACAAAGTCCTCCACTGATCTTGTGAAACCCTTGATGATGATACCCAAGCCTCCTTCAAGACCCTCCATCACCAAGACGACCACTCCCCTGAACAGCATGGGAGGAGGTGGAATAACGAACAGTACTCAAGTCTACAAGACTCCCACTATAATGTCCACATCCTACAATCCTTCTCCCACCGTAATCACGAATCTAAAAACCCATAATAATAGTAATAGTAAGCCAGCCCAAGACTTGACACCGAAGGTTATCCTGACAAATTCTAATAAAAATAATAATCGTTCGTCTCTAACGTCGCAAAACGTCTCCTCATCTGCACCATCATCGTCATCCTCGATGTCCCGCGGCCAGAAACGTATGCATTAATTAATTTACTTATTATTCATTAATTTGCATTTTAATCGAATCTTCTTGTATTATAGGACAACTACCAGCCGACCAACCTCGTTACCCACTTCCTCCCAAGAAGAAGCATCACATCATTCCGACAAGTCCTCCCCCCGTGGTCGACCTTGGTGAAGACGTTGAAGTTATTACTCTTGAATAATACTCATTATTATGTTGTATAATCACCTCAATTTTATTTTATCAAGCGAATGTTCAATTTCATTTTAACAATTATTTTAACACTTTTTAGCTTTGAGCCCACACAATACTTTTTATCTGGTCCTTTAACATAAATTATTTGTAAACACTGCGTTATACACTTTAATTTGGTATTATTATGATTTATAAAGCTTTTCCAAAATGAGAAATACCCGATACCCAGACTTGACGAGAAGCCTTGTACGGATTTTTGATTAACTTTACGGTTTTGTTTCTCTTTACAGGGCAAAATTGTTGTGGTGGACCCTTCCGCTACACCTAATTGATCTGTGCCAACAATATAAACTGCACACAACGACATTATTATAATAATTCAAATGATAACGATTGTTCACAGTATTCGCAATACATTCATTGATAAGACTGATTATGGTTAAGGTATTGCCTCCTGTAAAATTAGTTGACCAAGTGGCCGGTGTATTTAAGAGCAAGTATTTAAACTATAGAGTAAGTTTTGACTTGTTTTTTTTTGTCCTGTAGACTCCCTCCACCCATGATAAGTAGTTATATTTTATGATGATTAAATAGATGATTTAAGGTATGGCATTTAATGTAAATTTACATATGCAGGGATTACATTTTGCTACAAATATCTGTATTATGCTCAAGTTTATATAAACCAATGTATGTTTTAGACTTTTGATACGTAATCAATTTATAAAGAATGTGAACTTGTAATGATGATTAAGAGATTTGCATTAATAAAAAAATATGACAACTCTCAAACGCGTCACGCTTTTTTAGTTCGAAATATCTGCGTAATTTTTAAATGAAGAGTTAGCGGACTTTTTAGGTCAAAAGGTAACGCGGTGCGAGGTCATGATATGAACTTCACAACATGAAATCTGTTGCTGGAGGTTAGTTAAATAGCAAAAATACTTAAAATATCTATGCATAACCAATAGTTGAACTTAATATTCATCTAATTTAATCCAGTCTGAGGCTAACAAACTAACAACCCCAATGATCTGAGCAGTATCTAAAAACTCGTAAAATTGACAGATTTACGATTTCTCAAAAAAATTATATAAGTGAGTGAACGTTTATCTCGGTGGTATTATGTTTCACTGCGTGGCTTGGCTTGGTGGCATGCATTTCATTTCCTTTGTCTGAGACCAGTAGCGGCGGAGGAAGCAGGGGGACATTGTCCACCCAGAAATTCAGCTAAATTGTATATTAACAAGCCTTTCTTCCTCTAATCCCACAATGCTAATGTCCTCCCCCCCAAATTCCGCCGCCACTGTGCGAGACTGCATAATAAGAAGACTAACTGAATTTTCTACGTATTTATGCATCCTTCGTACCATAATGACTAATGTGAGACGATATGTGTGGTTGGTAATTTAACCTGAAAAGAACAACTGTGTAACTGCATTGCGTATTAGATGAAAGATACAAGATAACCTTTAAGATTAGGAGGCGAGATGAGATTAGTATGCAATTTTATTAGCAGAGAAGAACAGAAAACTGGTATTTTTATCATTCCTTTGACTATTTTGGAAAATTGTGTGGACCAAAATCTCTGTTTTTCCTTCCGAATAAATAATCCAATCTTGCCCATAAAATAAAAAGGATAATCTAATCAAATGATGACGTTGTTGCAAATTGACTTGTTTTTGTTCTTTCGCTTTCTTCCTGTTGATCTCCGCTGATGAGTGAAAGTTGATTTTGTGTACGTACGCATGCATGCAGCAATTCCTTTCTGAACCGTTCCTTCAAACAGATTACTTCACCCTCGACGTGAGATCAAAGGGTACATATGAAAACTAACAAGAAATATGTAGCATTACTCCTGGTTGACGCAGTGATGTGCGAAATTTGGTAGAAAATCTTCCTCCCTTCAAATAAATCGAGGTTTCTTGACAAAAGTGATGACGATGTCGACGACGACGGTAAGAATTCGTACAAGAAGCCAACGAAATTCAGAGTACTTATTACGTAGATATGAGCAGCATTATGTTTTTGGTGTGTCTATTTAGTTTTGTTTGGGTTCGACATTATTATTACTGACATCGATACTTGTTCAGATATTTTAGCGTATGTATGTACCTCTACGTTTCTCTGACTTTGTCTCACAGTGTTGCAGTTTTACTTGCAAGTCGGTCCATGATTGGGATTCATCCTCGAATATCTAATCCCAGAGAACGTTGAGGTCTTAGAAAAGTAAAAAACAATATGGCACACATTCACAAACAAATTTAGCTTTCGGATCAGTGTCAACTTATCAAGAGTAAAATCTGAAGAGTTAATTAAGTTTAAATTGATAGTCCGAATAAAAGTTGGACATATGTCGGAACATCAAGAGTACATAAAACCTGAGGACTAATCAGTTAACTAATTTCAAAATAGTGGTGCAAATTTCCTAATAAAAGTTGGACATTGGATAATTAAGGAGCGAAATAATATTATGTGCCATGAGTGCACTGCGTCTTCTGCTCATCTTCTCCCTCACGGGACCTTTCCTCCCTGGCGTTGAGGGGTCGGCGTGGTGGTAAAAATCAGACAAAATTCATCCCTTTCAGCGTGGGTTCGATTTCTGGTGCAAACGTGAAAGCTGGGGACGTGACCCCCTTTTTTAGGGTCAGTTTTTTTGCGGGCAGTGGGAATTTTTTGGGATTTTCTTTCCCCGTTTTCCGAAAAAAAACGAAGAAATCTAACCCACGCTTGTCAGAGAAGTTTGGTGTACAATGCGTGACTGGTTATCTTTCCAGGTATTTCACCCAGTTTGACACCCTCGCTGTGAACGAGCATCACAAAAACTTTTGCAAAGTCGTCCCCCACCTGAACAAGCGACAAAGGGAGATCTGCAATAAGAACTCGGACCTCGTGCGAGTCATCGGGGACGGTGTGAAGGATGGCGTTTCCGAGTGTCAGTATCAATTCCGGTATCAAAAGTGGAACTGCTCCACGTTCAGGAATGATCCCACCTTGTTTGGAAAATCATTAGTGAGAGGTGGACACGAAATGAATAATTAATTAATCTATTAGTTTGGGGGATAATTTCACATTTTTTATCGTGTCAGGTGGGTCGAGGGAAAGTGCCCTTCTTCAAGCGATGCATTCCTCCAGTGCGATTTACAAGTTGGCAAAAGCCTGTTCCAAAGGACATCCAGGGTGCGGCTGTTCTACGGAAATTTCGGTACGGATTTTTTTTGTTGGGAATCAAAAAATCATAGTTTTTTTAATAAATAAATCATGTAAATTTTGTGCAGAACGGCCAAATAAGAAACGCTTCTCGATACGATGCCCGTTTTAAATGGGATGGTTGTGACCAGGTTGTAAAATTCAGCACAAATTTTGTGCGAAGATTTATAGACGCGGCGGAATTACGCGTGTCCGATGCCAAAGCAAAGTTCAATCTGCATAATAATCGTGTGGGCAGAATTGTAAGTGAGATTTTTTTGGAAATATTGGATGAATTTATAATCCTAAATTATTGTTTGCAGATTGTTCGCAAAAAGTTGAAAAAAGTTTGCAAATGTCACGGGTTGAGTGGTTCCTGTTCGATGAGGACGTGTTGGAGCACGCTTCCCAGTTTTCGCGAGATTGGGGACGCCCTCCGGGGCAAGTACGATGCCGGAGTGGAAGTCATATTCACGCCGTCGGGCAGTAATGTAATTCCGGTGAGGGCAGGGCATCGGAAACTTACGAAGGTCAACCTCATCTTCTATGACATGTCGCCGGATTATTGTCGGCCCAATTTCGGCCAAGGTTAGTACTATTAAGCAGGATTAATGAAGCGAGTTGTACAAGTTTTGTCGAAAATTTAACGTAAAAATCGATAACTTATCGTCAAAATAAGCACATTTTTAATCATTTACTCTTAGAATTTATTTTAAAATTCTGGACGACGAATTTGTAGAGCAGGGAGTTGCCAACTTTTTTAAAATGTACACTTCAGATTTTTACCCTTTTTGAAGGAGGAGATCTCAAGTTTAAGAAGCCTTCGGAAAAATTGGAACTCATCGAAACTGGCTTAAAAACTCACAGCTATTCTATTAATCGACGTACTGAGGACAAATTTGTCGTCCAGAATTTTAAAATAAATTCCCAGAGGGGAGAAATAATTAAAAATGTGGAGATTTTGACGATTTTGGTGATGAGTTATCGAGTCCTATGTTAATTTAGTATCGTAAAATTGTGTAGTAAATAGTAAATATGTTTGGATATGTACATATCGCAGGGTCTGTCGGGACGAAGGGTCGCCCATGTCTGGATGCGAGTGATGGGGAAGAGTCGTGTGATATTTTATGTTGTCGCCAGAAATACGAAATTGTGAAAGTCCGCTACTCGCAAAGATGCAATTGCACTTTCACCTGGTGCTGTCAAGTCAGTTGTCAAACCTGTAATGGGACACGATTCCAGTACAGTTGTAAATACTAAATCAAGCATTAAAAGAAGATATAAAATTGTACAAGGTTTATTGTACACTGTTAAATTTAGAATTTTTTAACTTTATTTTTCTTTTCTTTTAGAGAATGTATTTATAAAATGTCAAAATATGTCAAATATGTTTTTTTTAGTTCTTAAAGCTTTGTTTTGTTATTTATATGTCCACAATTGGAAAAATGAATACATAATAAAGATGTTCTAATAGTATTCATAACAAGTTCATTTCCCAAACATTAAAGTTGTGTCCAACTACATGGACTTTGACGAGTGTGACCGGGTTACATCTTTCCAAAAACCACTCATTCACATGTATGGACAAACAGTTTATGACTAAAACAATTTGTATTTGCATGTGATCACTGTGACCCAAGGTTTTTACACTTGGGATTACTGTGACGCTAATATTAGTATTAGTATCAAGTTAAAACCTTGACTGTGACCATACAGGTTCAATAAAAACGAGAATGCTTTAAGGCATTCTACTTATTTTGCCGAACTTCAAAGCCGCCGGAATGCTTTGCTGCTGGGAGACTCCTTGGGTGACGTACACATGGACCATGGGATGCCGTCCAGCCACAAGGAAGAGGGGGTGGTGCTCAAAATCGGGTTTCTTAATGACAAGGTATGTCATACTCATACATAAATATGTAAATACATTCGACTGCGGAGATTGGTCTAAGAAATTAAAATGTAATATTCTCTCTTCTGTAATAATGTACACATGAGCGATAGATGTCCCGAGTTCATGGAAAACTTTGACATTGTGCGTGGGTTTTCGTGTATACAACATTTAGTGAATTAAAAATATTACATATACGATTTTTGTAGGTTCTGGAGGATGATCAATCTTTTAAACTCATGCAGCTTATTCTTAGTCGGATTATCAAGGACGCTAAGCAATAATGACAATAACAAATGAACGGTGTATGCCATTGTACTGTAAGTGTCTTATCATAGAATAGAAACGGTTTTCTAGTCAAAGAAATAACTCTTGGAATAATTTTGAATCTTCACAACTTCTCAATTTAATAAAAAATTATGTGCAAATGTAATGGAAAACAATAATGGGTATTAAATACTTGCGGAGCATGTTATTCGAACTAACTCATAATGTCCTAAGAGTTGCTTTTGGCAGCACTTTTTTGCATTTTCAAATCGTACACAACTTCTTCAATGGCCCTCGAGTCATATCTGTTATCGGAAAAAGTAAAATATTAATTTACGTGTCATATTGTTAGAGTTTGCCATTAACATCAAAGATTAACTAGTCAAGAGAAAGCACTCACTTCAAGGAATCGAATCTTCTTCGTAGTCCGTCGTTCTTAAAGTTCATACCACTGAAGCCGAAGGTGAGAGTGGAAATATAGCTGTGAATCTTCGCAACCAGACCGTAATTGTCTAGATAAGTTTATCATGCACAAATTTTATTTTATAATAAATATTAATCGTACCTAAAACAATGAAGGTAGTGTGCTAATCATACCTAATATAACACAGTTTTTTGCAAGACGGGCTAATTCTTGTCCAACGTCAATCATACCCTATAAATACGTAATTTGCATGAGCGTCGCCACATATGTTATTTGTTAAGAATTGTAAATTAGATGAAGGTCATTTTGAGGTTATTGAAGTACACCAACCTCCAAATATTCCTCCCACTCGAGAAAAATGCCTCCACTTTTACGTGTCTCAGCAGTGGGAACTATAATACCATTGGAACAATAAGCGTATTTAGTTTACCTTAATTCTAAAATATTAATATTTCAGTGTGACCATCATACTTTGTAGAATTGACGCTACAAACTGGACGGTAGCAAATGAGCCGTCCAGAAGAAATTTAGAAAGTCCGATGGCAAATACACTCTTGATGACATTGAATCGGAAGAAGTCGGCGTATTTATAGTACTCGCTGGGTGGCAATTTTTCCCCTATCTGTGCGAGGATAGGAGCTACGTCCTTAATTATTAGGTCCATCCCTGTCTCCCCAAGTTTAGTAGCTGCACATGTAATGCAAAATGGATAGGCACAATAAAAAATACATAAAAAATGTGTATAATAGTATGATAGGTTAAATTGCACAATTATGACATCGAAAATCCTGGACGGCACTTACTCTTTTCATCAGATTCAGCCTCCAAATGAATGCGTTGGAGGATGTGGAGAACACGTTTGGTTGCTTTTTCAAGCGCTCGTGACACGGTCCGCAGTTCCTGAATTTTCATGAATTGATCAGCTCAGAAATTGACTGCCATATGACTTTCCTTACACATGTCACAAAATATCTCTAAATATTTCCTACACTTACATTTCGAACATCCACTTCGGTATCAAGATCCGTTTGGAATTGCGAGGCCATGGACTCTACAACTTCAAGGCCCAGTTCGGTTAGTCGGTTTCGCTTAAATTCGTCCACAAGGGCCTTCGCTGCCTCACTTAATGAGCCGGCCATTCTTTCTAATGTAATAATGCAAATAATTCAAGTTCTAATTCCAAAAAAATTAGAGTCGGCTGCTCATGAAGTGAACAAACACCACAGACAGAGATACATTTTTAAACACAACTCGAGAATGAAAACTGGTGCGGAGCCATGCACTCGCTTTAGTCGCTTTAGTAGCATTTTGGCACTAAAACTACTAATAGAACAATAATGGACCACAGTAATGATGATAAATAACTACTATTTATTTTCATGAAGCTTTTTCAATAACCCTATTTCATATATCCAGAGTACTATAAATAAATTGGGGTAAATTGGGGTCGGAAATCGAGGCAGCGGCCAAATTCTAGTCCAAAATTATTTTAAAAATTATTTCCAGTAATATTTAACCCAAATTTGGACGAGTTTCAGACAAAACTCAAAATTTGCAAAAAATTCGCATATATTGGCTCTGATCTCGAAAACCACCAATGGGCCACCCCAATATTATTACGGATTTTTGATCTACTCAATATTACGAAAATTTTAAACCATCAAACTTGAAAATCGTCCGAGTGCGAAAAAACACGATCTCATTGTATATATCTATCTTAATCTTAATTAATAACCAAAAAGTGTTAAGTTTAAAGTGAGATAGATAACACTTTTTCCAACTATGTCGGGTAGCTAGATGGTTTTTAGCATGAGAGGCGAGATGAGACTAATCACACTACATCATTCTAAAGTAGGGACGAGCAAAGTGGGGAAATTGAGACGAGTGTCCTGAATTTGCTAAGTGTTAACTGCGTAATAGGTAAAAAGTCAGATAACACTTTTTATAACTATGTAAATAGGCTATGTAGATGAGATCCTTCTGAGAGGCGAGATGAGACTAATCACCTTAGTACATACATTCTACATACGTTCTAATGAAGGGGCAAGCCAAGCGGGGAAATTGAGACGAGTAGTATGCCTTTTGCATAAGTATGCTTGTTGAGAGTCTCAACTTGAGACTCAGTTTCATGATGCATTGCTAACAGGCCAGTTAAATAAATATGTAAATGTATGCAGATAATTCCATAATAATTTTTTAACAGATGAATAAACATTGTTTTTTTTCAAGAGTAAAATTTTCACAAGAATAAAATATTTTATTCCTTAACTCCTCCCGTCACAAATTATTCTTGAACGGCATGTTCCAATGTTTTTAGTCTTTTGAAGTATATTTGATTACAGTTTATGTCGTAGTACATATACATATTTACGTATGAGGTATACTTATGTATTTGCAAAAATTTTAATGTCATTAATCATCATTGCTAATTAATTATGTAGTCTTAATAATTATTAGTATTACTCTACTAACAATTCGACGCGCTAAGAGATGATAAATTCATTGATAATTAATTACAAAAGAAAAAAAAACTATACTCACGGACAAGAATAAAATTATAATTTTAAAATAAACGAGACAATTTCCACTTTTACTTACATACCTTTTCCTCCATGTTGACGAAGCATGATGAGTTTTTTTTCATAATGAGTATGACTAGTCAGTTCTGCTGAAGTAGATAATTAATTAATTAATTAATTAATTTCTCAGCACTTGGATTAATAATTGTGTATTATCAATCATCCATTATTTAATTGTGTATGTATTTAGCTACATAACTTGACCCTCTTTTTCCCCATCATGCATTGCTTTCATTCTTCTCTTTAAAAGTCATCAGTCCACAAAATAATAATACCACAGACAGCGATGGGATGGAAGAACATGAAACATCCCGACAAAAAATTACGACGATATCTACTTATCTACTAATTGAGGGACACTGATTACGCACCGTTGTCATCATCTTTAACCAACAATAAATACCACCACAAATACGGATACGGATACCGACGAGGACAATTTTCTAGTACAAATAAGAACAATAAAGAACAATGTTAAGTAGTTATCAGTGAGGCTAAATATGAAAAAACACACACACACATCCTGCCGATGATCGTCGCCCTCCTTTATTATTAGAGAGCGTATTGCTGTCAAGGTAAAGTTTTGAATTGGTAATGAATTTTAAGAAATTAATGCTTGGTTAATCGTCTAAGGCAAAATGTTGGATATTTTCTAACACGTGTCGTGTGGTTCATTGTTGTTGGTAAGTATTTTTTGGTATTGCATCGCGCACCGTGTATCTACGTAATCTAGCAGAGAAAAGTAAGTAAATAGATAACAACCGATGTGACCCGATAACGATATTGCTTGTAAATAAATGTCAGCAATATTATAATACCCGTGGTTTCACTATGTCTAAAAGTAGTACTAAATACGCATGCGGACTACAAGTAATTAACTAACTAACTGTCTTGCACTGTCTTCTGTCTAAGCGACAATTTATATGTACGAGAACAACAATGATGAATGCCTTTTATCAGCTCTTGGATTACAAGTACTTCTCCACTTTTCTGTTAACAAACCCAGTTATTAATAATATAAAATTAATTATTGGCTGCATAATTATTATTATTAGAATTAAGTAAGGATACAAATTATAAATAAGAGCAAATAAACGCAGTGATTTGATTATACTAATTATAATTGGGAATGGCCTGAAGTCAAAAAAGTATATAAGTATCAAATTAAAATACTATCGGAATATCGTAAAAATCGTAAATTTTCTCCACTCCGTAAAATTATTATGTTTTAACCAAGCAACGAAATTATTATTTCCCGTTTGAATTATTATTATATCACCATGTTTGATACATTCTTTTTGGAAGTATTAGAGAAATTGGAAGCAGTTAATGTATTAAGATTTTAACATATCTTAAAACTCAGTATCGTACCGTCAAGTCACTGCACGGATGAAGATGACTGACTAGAGGTAATTATTATTATTCCGTTTTTCCCCATGGAGTGAAGTAGCTTGTTGAGTGGGTGTGTCATGGATTATGATGATGGTGGTACTTCTTTCTTTACAGAGTTTGGTGTGGTTTGGGTGGGTGAATGGCTGACTTGTCACTTTGCGTTGGAAGTTTATGATGTTGGAGTATTTTTATTTGCGGCGTCGAATCGACAAAGACTAGTCCAATTCAGACAAATGAAGATAAACTGCTGTCGGTGGTGGTTATACTCTGGATAGGATTTGAAGAAAGCTTGCTGGCAACAGATTTTCAAGTTTGTCCATTATATAAATGACTGGGAGAGACATCCATCCAACGACCTGGGTCAATTTTGAAGTAATGGTTTATTAGAATAGTTTATTTATCATTGATGAATAGATTAGGGTACTCACAGTTTTGGCAACAATGGCCATCTGATCGGGGTATTGGTGAGTTAGAAATGCAATAAGTGCCGTAAAAGTGCACAGACCCGCAGTGAACATGATAAAGAATGGGGTTTCACGTTCGGGAAAGACGCTTACTTCGTGATGGGCTGTGGAAACCCAAGTACAAAAAAATGTAATAACAACTTGTCATCATTTTAAAAATTGTTGGTAACCAAATACTAACCTGGCAATATTTCACGATCTGGACACTCGGTGCAGGGAGGATAGGGAAAGAATAGGTTCCCCTTTTCCAATGGTCGTGGAATTGATGCAAATGTTCCTTCCCACGTGCAAGCTAGCAATTGTAACGCTCCATCGACTCTTTTCCAATGTTGCAAATGGAAAAATACATAGCAGACGGCTTCAGAATCACCCCTTTTTAACAAGTGTTCAGGTGGGAATACCATTGGTTTTAATTCTAGGAGATACTGCGGAACACAACAAATTAAACTATATTAATGAAAATGTATTCATAAAATAAGAAACCATTTTATTTTAGGAAATAAATTTACCTTGGGTACGTGTGGATTGTATTCAACAGCTCGATGAATTGCTTCAATCGCATTCATCTCTGAAGCGCTCAGACTTCGTTTTATTAAGCCGGATTCTGTCATGAACCTGTGCAACATATAATTACTTAATGTTGATAGTGTTAAAAATAAATATAGAAAAAGTACACATATTTCATAAATTACTCACTTTTCAGAAACCTGTCGAACTTTGAGAAGTGCGGATGTGTAGCACAGAGCTGCTGATCGGGGGACAGAGCCGTCGTCGTATTTTGCCAGGACGGCTTGAACATCGGCGTAAGCTTGCATTTCTAAAAGGGCTTCTATGAGATTCTCATGTACGTGGAGCACACTCATGATGGGCTGCACCTCTTTCGTTAACTGTAGTAAATCAATAATCAAAAAATGAAAAATTAATAAGATACGTTTTGGTGATTGATTTTTGGATATTTAGATTCTTCCTCTTACATCGCGAAACATTTTAACAGCTTCTTTTAATCTCCCAAGTTTTCTAGCACACATTGCTAATCGTCGCTTTATGTATATCAATACATTGATGTCCCTCCCTATAAGAGATAAGTCAACAACATGATAAGTGTTAGTCAGATAAGTAATTCCTTTGATTTCTTCAACCCTAATGGAGTAAATTAAAATCTGCTTACTTAAAACGTTGTCACCATTCCCTCCATGAGGTTGGGATAATTGTGACTTTCTTAAATTGGACTCTGCAGCTTTCATGGCTTGTTTGAGTAGTTTTTCACTCTCGACGATTGTACAAGCATCTTCCTCTGCGAGAAGGATGTAAGCCGTGGCGCAGTCTGGATTCTTCTCCAGCGCCGCCTTGGCTCCATTGACTCTCTCCTGAGGATTCCTCTCTCTCCACGCAGTCTGCATAACTACACCAAAAAACGAGCAATAAATAGATTAGAATTTTAAAAGATGGATAAGAAAACTACGAATTGAAACGTGGGTTCGATCGTTCTGTTGTTTTTTTAAAAAACCGGGGGAAGAAAATCTCGAAAAATTCCCACGCCGAGAAAAAAACGGATCCTTAACAAAAAGATTTCAAAACGACAAATTCTTCTTCTCCTGATTTTCGTCCCCGCTTGTTTCACGGCAAACGCATTTGCACCACAAATCGACCCCACGCATGGAAATTATCGCCAAAAAGTCATATCATCATCAGTAGTTTGTAAACTCACTAGAGTATTCAGATCTGTTTGCATCACTATCACAAGTAAAGAATGTCTGGTGATCTTGAGCTGACAAGTTCATGTCATAAAATGTTAACGGTTCTTTCTTCATTTGGTTGAAGTAACGTAAATATTCTGCACCACGGAATAAATTCATTGGATTTCGCCAAACTTTACACTCTACAAAAACAGAAACATGTCAAAAATTAGCGAGTTAATTATTACTGAAATAGTTGCTTCAAAATACTTAATGACTATGAAAAAAGCTTAACAATATATTTACTACCTTGCGTAGATTGTGTTTGACTTGGCGACGTTGCGTTCCCATTCGCTTCGCCGTTCGTATTTCCATTATAATCTTGAGGACCTAGCAAAGGTCCCAAATGATTGAGGGAGACTTGTTCAATAAAGGAAGTCCCATATTTGCGATAGTACCACCACTCAAAAATCTAAAGACAACAACATAATCACAACACTAAAGTCAACAAATCTAAACTTTTCAACTCCTTCTGATTAATAATTTGTACCAAAATCAGTCCCGAAATAAGCGACGACGTCCCAGTCAACGCGACATAGAACTTTGGCGTCAACGTGCTCAAAAACATGGTAGCTGGGTGAAGATAAGAGAAAATCTTTAGATTGTTTACTTATCATTAAAGGTCGAACCACTAAAGGATCATCATTCTACTTACCCATGCCGATATTTTCAGATATTTTAAGAGGTCCTCTCAAATAGTAGAGAACAAATACAACAAGGAGAAACCAGAAGGCCCAGAGATAAGTCCAAGACCTGTTAGTCCAGCTAATTAAGAACATTGTCGGCAAATTACAAATTCAAATAGACTCACCAGACGACCCAATTCTTAAATTTGCGGAGGTGGATTAAGATCATGTCTTCCGTGAAGCAAACTCATTCCTTCCTCTGACTGGCGCCCAGGTCAGAAAGATAACCACCTCCAGACTCGTCGACGACCTGCAGCATTTGTCAAGTCAACAATCTCCTATCTCAATGTACATATTATTCTGAAGCTCCGAAGATCTGTCACAGCCTTTGGAACTCTGAACCAAACAGCCCACAAAAATGTGAACCATTCCGCAAACCGCCATCAGGTGGCGAACAGTACCCGGCTGGGAATCTCCGGGCTGGATAAGGAAATATATGTCCAGATTTCTCGGTATGAGAAATTCCGGGCAGAATATTATTATGTCTCATTTGAGGTATTGATGTGTAAGTAAGTAGTGAATGGTTCTTATCAATGATAACTTAGTAAGATTATTGGTATCCTTGATTTTAACTATAAATTTGCTTGACAATTTCCACGATATTATTTTTGTTAATTATTTGATGATGATGTAAGTGTAGTATCGAAAGTATTGTTTTATGCAAATAACCACGTCTTTCGAGGATTCTAATCGTATGAGTTATCTGTTTCTTATCAATGACAACTCAGTAATGTTATTGTTGGTCCTTGATTTTAATTCTAAATTTGTTTGACAATTTCCAAAACATTATTTTTTTAATTACCTGATGATAATACAACTGTAACATCGAATGCTTGTAATACATTCATTACAACCATGTTTTCCTAGAATTCTACTCTTATTTCTTATCAGTCACATTACCATCGGGTAGTGGGTGAGTGAAGAGTCTCACTTTGTCGTCGATATCGTCTCATCTCATGTCACCTCAAATAGTATTAGTTCTAAGAATTCTACTAACACCCAAATTTATTTATTCAAGGGTCCGTCCCCTCGATCCCTATCCAGCCTCCATACATACGTCTAAATATAAGCCAAGCCAGGTGCAAATTCTAAAGTCCTCGTGCACTGCACTTCCAGAAATTAGGGGAAGGGCTGACTTGACTGATATGCATGCCCAGCACGATACGGATAAAAAAAGTCTTCTAAAGTCGTCACACACTGAAATCCTGTCTCGACCCTCGTCGGTATCACAAAATTTCTACTACTTGTTGTACCTTTATCTTCGGTTTCCTTACATGAATGCTCAAACTGCAGCGATACACGTAAAAGTACAATCATTCATACATCCTCATTTTTTTAATGGTTTAGTTTAGCTTATACATCCCCAAAAACTCTAATGTGGCATGGCAGTGGATGGATGCAAAATGTATAAATATGTATGCAGTATGCAATACCGGCTATTAGTAGCAAAGCATACATAAGAAATGTTGAGCATAAAGGTGGTTCATCTCTTTGGTCTGGTCTGGCCTGGTCTGGCCTGGTCTGTTCATAGGTAGTGCATGTACCCAACTAACAATAATCTACCCATACTTCTACTTATGTATGTATGTATAAAGTTGATATCTTTTTTACACCACGACTTCGGTTGAGGAGTCATTTCATTTCTCATCCTCAGCAGACTTTGGTTGTCAGTCTAATAAAAATAGTGACAACGGCAACAACATCGGCGACGAATTGGTCTTCGTGAGAGAATATTACATATCTACATACTTTCGCATACTAAAATAAATAAATATGTGACCACCACGCTTCTGCTGCTGCTGGACATTATTAAAGTCAGGCTTGTTTTTATCTTGGCTTCTCGATTGTGAAATTGTTTGCGTGCTCTGCTGGACAAGAAGATATGTGGATTCTGGTGCTGTTTAAATATAAAAGTGAGGCTGGTTTCGTTGAATAAGGAGGCTTATAAATTTGGCAGCTTTGCTCATCTCCAAAAGCTGAACAAAGAGGAGTCAGCGACTCATCAGAGATCAACAAGTTGTGGTCAAATCCATATTTGGTGAGTGCATGAATGCTAAGTACATAACATTACGTATATACATACGAGTTACGTAACGATTTTTAAAGTTTGAAGCTCTTTTTTCCAGTCGAGTGACTTGAATATTATCAAATTTCATGTCACATCAAAGAGGAAAAAAGAAATGTCATGTTATGTTACATACTTTGTACAAAAGGGTTAAATTACCCTTTTGTACATACATAATTTTAATCTAGTGACATTTTTAATTCGATACGTCACTCCATTCCGCCCAAGATGGGATTAGGAGATAAAGATAAATCGCTACATTTAATTTTTTAATACGTGCGTTGAGTTGTTATAAGAAGAAGACGAGTCTCTTTCTCATCCTTCCTTTTTCATTTACTTAACTCTTTGTTCACCCAACTTCCGGTGAACTAAATGATTTTTTATACGAAATAAAATATCAATTCGCGACGGACAGGATTTACTGACTGAGGGTACATATCAGGTTTTTAGTCGTTCATCCATAAATAAATGTACGCTTGTTAAGCGTACAGTTTTGAACCGTGTAAATAAAAATAGTGTAACAATAACAATAATTGAACGGATTGATTAATCGAGTCGAGGTATTTTTTGTAGTTGGGTTGGATTGATATGTGTGGATGTGCAGTGGCCGCGGAAGGGGTGGGGACATGTGGGGGCATTAACATTGTGGGATAGGGGAGGGACGGGTTTGTATAAGATGGGGACATCGAACGACCGTGGGGACATGTGGGGACATTAACATTGCAGGATAGGGGGGAAGGGACGGGCAGACGACCCTCTGTCCCCTCAAGCTTCCGCGGCCACTGTGTATGTTTGTGCTAAACGTGGTGTGACTTTTGTGCTGCGTCGTCTTCACTTTGTTGTAGATGATAACTTTATTTAGCTCGGTATTTTATTTATTTATGTTCAACGAGGAGGGAAACAATGCACACTTTATTAGCGGAAATCAGGAAATGTCGGCGTGTAGTACTTTATTAGTTCTTTTTTTTGCGCTACATTAAAGAAAAAGTGAAATTATTATGTTGTTATTTCTGTACCACTGTGGATGACGGACGTTCGTGTTGAAGTAGAGAGAGACGATTGTAAATCTTTTTTCCTGATATTTATAGGATGGATTTAGAGATTGGTGTTATAATTTGTGCAGGGTTTCGCCGTAGTTGTAACCACTTCAAGATTGTAGTACAAAACGGGTTTTAACCAGTTTTGGACACCAGATTTTGGGCGTCCAAAATTCCAAAAAGTGACCAAAATAGAAAATGGGGGAAAATGTGGCGAGGTTTTCATTATTGACTCTTTCGATATTCCGTTCGCGTATGTGTATGTAACAACTCATTAATTTTGAGATTTTAGCGTGTAATAAGTCATGGTTGAGAAAATTTCTTAATTTCTCATAAGAAAACTTGAATTTCTCCAAATTTCGTGGTATTGACACACCAAAATGCTCGAAATTAATGGGAGAATCTGTGCATACATTTGCAACGAAGTCGTTTATAAAGAACTTGTAACAATTGCCCCATTTTCCAATGTTGGACACTTTTTGACGGTCCAAAAGTAGTTTGAATGTCTAACCATAAAACGAAAAACTGATTTCGTATATTACAGAAATTTTGCACATTTTTCAAAAAATGGGCAGTATTAACTATATGTAATTTACTTCTTTTCATCAATCACATTTTAATCAACCAGTGAATAGAATATATAGGAGGAAGCATATGTACCCCACACCAGTACCAGTAGTAGCATTTAGTAGTAAGTAATATACAGTAATACACGCGAGGAGTAAATGATTAATCATGCATTCATAAAATACATAAAATTGCACACATGTCTCCTGCATTCAGTTTTGCTAAATGGCTCGGCCTTGTTATTACTTACTTACGTATATGTGCTCAATTTTTGCTTATGAACTTGCTTCTCTCCGGTCGGGTCTGTGCTGTCAGGAAATCATACGATTTAAAGTAGAGATCTCAGATTTACAAAAAAATTGGGGTCTGCGTGTGAAAATCTGCACGTAATTAATCTCCTGCTACATACATGTGTTTGCCACATTTTTAATCGAAATATACTAAAAAAGAGTCCACATTCTGAGAAAGTTATTTAATATTTTCATTATTTTTTCAGACGCTGCAGCATAAATTCAAGGATACCCATTAAGAAGGAGGACGGATGATGATGAGGAGGACGATGATGTCACCAGCAGACCAACTCATTTTTTAGTATGTTAGCAATTCATACGAGAAAAAATTAATCGGTGAGTGTCACACAAAAAATATGTACCAAATTTTGATTTTGCCTAAAATTTCATAAAAATTACTCTACTTTTTCCAGGTTCTTTCCCCCCTAAACAAAAATCAACATGCCACAATTCGCCGGTTACGTCCTCTCTGGCTCCGTATTAATCGCCTTCGCCCTAAAATGGTCCCTCGACGCGACCTCAGATAACCCAAGCGATCACGTTTACACGCTGGACACAACACGTTCCTCGTCTCGGGGGAGTTCCTCCACGAAAAAGCGGCGACGCCGGTGCCCCTGCAAACTGGAACATTGGCCGCTTCAAGGTCTTACCAAATTGGGCGTGGCGAGTCTCGGGTTGGGCGCCTCGTTGCACGCGGCTTATCCGCAGGGCGAATTCAAATTCGTGGGGCACATCCTCTACGCCACGATTTACTTGTTCTTCGCCCTCTCCGGATTGGTCGATGTCCTCGTTTTCTACTGTCCCACCGTGATGCCCTTCGGCCTGGAGAAGTTCGCCCTCTCCCTCGCCTTCCTGATTGAAGGGCTCATGTTCAACCTGCACAGAAACCACGAGTCCTTCATCGAGCAGCATGTCCACCTTTTGTTGGTGTGCGCGATTTACGCGTGCGCGCTGATAACTTTGGTGGAAATTGTGATGCCGTGGAGTCGCATAGTGCGGTTTGGAAGGGCCCTGTTTTCCTTATTGCATGGAAGCTGGTTTATCCAGGCGGGGTTCATTTTGTTCAATCCGACCTCGTCGTCGGTCACGTGGTCGAGCAGTGACGATTATAATAGTGCCTTGATCTGGATAAGTCTCACGTTTGCGTGGCATTGTGCGGGTGCTTTAGTCATTTTACTAATTTTGATGGCACTGTCGAGAAAAAGGACGCCCATCCTGGGCGTCCCGCCGCCAATGCAGATGGAACAGTTTGAGGAGAGGGAGCGGTCAATAGTGTCAATTCCGAGGTGCCATTTTTCTTCGATGTCGAATTATGGGGATATGAATAATATGAAGGCGTAGTTTAGTTAGTTAAATGTGTAAAGGATTATTTAGTTTGGATCTGAATTTTATGTAAAAAATGGAATTTTATGATACTCAAATTTTGTTGAATAATTGTTAACTTACTTGTTAATCTTTTTTTTGTTTTGTTATTATTTTACTGTATTTACTACTACGTATTGATATATAATACAAACATGGGTTTGTACATTTACATATCGTTATTTTAAGTATGTAAATTGATATATGTAACAATTCCAAGTACAATTAAGATTTGTGAGGGAGGATGAGTTGTAAAAAGTTACGAGTTTAATAATAATAAACTTGTGAAGAGATATATACACAATTTGTTGTGAAATAGGCGTGCTCACGTCAAAGTCTTACAGCGCATTTCATAATTTGCGAAATAATCTTATAACTAAAGAATATTTCGATTTCCTGGGTAAATTTCTGAGCAAAAATCTCATCAAAAAGTTTCGGAAATCTTGCAAATTTCATAAATTTGTTGAAATTTCATGTGCGAAAGTCGTCGCGAGTACGCCCAGGCAATGGTACTATTCTCACTTATCGAGATGTACATATAATTTTACGATATCTACATAACTACCAGACGAATCTAAATTGTGGTACGTCAAAATCAACCTTATCAGCTCGTCCCTTCCGTCCCGTGTCCCCCAACTTTTGACGCACCTCATCTCGATTGAAGTAAACAATGTCCGTTGGGTTTCTCCAACTCGCAAAATTATTCGCAAAATTATTCGCAACATTCCCAAAATTGTAGACTTCCCCTACAAACGCCACCAATCCAAGACATAGGATCATAGCACAAAACGAGAAAGCATATTTCATCGCGCTTATCGACACGGCGGACGCTTCCGCGAACTGAATCTTCTTCTTAACCTCCCGTACCATGTTGTACCTTGATTTTGTAACGATACCTTTATGCGTCTTGTTAAGTCCTCTCGCTCCCCCCAGTTGTTCCGAGATTTGGTCGAACTGGTCCCATTTCGAGAAAATTCCAGACTGCACTAATTGTCCTAAACCACGGGCGAACAAAGGATACAGAAAATTTCTCTCGCCGTGCCACGGTACACGAGAAATGAACGGGGTCATTTCATGATTTCGAACAATGGCTGGATTTGTAAACATTGTAATTCCTCCCACGAGCGCGTTGAGTTTGGAAACTTCGTCCAAAATGACGCAGGGCAGGTTAAATTTAACCGTAGAATTAGAGAACGACTGCACTCTCCGATTTTCCGTCACGTTGAGTCCAATTTCGAACACGTTTCCCGTAATAAATTCGACTTTGTTGTTCAATTTTGTCAGAAAGTTGTACATTTTGCCTTCCCCGGTGAGTTCAGTGCTGGGTTTAATTCCGTAAAGAAGGTCGGGAATTATGGAGAATTTCAAGATCGACGTCGCCCCAAGTTCTGTCTTTCCCGCAGTAATTGTCACAATTGGCCAGTCAGAATCTACCAAGGACTCCAAACTGGTCGGCACTGTGAGCGGGAGGGTCGCCGTCAGCCAGGAAAAGAGTGACCCCTTGTACACCATCCCGAGAAAGAAGGTGATAAAGTACCAAATGGCGATCCAAACTTGCAGCATTCGTGTCACACTGCCGGACGTACTTTTAAACTCCACAGATGTAAATTCAGTATCTGTTTGGTCAAATATGACGGAAATCGTCCAGAACACTTTGTCCCAGAAGTTCTTGAAGAGGGAGCCCTTCAAGTGGGAGGAAGCCGTCAGGACCGTCAGGATAGCGACCGTGGCCCCAAACGAGATCAGGGTCGCGGTCCAGATCCAAGCGTCAAACGGCATCACGAGCGTTTCGAAGCTGTAGGACGACATTGGCGTCAGGATTAGGAACTCGAAGGGTAGAAAAGTTATGCCGTGGACGTACCAATCCCATTTTACTGGACTTCTCTTGATAATGTAGAGTTCGTTATAGGCCCGATTTGCCAAATGTCCCCATAATGGTAAAGGAACCGGTAAAACTCTTGGGTCGAATTTTTTTAATTTTACCATTTCGTCATGCTCACTTTTAAGCATGATATGCGTAAAATTATGCTTCCTACTGATTAATTCTAACACACATTCGACCTTGTTGTTTAAAAAATCGCCAAAATTCGCCCCACAAAATCTTAAATTTAACAGTTTGGGACGAGGTATTCCATAAACTATTCGCTTTTGCAATTTCCAATTATATTTTTCCCACAGGTGATCCACTTCTCCCAAATTTTCTAAAGATTCTACCAGTTGGAAATATTCGCATGGAATGCAAAAAATTAACATAACATTTCCAAACAAAAAAATAAATTTTGATGTTAGTGAAACTTCCAGGGGAAAGCCGAAAGCTAACAATACCCTAAAATATTGAGGAGGCACGATTAAGAAGATATAGCTGGGATTTTCATTCGCCAAAGGCAGTAGTTTAGTCAAAAATATGAGTTCACGTTGAAAATACGATACATTTTTGTGAAACGCAAATTCCAGAAATGTAACAATTACGGGGGAAAATTTGGGATGGAAATGTGTAAACGCGGTGAACAAGGGAATCGAAAAGTTGAAAAGTTTTGCCGGAGAGTATCGGCTTCGTGTAATGAGACCACCTGGCTGGTCATCCAGTACCATCGGGCTGTACGGATTTTGTATGAGTAAGTTTTCAAAAACGAATTCTGCATAATTTCCCAGGTTTTTAAAATCTGAGATGAAATGAAGGGTACACTTGGCAAAGAAACCTGGCCTTTTGCTAGCAAAGTTTTGTGCGTGGGATGAAAAAAGTAGAAATATTGTTAAAAATAGGATAAGATCGAGTTTAGATTTAGACGACATATTATTATTTTTAGAGTAATAAATACACCTTATTTAACACCCTAACTAAATACAACTGCACCGAGTATAAAATAATTAAATATTTGCTACATATACATGTGTTACAAGTATTCAATCATGCAAAGTTTGCAAAATAATGTGTACGTGCATTGTAATAAGTTTGGAAGAAAATTCATTGTCATCTAAAAAGTTTTAATGTCATTTAATTTTGTGTGCCATTATCAAGTGGGGTCAGCCGCTTATTGTGATCGCTTTGTCACTTTTGTCTGTCCGTCCGTCCGTCCGTAAACAGGTTATCTCCAGAACACCTCAACTTAATCAAACGCCGTTTTCACCGTTGTGCTTCCAATTTTTAGTTCTCGATCGAGTTCGAAAGTGGGGTCAATCGGGCTACCCCCACAGTGCCATGGATGTGGTCCAAAATTAAATTTAACCTTAATTCTCATATGCGCTGGCATTTTAACGGAAATTTCACAACGTCGTCAGTACTTTTGACCTCTGACCAACCCATGGCCGAACGAGGACAAGGTCAAATGTAAAAAATACATAATTGCCATATACGTTGTCATTTTAAAGGAAATTTCAATCGTTTCGACGCCACTTTTTTATGTTCGTTTGAGACGGTTTATTACATGTCAACCTTAGACATTACGTATTTAGTATTGGTGCACGTATTCAGTGTGTACGTACTTATGCACATAATTTCTGCAAACTGGACCATCTATATGCCACATAAATAGTCATTCTATTACATACATACATTCGCCGTCATTATCCTGACGGCATAAAGTTTTCATAAAGAGATTTATTAAATTCGTATTAAAATGTAGCATTGAAAGCAAACTTGCATGTCTTAAAAACCAGGAACTATAACATGTACAAAGTTCAAGTAGTAGTAATTTTTTCAACCAATTCTATGTATCTGTAGTGGAACCACTTAAGTTTCGATTACATATCTATTATGTCTTCTACCCATTCCATAATATTTATGTGTGTACGAGTAGGAAAAAAACTTTGTTCAGATGTTTATGTATTAAATACGATTTAAGTTGAATTTGAGACGTGAATAATTATACAATCGTGGTTAAGGTTAAGCTAGAAAAGTATTTATATAGTTATTAATCTATTTGGGCCTTTCACCTTTTAATCCATTTGTTACTACAATTGTATGAACAAGCCATGGTGGAAAATTGGTAATATATGTAGTGTTGAACTAAATGAATATTAATTTCAGGTAAATATGTGGAAGAAATAAGTGTAAGATATCATTAAATATCTTACAACTTTGTAAATAAAGGTGTACAATTGTTTGTGTATTACTTAAGATAAATAGTGTTTTTGCATGACCTAAAAATTTTAAGACCATTACAATTCCTGCCTTGTATTAAGAGAAAGCACTTGAAAAATTTCGCAATTAAAATACCGAGGAATTGCATATGTACATGGTAAGTCCTTTTCGGATGTTGAGGAACCACATCCATCTCATAGACGGACTGGATTCTGCGATTGGTTCAGATTGGCATCTTTCAACAATCCGACAGTATACCCATGTTCACATTCGAGTCTGTAGTGTTTCGTTTCTTGTGGCTTTGCTATTTCTTGCACTGTAAAGTAAGAGACGCAAGAAATGTAAAGTGCAAGAAACTGGGAGAAAGTGTGATAAATATTATGCTCTATCTAGCCACGCGCTGTGTGACCTATTTACAGCGACGGGGCGCAGTTTCTTGCACCTTGCATTTCTCCCAGGTCAAAATATTCAGCTGCAAGAAACCACTTTCTTCCCGTTATATCTTGCTAGTGTTTAATACTTGCACCCGAAACACTGCGAGTCTGACAGAAGATGTGTATCGTGAGAAACTGGATTAATACTGAAGAAATATATATGCATGTAACTTTGACCCCCTCCTCACCCCAGGTTTTATTGTATTGTGAAGTGAACAGGGTGAAGGGTACCTAAAATTGGCACCCAAGCGATGATTCCCATGCATGTATGGAAGGCCCAAATTCCTACGAATTATAACATAACTTATTACCTTCCCATGCTACACGTCGTTATTTCATTAAAAATCCTCAGTCATACGAGAATCTGCATGCTACACTTTTCAGTAATTTACATTAATACTGGTCCCGTCGCGACACGAAGTTATAAACATGTTGTATAAGTAAATGTATAATAATATGTCCCCTTCCTGTCCCAATTATTGTATTGAATTAAACCTGATAACCAACTATAATTAAATTAAGCAGCTCCTCAGATGACAAAAAGTCAAAAATATTTACTTATCTGTATCTTCGTGGGCAGTGGCTGCGGAAGCTTGAGGGGACAGAGGGACAATGTCCCCAAGGTTGTTCGATGTCCCCATCTTATATAAACCCGTCCCTCCCCCATCCTACAATGTTAATGTCCCCACATGTCCCCACGGCTTCCGCGGCCACTGTTCGTAGGCATACAGACAACTCTAACTGACATACACACTTTTGACATCAACACTTTTTTTATACGTCGGGTTTAAGTTTAAGAATTCATTGATATTTCAGTTAGTTCAGTTGTCAAAGTTTTAGAGTGGCTGAAGAATTTAAAGCGTTGTTGAATTACAATATTTATTTCGTGTTTATTTTTCCCCCGTGGAAGAAAATTTGCATTTATAAAATTAAAGTCATAAAATTGAAAACGACTCGTAAATTGGATCGGCTCCACTGCACTCAGCCAACCTACTTTTTAAAATGGGGTAAAATCATCGTCATGAATCAATCGTCCTCTTCTTCTTCTTCTTCTCGGTATAAAAATATCCACGCAAGAAATATCAGAATTTTTGAGTGGATTGAAACTAAGGATAAGTAAGTGAGATGTTGGAGTAAACAGTAAAATCTGGCAGTTTCTTTTTTTCCCCGACAGACCAATATTTTTCTAAGGAGAGTGAAATGAAAAAAGTCCTAAATAGCGATTTGAGCAGAGGTCTCATCTCATCATCCCCGACCTATTAGGTGATTGCATTACACCATTAAACGTGTTATTGGAGATGAGCCCAGAGCAGAAAAGTCTGTAAAAATATGTGTTCAGAAGAAGAAGAGACACGACCAATATTGTGCTTACTTATAATCCGATCTCTTAATAAAGAGTAGAGTTTGCAATGTCCAGGACATAAAATAAGTAAATTGGAGGAATTTTCCGGCTTAAATATCCTGGCAATCAGAGCAATAATCGGGGAAATAATTAATAATTGAGAAATATGTACGTAAGTGCCCTGAACATCGGCATACGTTTAGACCTTTAGTTACCAGTTTAAGGGTCCATTGCATGTGGATTTTAAATTTAAATTTTTGTGTCTCAACTTTCCCTTTCAGATCGGATTATACATAAGTTTATGTATAATCCGATCTCTCAATAAAGTAGAGTTTGCAATGTCCAGGACATGAAATAAGGAATTTTTCGGCTTAAATATCCAGGAATTTATCGGGGCAATAGTTTAAGTTCGGGAGAGCATCCCATGTACGTAACGTGCATGTCCTGGACATCGACATAAGTACAACTTTACTTGCCGTTTATCTTGTTCATATTTCTTGTTCTGGATTAGAAACCGATTTCTCGAAGGAAAAAACAACTTCATGGTTTTTTAAACCATGAAGTTACGACGAGTTAAGTCAGTCAGGGGAGAAAATACTTATAAAGTAATCCGTCTAGTAGAAGATATTCAGGCCGGATTTTTATTTCCAAAAGGCACCCTTCAACAAACGTAGGAATAATAATAATAATCACACGATACGATTGGATGGTAGGGGGAAGGAAAGAAGAAAGAAGCAGATATTTTTCCAGTAAGGATTACTGATTGTATTGCATTACGTACGTAGCAATGCTGCTGCTGGTGTTTTAAAAAAAAGGTGGACGCAAGATCAAAAAGTACCGTTTGGGATCTGACAGTCACTCTTCAGCAAGGAGATGAAGACCAACTTTCCGGGGAAACCTTTCCTCTTTGTTTGTCTTCTTCTTGCAAGTCTGGATTGTTCAGTGTTTAACGGTGGTGGTAATAAATACGGTCAGATTGGTAATAAATAAATGATATTTTTGTGACTGTATCGTGCGTGGACCAGGAAATTTTGAAAAGATGGAATGTTAAGTGAAGAAATTCGATAAGTGATAAGATTCATGAGTAAAGATAAGAAATAGTGAAAAATAGTTGTTGGATTTGAACAATGGAGGATTTCAATCGAGACGGCATTGATAGTGCAAATTTCAGTGCAAATTTCACCTCGACGAATGATGAGACCGAAATTTTTGCGAGTAACGATTCCATTGTCTCAAATTTCTCACCTTTCTACCCACCACAAGCTGCCTGGGTTGCTGCGACATTTGCCATTGTCTTCATCATCGTTGGAGTTATTGGTAAAAATATATCCTAAAAAAATCTGATTGGAAAGTTTTTATTGAAAAGAAATAATATGTGATTTGATTAAATATATATTTCTTAAGGAAACTTGGGCACAATTTGGGCACTTTTAGAAAATAAGAAATTACGAGGAAATGCGACAACGTGGTTCGTACTGAGTTTATGTTTTTCGGATTTTTTATTCTGTACGATCAATTTACCATTGACGGCGTCAAGATATATTGTGAGTTGTGGATAAAAATATGGCTCAAATGTGGGTATTTTTTAAAATTATGTATTTACTTATGTAATTACAGCACCAGGCCTGGATTTTTGATGACCTCCTTTGTCAAATTTTTCCATTTTTCTTCTACGCAAATTTCGGAGCGTCTCTGCTGAACATTACGCTGATTGCGATTAACAGGTGAAAATTTCTTGGGAAACTTATTGTTACCAACGTGGTAGTGTTCGGACAACAATGTTGCTACCACAAACCTAGCCGGATAATTTTTCGGAGGCGTCAGTGGCGCGGGACGGCGTCTCAATGTTTTTAAGGAATAGGGAATCAAATTTAACAAAACGTAAAATACTACTGGCGTCCGGCGACGTGGCGACGTACGCTTTCCAACGTGGCGGCGTAACCTCAGCGACGTTGACCTCTGACCCAAATTTTACTTATCATATTTCAGATACGTCCTCATCTCCCACAACAATTTGTACGACCGGATCTACTCCCCGTGCAACGTGGCTTTGATGGTCTTGTTCATCTGGATCTTCTCCTTCGGCCTGTTAGTCCTACCTGCCCTCAAACTGTGGGGATCCCTCGGCCTGGATCCGGTCAGCTTTTCCTGCACAATTCTCAAAAAGGATGGCACCTCGCCGAAAAAGTTTCTCTTCATTTTTGGCATTCTTCTCCCCTGCATCGCAATAATTTTCTGCTACACCTGCATCTTCTTCAAAGTCCGGAATAGCAAACGGACCCTGAGATCGTTTCAGTATGGAGAAGAAGAAATTTGTAAATTTTTGAAATTTTTGAAATTTGTTTTCAGAATTTTTTGTATAGGATTCGCCCCACGGGATCGGAACGAGTCGTTGTGGATCCTCGTCAGCGGAATGCTCGTCACCAGAAGGAACGTCGAGATGAGATTCGTCTAACGAAAATGATGTTTATCATATTCGCCACGTATCTGATTTCCTTCCTGCCGTTGATGATATTCAATGTGATTGATGACGAGGTACGTATCTGGCGACGCAATTTATAAACTTGAGTTAGGGTATTTATTACAAGTTTACATATTCGCATTTCAACAAAATTTTGAAAAAATTTGACGAACTGAATACCAGCCATTGATGAGATGCGCAAGTTCGCAAATGAATTTTCAAGGCAAAATTTTTCTTACGAAATTGCTAACTTTGTTTTTTTGCCAACAATTCGAACACGTAATGAATACCCCTTTGTGATTGTAAGGACACTATATTTTTACGTAATTATTTAAAGGCACGCCGATTTCCTGGAGTGCTGCACATCATTGCGTCCATCCTCGCGTGGAGTTCGGCCGTTATTAACCCGTTCATCTACGCCGGGTCGAATCGCCAATATCGCCAAGCCTATGGGGACTTGTTGTCTTGTTGGAAGTCGTGTGGTGGGGATGCTTCTCACAACGCGGGGAGCAGATCTTGCTCCGGAAATAAGACTTGCGTCAGCGACGCGACAATGGCAGCGGTTCAGTTTAGAACGAATACGAACTATTAAATACAGTTAGTTAAATACGTACATATGTGAGTTTAGTGTTATGTATGAAGTAATAAATTGTTAAAGTTTTGTTGTCCCCAAAATGTGTCGTAAATGCGAAGCCAAGAAAATCTCCATAAAAATGCAGATCATTATCGGGCACATTTTAAAGTGATCCCTCATGGGCATACTCAGCGTCATGTTTTTTAGCTTCATGCTTTTTTGGCGTTAGTGTTTTATCAATCCGTGTCGTCGGAAATGCATTTGCTAATCTTTTCTAAACAGAGATTACACGAATATGTGTCTGCTATTTCAAGACCTCTAGTTTTTAACACACCTCTTAAATCATATCATACACACTTTTACTCTCAGTGTACGCCATTCCATCGCATCGCATCGTGTTGAGCATATAAATTTACAAAATATATTGATTTCATTGTGAAAGGAAACAATCAAACTTCAAGTCACTTTTAGTCTACGGAGACGTTCTTACTGATAATGGAAGTCTCCCAGAGTATGCTCTCCGATTTTGGGCAAACTAGTCTCAATCGATCACAAATTCAGTTAGTATGAAATTTGCAAAAGACACGATCTCTCAATGGGCACGTTTGGCATTTGCATCCCAAGAGGAGAAAACGCGTAGTAAATTTGTAAAGTGCAAAATTGGTCGACTTTAAAACGCGTTTTCTCCTCTTCGAATGCAAATATCTTTGCCAAACGTGCCCATTAGGAGATCGTGTCTTTCGCAAATTTCATCCTAATTAAATTTCTCATCAATTGACACTAATTTGCCCAAAATCAGAGAACATACGCTGTGAGACCCCCATTGCGAGAATAACGGAGGTGTATTTATATTGGTGAGGGGAGTGCTCAGTGCATGTTAGACAAAGGACTCATTATTATGTTATCCCCGATACTGCACAATACTAAAAAGTGAAGTGCCGTTTATGCAGTGCAGTTTAGATACAATACACACATACAAAATATGCATGCTATAAGATTTTGAAAAAAAACTACTCAGGGTTCGAATCAGTTCTTCGTGAGGGAATGGTTTTACATGTTTGTTCTTCTTCTATGAATGAGAGTCTCTCTGTTGTTTGGGCATTTGTCGATATCTCGATGTCCGTCCGTCGTAGAAGAAATCCTCGCAATGGTGGAGAAGAGTCCATAAACTGTAAAAGTACCATCGACCGATGCAACAACGCTATAGTCCAGTCTTACTTACTTACTTTAAGTTTCTGTAATATAAGTGTAGTGGCCAAGAAGACGACGAAATAAATAAATAAGGGATCACATCTTCTTCTTATAAGTTCTGTTTCCTCTCTCAGAAACTGAATCCTATCCCGTCTTCACTCTCACTAACTCCTACACAGAAAGTAAAGTGGAAGAGATCATCGTTTAACACAAACTTTTACATGTACTCCATGTTGCATACTGCACTTCTTCTTTTTACATTACGTTATATTACATGCATGCAAAGAGTATAACACGTTTACGAGGGTGGTTGAACAGTGGTTCTTTACCAGACCAGACCAGGCTAAAAAAAAGTTGATCTTCTTCTGGAGAACATTCTTCACACCGCTCTCAAGACAAATTCTTGGCTTTTTTTGTCCAGGAAACGCTCCAAAAGCGATAGTGTTCGATCGGGTGGTGGTCAACTGGTCACGGGACGGCAAATTTTAAGAATTTTGTGTAATAATGGGGGTGTATTTTTGAAAGTGAAGTGAATTTGTGGAGTGAATTTGTGAAGGGGGTGGAAAAGTTGGGGATTTGTGGATAGTTTTTTTTTTCTGTGCGGAAGGAGAAAGATTGGAAAGAACAACAGGTTGGTAAAGGATATGTATGTATCCTATGGCTTTGATTGATTTGATTGTGAGACGTGCCGATGTATATTTGCACATTGTCGCAAATTTTTACACGGTGGTGACCAGGGAATAAATCTTGCTCGCACTATCCCATAGCTTGCTCGCACCGCTTATGGGCCGGTGCGAGCAAGATTTATTCCCTGGTGGTGACAATGTGCAAATAAGCGAGATTGTGGATCTATGTGTGTATGTAAGAGGTGCAAAATGGCATAACGGAGACATTGGTAATGTACATACGAATTTACATCATTCATAAGTTGTATGTAAGGACCGGCCAGAGGAACAATGCACGCCGTCCGTTGAGGACAATTAGTTAGTTGTAGTTGTATATTTTGGACATCGTTTTTACAAATAAATGTTGTTGCAAGGGTCCTATTTACTCCATCTCCACCCAATAATAATACACAGTTGTTGCAAAACAAAACGTGACTTCGCATTTAAACCTGCCGTTCTCATTATGAATATTTCTCTCACTATATAATTATGGACATTTCTATGTAAAACACCCATTAGAGATGTTCATAAACAAGGAATGATTGCATTATTCTCGCCTAAAAGTTATTACGTGCGAATATTTGTTGAAGTCATTTCGAAAGCTTTTTTCTTATTCGCGACGGAACAATGTTTCATAACAATGTTCGATCCACACCCACTTTTTGGGGCGACGACGAATAACAACTTTTTTTTGTGAAGTTGGTCCAGTTCAGTTGAAAACTTTTATGTAAAGAAAGAAAGAACCCACGTCTCGAGATTCATTGAATGAAAATGAAAGGAGTCAAGAAAAGTGTTATCTTATCGTCTCTTATTCTCGTATATGTGTATTTTGTGCAGAGCAGGACATCATCATCGTCGTCGTCTACTTACTTATTGCTTAAAAGAGTAATTATTAGTACAAGTCAGTAAAGTAATAAGGAGATGGTATTGACCGTGTGGTTGGTTGGTTGGTTGGTTGGTTTTGGTTAATGGCATCAATTTCATATAAAAATAAGCATGTATACGTATAAAAATAAGAACTGGTCATGTATAAAATTAGGAGAGGAATTTGATTCGATGATCCAATATTATGGATTGGATACAGTGGCCGCGGAAGCTGTGGGGACATTAACATGTAGGATAGATAGGGGAGGGCCGGGTTTATATAAGATGGGCAGATGATGCCGACCGTGGGGACATTGTCCATCTATCCTTCCGCGGCCACTGAACGGATATAACGGAAGAGAGAAAGAGTTAGAGAGTATGGTTTCTGATTTTGCTTATTAATGGTTTCGTTTGGCTCAAGTTTTTTGATGAGAGAGATGTTCTTTTATGTATGTATAAATAGTACATACGATATTATACAGAACAGACTTGAAAGTATATTAAGTAGTCTCCATTAATAAATATGTGCATACATACATAAATACATACATACTGTACCCTGTTATGTATAATAGTGGAAATGAATGACTTGTGAATGAAGTGGTCGCTTTTCTTTGATTAATTATATATTTCATATGTAGTTATCTCGTCTCACATTATTCATGAGAGAGAGTTGTTGGTTTGTAAAATTTTGACTGGAAATGAAATTACCGTGATATTTTTAACTTTAATTAAGAATAGAGGATCTTTCTTATGAGGTTTGAAATGTGATGAAAGCTGGCTAGAAAAGATGTGGTGGCGAATTTTTTGCAGACAGATTCGCACGAAAGTAATGCACATGCAGAAAGCTCAATGTTGCAAGTTAAAAAAGTATGTGCAAAATTGTCGCGGAACAACTTCCGTGCAAACCTTCCCAAATTTTGTAATTATTATCTTTTGATTTTATTTATCCTTCTTCATTATTTTGACCTAATGAAGAAGGGGACCTGACTACTTTTGCATGGACTTCAAGCTATCCTGCGCGATACCAAACTACACTAACAAATTCTAACTTTGCACTAATTTTCTCCCACCCGGTGATCAATTTGAGCCGAACTGTTCTTATCATAGGGTTCAGAAATTTGCCGTGAAAAAGTTAATGCATCGATTTTCCACACAGGTTCGAAATTAGTGTCGTAATTAATTTTTCACAAATTTGCATACCCTTCTCATTTGCAACTCTTGCATTTTTCGGACGGAGTGGAGAAAGACGGGGAGAAAGAGCTGGTCAAGATTTAGCGACTTGTGATTGATTGGTAATGGTCAGTTCGCTTTCGGGTGAAAATCACTCAAAATCTACACAGTTTCCGAACCTATGGAAAAAATTGATGCACTAACTGTTCCACTGCAGCTTGCTGAACACTATGATATCAAACGTTCGGCTCAAATTGATAACCTGGGAGGTAAGAATGACTGAAAAGATTGGTCATGTTTGGGTTCGCTTGCCTCAAAGGGGAGGTGGAATTTCATTCCAATGGATAGGCAAGCACTCCTACAAAACAGTAAAAAAAATTTAAAAAATTAAAAAAAACATACCGCAAAATAAAAAAAAATAAAAAAAAAATAGGAAAAATAAATAAAAAACCCCAAAAAAAAGCGCCTAACGGTGCAGTGAATAAAATCAAAAGATAAGAATTAAACTAGTAAACAAAACAAAACTTGGCACTGATTTTTGTTGACAAGTTATTCCACATTTTCGAAAAACTTGCAACATTTTTGCACACCACCGACCCGATTATTGGCAAATTTGTGTTCAATTTCTAATAATGCGATAATGATTTATGGTGAAGATGATGGCAATTAAATTGAACAGATTTGTGTATTTTTTTTATTTATTTAGATGGCTTGACTGATGGACAAGCAGTCTCGGGATTGGATTATTATTACATTTCCTCTTTCCAAGTTTGTTAATTATTAATTCATGGAGGGATGGATGTCAGCACTCCGTCTGACAATTAAAGTTCACCATCAGAAATAAATAATAATCAACTTGTGCATAATTTGGTGTATTGTGGAAACGGATCCGACATGTGTTTTACATTTATTTGTGCGTGAAGTGTGGTGGTGTCGGCCAATAATAATGATCAGACCGATATTTCATTATTTTTTGTAGTGAATACATATTTTGGACAGTTCAACGTTTCCTAAAAATCAGTGTACTTCATACTTTTGAACATTACTGTTTTACGAGACGTTTCAAAATAAGGTGGACTTCTGCCGCCCCCACCGCAGAAATCATGGCGTTGTCCTCCTCCTCCCACTTCTACAGGAATCAAACTACTTATTCCATATTTATTATTCTAACTTTAGGTCAGTGTTTGATTTAATTTTTCGTAAAAAAATGTGAAAGAGGGAGGAAAATGTATAAATGTGTTTTTTTACTATTAAATCAACAGGTTTTATATTTGTGAGCGGGCAAGAACCGCAGTCACACGAGTTTAACGGGTACAGACGCCCACCACAAAGAGGTAACGTCAACGAGCTTTTTATTTTTAATTCAGTTTGTTTTTTGCATGTGCAAAAATGCTTCACAATTTGCTGTACGATATATTTGGTTATACATGCATACGTTTAATGGAAGACTAATTAAGTAGTATGGTGAATATAGCGTAGTTTATTTATATAATAACATATAAACACAAAACATTGTACAAAACATTATAAAATTATTTAAATCATGTACGGTTATCGGTATTCTAATTAAATAAGTCGTCGAATAATTGTAACACTGTAGTTGAAGGGGTAGTTAATTAAGTTAAGGTATACGTGGGAAATGGTGGGGGTGAAATAATCAATCATTAACAAAAACCTGGTGGGTGTGAAAATGTACAAAAGCAAACACGAATTAGTGAACACATTAGTGCCATTAAAAAATGTGGAAATGGACAATTTTATAATCTTGCTTCTTACCAAGGGTCGATAAAAACTTGACCTTTAGAACTAACCGTTACAAAATATTGGATCGGGGCTGTATAAAAGTTTGGGGTGGATGGGTACGGTTTTGGTGGGTGGAAGGAACGGTATAACAATTTCTTATCAAAGACCAAGGTGAAGGAATACATACATAATTCTAAAATTGATCAAATTCGTCCCCCTCCTCTTCCTGAAGCAGGCCGAGCCAAATCATTCTCACCCGTGAAGAACAATAACAACAAGAATATGACCACATCCACAAGTAGTCCGGTTGTTAACGCCACTGCTCAAAATTTCACGTCGTCGCCCCCAGAAACGCTAGCTCTTCGCCCAGGTCGTGGTGGTGGTGGTGGTGGCGAACGTCGGAAAGGAGCCCACCCCTCCAGACGGAAAGTTAGCGTTGGTGGCTACTCGAGAACATATTCTGAAAAACGGTACCAAATCAATAGAACCCGTCACCACGAGAAGCATTCGAACCGCACGATTAAGACCGAAACGAAGATATCATTTCATCGAACGACACCCGGAGAGGATTCAGGTCCCATCGGCGTGCACAAGATTTCCGTCCTCAACGAGACCTTTTCTTACCCCGGGGGGAAAAATGTGTCCTCCGAGTTTAAGAATGTGACCTATTTCGACGGGGAGACGGATGGGGATCGAGGCGAAGATAATGTCCACCCACTCACCCATGTCACGAATAAATTGTACGGATTGTTCAAAACTGGCGAGGGGAAAGGTATGTCCGGAGGATGAATGAATGATGACCAAGGGTTTCCATTTCATAATTTTTGTTAGTTAAGAAATTTTCGTTTTGTGTTAATTTTGGGATTTTTGTTTTTTAAATACAAATTTTGGACTTTTATTTTGATGTTTTCATACATATTTGTCTGCTTTGCAAGCAAGCTTATCATAATGTGTGATGATAATGTGTTTGGCTGACAAAAATTCCATGCAATAATTGCATGCGACATTGACTAAGAACGTTTTTATGAAGTGAATGCTTTTACTAAACTTTGTCTCAAAATGTGAAGGTTATGGGCAAAGATCGAATCCCTGCGATCAAGGATCTTGCTACCCTGCGACGGGAAATCTCCTTATCGGGAGGGAGAAAAGACTTACTGCCACGTCGACATGCGGCCTTAGAAGAGAGGTATGTATGTACTTATGTAAATGATTACAAAATTTATAAATTTCTGTTCGAGTGTATTTTGCTTCTGGTGTCCAAGGCTGAAAAAGTGTCCAGTACTTAAACTGATGCTTGATCGACACCCTTAATAAGAACTTAATCAATCAATCTAAAATTAGAATCCTACTTCCGGTCACACAGTCGAAAAGTATTATTTAACACAATTTACATATTTCAAGGCTTTGGCACATGTATGTATAATTGTTGGTTGGTGTATACTTTGGCGATTTTGATAGTACTTAAAGGAATGAGATCGTATCGAGATGTTGTTATCTTATCTCTTTGAACTACACAAAATTTTATTGAATAAGCATTTGAATCTACTAAAATGTGTTTTTGAAATGTTATCGTGATTTAATTAGATATCTATTTAGCATATTTCGGGTTTTTAAGAACATTCTTTTATCTGTACTTCTGTGACAGAAAATGAATGCTTCTAAAATTTTGGGGTAACATTTAACAATTAATTACTTGTTTGTATCTTGAACAGGAACGCTACTGTATTGTATCACATTTAGAAGACAAGAAAAAGTGCTTCCGCTGCGACTCGAGGAATCACACGGTACGAAATCCCATCCTGAACCATCGCGTGGAACATGTCGTTCACCGTTTCGCCCCAGGAACGCAGCAAAGGTCGTGGTGGCAGTCGGAAAACGGGGTCGAAAACGTCTCCATCGAACTCGCCTTGGAAGCAGAATTCCACTTCACTCATTTGATCATCACCTTCAAAACGTTCCGACCTGCGGCCATGTTGATTGAAAGGTCATTCGATGAGGGTAAAACTTGGAGGGTGAGTAGTGAAATTGTGGGACAGCCAGTTTTTTGCATGAATTTGATTTTAATCCTGGTTTTCTTCTCCAGGTTTATCGCTATTTTGCATATGACTGCGACGATTCCTTTCCCGGTGTTAGCAAAGCACCGCAAAATAATATTACTGATGTTATCTGTGAATCGAGATACTCTGCTGTGGCTCCATCGACGGAGGGAGAGGTTCGTGACAAATTTAAAGATTTAGATTTATGTAAAATTTTCTAGGTCCAACTAACAATGGAGGTTTCCTAGCGTATGCTTACAGATTTTGGCCAATTAGTGTCAATCTATCGCAAATTTAAATTACGTGACATTCGCGAAGGACACTACCTTCGAATGCTCAGGTTTGGCAGAGATATTTGCATCCAAAGAGGAGAAAACGCGCCCCAAAATTAACACGTTCCAAATTTACTGCACATTTTCTCCTCTTCTGGTGTAAATATCTTTGCCAAATTTGGGCATTGGCAGATATTATCATTTGCAAATTTTATATGAATGAAGTTTGTGATCGATCGACACCAATTGATTTGATCAAAATCTAATAACATACACTGAGAGACCTCCATTGTGAAGAAGAAATTGCGAATTTTTATTTGTCCAATTTCAGATAATTTACCGTGTCCTACAACGCGTCGCCGATATTAAGGATCCATACGCTCCGGAAATTCAAAATCTTTTAAAAATGACCAACTTGCGAATTAACCTGACTCGATTGCACACCTTGGGCGACGATCTTCTCGATAAAAGGACAGACATCCAGGAGAAATATTACTATGCCATTTACGACATCATCGTCCGAGGGTCCTGTTCATGCTATGGGCACGCCTCCCGCTGCCTCCCCCTCGAAGGGGTGGAAGACCGCACGGACATGGTGCACGGTCGGTGTGAGTGTACGCACAACACGAAAGGGTTAAATTGCGAAAAGTGTGAAGATTTCTATTGGGATTTACCCTGGAAGCCGGCCATCGGGAAGGAGACGAACGCTTGCAAAAGTTGGCGAAAAATGTGTATTAATTTGGAAAGAAAATTGGGATTAATCTGATTTGTAATGTGTTTGTTAGGATGCAACTGTAACAACCATGCGGCAAGTTGCCACTTTGATAACGCCGTTTTTGAAGCTTCTGGTCGAGTTAGTGGCGGTGTTTGTGACAATTGTCAACACAACACGGTCGGGCATAAGTGTGACCAGTGCAAAACGTTCTTCTATTTGGCATCGGATCGCAAAATTGATGATGAAGACGCCTGCATTCGTAAGAAATTATGAAATTAGTTCGTAGAAAGTAAACCTTGTCTAAATTATGAAATTATTCAGCGTGCGACTGTGATGACCGAGGCTCGCTGGACACTGGGATTTGTGACTCTCGATCCGACACGGAAAACGGTTTAACGGCAGGAAATTGTCACTGCAAGGAGCACGTTGTTGGGCGTCGATGTGACCAATGCCAACCTGGCTTTTGGAACCTTACGGAGGAGAGTATTGTAGGATGCGAATGTAAATTAACATGATTTTTTATTAGTTAATCGACGTAATATTTCTAATTGTACAAAACCTGAAAATTTTGGACACTATTTATTTACCAGCTTGTACATGCAATCTCCTCGGAACTGTGGGGAACCAAGGATGCAACATGGTCACGGGAGAATGTACGTGCAAACGGTACGTAACTGGGCGAGACTGCAACCAGTGCTTACCCGAATACTGGGGACTTTCGGACGAGAGGGATGGATGCAAACCGTGCGATTGTGACATTGGAGGAGCATACGATAATTTCTGTGACGTTATATCCGGCCAGTGTCGGTATGGGGTGTTATTTTAAGCACTTATTTTGTACCATTACCTGTGGATCGTCATAGTTAACAAATTTATTTTCCAGTTGCCGACCTCACGTTGCTGGAAGAAATTGCAGTCAACCAGAGCAAGGATATTTTGCTGGACATTTGGATTTTAAAGTTTATGAAGCTGAAACAGCAAGAACGCCCGTAAAGAAAACAATAAAATGGGAAATCATAATTCTTTATTTTTTTCGTAATTTTGGCATAAATTGAATTTCAGAACTCTCCCATCGTGATCCGTGAACCTTACCGTGATGGACGTGACTCGACGTGGAGTGGACCTGGATTTGTGCGTGCCAATGAAGACTCATTCATCGAGTTTGATGTCACCGATTTGACCACGACGATGGAATACGATCTTGTCATTCGTTACGAGCCACAGGTTAGTGAAAAGAGATGGACATTATATATGCAGATTGTAAATACTTTTCGTTGTACATGTGTAGCAACCAGGCTGGCAAGATGTCAACGTGCTTGTCCTCCCACAAGACGAATTAGACCAAGAAGGACCTTGTTTTGGAGCGCAGTATCAAACCGGGCCGACAAGAGTGTCCTTAAATTCGGGTAACTCGGACTTTTTCATAAAGCACAATGTGTGATCAAGTAACTTACTTTACCCGAATGTAATCACAGATGCCAGAGAGGCCCTCATGTACGTTCCGCTCTGCCTCGAAGCAAATAAACATTACAAAATTCGTCTCGATTTCACACCTTCCAGTGAGAAACCTCAAACTTCAATTTTGATAGATTCGGTAATTTCATAATTAAAAAATAGAAAAAATATTAGAAATCAAATTCCTTAAATGAGCATAAATTTGTTTCAAATTAGATCGTCCTCATGCCGAAAACTGACAAGCTCCCATTTTTCATGGGCACCCAAATGAACGACTACCGACGCCAGTTGTTTGATAGTTATCGATGCGGCTCTTCCTTTGCGAGTGCTTCGAGATACCCGGTTCCCGAAGAATGCAAACGACTCCTCTACAGCGTCGGGTATGCCGTGTACGACGGTGCTTTCGAGTGCAGTTGCGATCCTACGGGATCTACCTCCGCCATCTGCGACTCGCTCGGGGGACAGTGCTCCTGCAAATTGAACGTGGTAGGAAGAACGTGCGATAAGTGTGCCGCAGGAACGTATGGATTTGGTCCGGAAGGGTGTAAACGTATGTATTCTATTAATAAATGGAATCCTATTTTGCATAAAATTATATTTCCTACTACTTTTACTTCCAGCCTGTGAATGCAACCCTATCGGATCTTTGGACAACTTTTGCGACATTCAATCCGGTCAATGTAGATGTATTCCGAACGCTTACGGCGTCCAGTGCGGCCAGTGTCAACCCGGCTACTGGAATTTCCCCAACTGCCAACAATGTAATTGCAACGGACATGCTGACACTTGCGAATCTGAGACGGGAACTTGCACCAGTTGTCGGGATAATACGACTGGAACGACTTGCGACCGATGTGTTGAAGGACATTATGGTGACCCACGGCTTGGGATTGACATCCCGTGTCGGGCTTGTCCATGTCCTGGGACGATGGACAGTGGACACTCGTTCGCTTCTCGGTGTGCTCTCGATAGGTTGACGAACGATGTGATTTGCGAGTGTCAGGAAGGCTATCAGGGTAAATTTGTGACGTTAAATTATGCGAAATTGCAAGACAAGAAGTTAAATTTAACTGTTTATGCAAATGTATTTAGGTCCTCGTTGTGACGCCTGTGCCGACAACTACTTTGGAAACCCAGACGTCCCCGGTGGGCAGTGTCGACCGTGCAGTTGTAACAACAATATTGATATTGCTCGACCTGGAAATTGTGACTTGAAAACGGGAGAATGTATCCAATGTCTCTTCAACACGGAGGGATTTACATGTGAATCGTGCAAGGCTGGATTTTATGGGGATGCTGTCAACCAAATGTGTAGAAGTATGTGCAAAAGCTTATATACTCACAATTAATTACTTTGATTATCACACAAAATTATGTCTATCAGGTTGCGTGTGCGACATTCTGGGCACGAATGCTACATCTTGGCCCTGTGACCGAAGTACTGGACAATGTCCCTGTCTGCCTAACGTCATCGGAGTGTCATGCGACCAGTGCGAGGACAATCACTGGAAAATAGCGAGTGGAGAGGGTTGCGAACCGTGTGATTGTGACCCAATCGGATCACGGAGTTCGCAGTGTAACTTGGTAAGGATGAAAATACATGACTAATACGTCTGGAAATTGCATGTTTTTAAATTAATGTAAAATTCCAGTACCACGGACAATGCGAGTGCAAACCAGGATTTGGTGGAAGAAAGTGCGACCAATGTCAAGCCGATTATTGGGGAAATCCCAACGTGGAATGTTATCGTAAGTATGCTAATGAATAATTATGTATTGAAACTAATTTAATGATATGTCCACAGCTTGTCAATGTAACGAGTGGGGATCATCGACCTCTCAGTGCGACCGTGTCAACGGAAGTTGCGTTTGCCATCCCGGCATCGGTGGTGCGAAGTGTGACGAATGTGCTCGTGGTTATATCGGATCCGCTCCCAGTTGTTCCCCGTGTGGAGAATGTTTCGAAAATTGGGACAGAATTATTGGGAATTTGAAAAGTTCGATCGAATATATATAAACAAAACCTAAACCTGTGATTTATAAATTTTATCCTCCATTTCCACAGCTCAAACCACCAAAGTTGTCGATGCAGCCTCCCAAATAAAACAGCAAGGTGCAACGGGAGCGTATACTAAAGAGTTTGATTCGATGAAGAACAGAGTGGACGAGGTGAAACGACTCTTGGAAAGCTCGAGTATTAGCAGTACCGATTTGGACACGTTAGGATCCATGATTTCCGAAAAGAAGTAGGTGTATTTGTTTTTAATTCGAACAGTTTATTGTGTATGGTTGAGAAATTTCTGGTTAAAAATAAATTATTAATTGACGAGTAAATAATATCGACTGATTCTTCTCTAGGGCCGTCTTTGGAAACACGTCAGTCGAACTGGACGAGGTTGAAGCCTTGCTGACCAACATTTCGCAACGAATCCTCTCCACAAACGTGTCTCTGGATGCTTTGGAAAGAAAGGTTGACGCTCTCCAGTCATCTGCAGATTCGTTGAGAAATACCTCCATCAATTTACAAGAAGCTAATGTTGAGGGTATAAATAATTCTAGTTAATTACCTTCAAATTCATTCAACTACATAGAAATAACTGTAATAATTAACCATTTTTAGGAGCCCTGAACATCACACGAGACGCCAAACGCCGCTCAGATGATGCCGTCCGTCGTGCCAACGATGTACAAAAAGCGCTCAGTGACTCGGAACGACAACGACGTCGAATTGAAGCACTTTTAAATCAAATCGGACCACAAATGAACCGTACGCAAGAAGAGGTTGCCGACACGTTGAAGAAATTGGATGGAAACATGGCCAACATTACGACCGCCTTCCCCGCCTTGAACACGCTCGTCTGCGACCGTGCCGGTGACCCTTGTGACTCTCATTGTGGAGGGGCTGGGTGTGGAAAATGTGGTGGATTGTCGTGCGAAGGGGCCGTGACGAATGCAGACAATGCTCTCAAGTATGCACAAGATGCGTTCACCGAGCTCAAAAGGAAAGATGCGGATGCGGAAGATTTGTTGAGAACGGTATAAAGCAGTTAATGAATGCGTTATTCTTTTGCGGGAATTGTACTTACACGAAAATAAAATAATCCTTTAGGTAACTCAAACAAAACTGGATGTGGATGAAGCTAAGGACTTGGCCCAGACTGTTTTCAATGAAGTTTCCAAAGCTAAAAATGTCTCAGAAAAGGCCAAAACTAGTTTAGAAGATATGGAGGATGAGATTAAAAAGTTTCTGGATATTTTGGCCAACACACCGGAAGAAATTCGTACTTTGGCCAGCGATGTGAGTAAAATCAATTATTTAATTACATTTTAGCTACTTCCTAAATAATTTAACATTTGTTCATGTACAGGTTCTAGCACAAAACATTAGCCTAAAACCGGAACAGATAGACGAATTAGCGGCTGGTATTCAGGAAAGTATCAACAGTTTAACCGACATTGATGAAATTATCAGATTAACTCACGGAGATTTAAGAACGGCTGAAACTTTAAAAAATCATGCAGATAAGGCGGCGTAAGATTTATTTTTCTTTACGAGGAGTTTAGAATGATAATAAATATTGCGACGAAAAATAAATAAATAATTCTCTGCTCTTCTTAGAGGGGAAGCTAACAAAGTTCTTCAGGAAGCCATCCACGTCCGAGATGAACTTAAAAAGACCAAGGACGCGCAGAAAAGTGCTGAAGCAGCGATTGACGAGGCTCGCGGTCATATCACTGCAGCCGACACGGATTTGAAACAGGTACTTGAAGATTATTAAAATGATTTCTGATCGTAAAATCATTAAATCTCCTTTGAAATTACAGATTGGAAGTGAGACCACCGCCGCGGATAAAACAGCATCCGAATCACTCATGGAAATTGAACAATTAAAACGACGATTAGAAGAATTGCAGAGGAAAAATTTACAAAATGAGCGACGCCGTGACCAAGCCAAGAATGAGTCCGAGTCAGCATTACAAAATGCCACCGTTGTGCAAGAAAATGCTGCCACGTGAGAGAATTAAGAAATACAAATTATTACAAAATCCACAATATCAAAATTGTTTAACTGTTCTAATTAATGCAGATTGAAATCAGAATATGATCGAGTCAAGAAAACTTTGCAGGCGAAGCTTGCCCTGTTTGCAGGTGCTGAACAAAAAGATGGTTTGCAAAACAGAGCAAACCGTTTAGCCAATAATGTCAGCGACAAATTGAAAGAACTTCAAGGTATTCGTTTAATGAAATATGGAATCAAAATACTTGACGCTTAACAAAAACCTGAATTATTTTCAGAAATGGAGAGAGAATATATTGAACATGAGAGAAGATCGGATGATTTAGCGAGAGAAATAGATTCCTTATCCAGACAAATGGAAGAACATTTACGAGCAATTCGGCAAATCGAAGAATATCACAGAACATGCAACTCGTAAGATTATAGCTCCATTTTAATCTATCTCAAGTTTTTTAACCTTTACCACTACCAGCTAATATTTACATAATAGTCATGATATAAATGTCACCAGATGAGAAAATGTATGTATACACTAAGAATTAATTAGGTAAATTAATTGTATGCAGCTCGCTAAAAATCCTCATAATTTATACCAACCAACTCAATTGATATTCAAGTTTTAAAAAAATTCGATATATGATAAATATACAGACACATTTTGAGTCGGAACGTATGTAGTTTTTATGCTTATGTATGTAACAAAAAAGCTGTTAAACTGCCATAATAATTAATTTTTGAGTTATTAAACTCTCTAATACTTACTCTTCCACACGTGCCATGCCAATTAAATAGTCTGAAATAATAATACCAGATTTTTTACTGAGATAAAAATCAAAAGCCAATTATTATAATTATATAGCTAACTTATGTATTTGACAATCATTCAGAAATCACTGCCATTCATGTGACAAAATTGTTAATTTTTACTGCTTTATTATGTTTTCTCTTTAAATAGTCATAAGTATGTACTTATGCTTAATTGTGGATGGGATAAATATGTATGTAGAAAAATAAATCAGTTCAATATTTTGGATACGGTGCAGAAAGAATTTGATGATTTGTACTTAAAAATGTGCATGCAAATTAAGTAATGCCGAAGAAAAAGGGTATGAAATGAAATGATAACAAGTTGATTAATTATTATGTTACAAATGTATTCAGTTTAATTTAAGGTTATGTATGTATTTTATGAAATTTGTTAATACGCTGTGTATTTTATGATGATACAAATGTTATTTACTTTTATGCATTTACGACGGAAATGAATGAATAAATGTTGGAAATTTTGAATTAGACAAAATTATGAATCTTGTTTTTTTACATCATTTCATGAAGGATTGAAAACAGTTGGACCAGAACTAGATTTCTGATATCTGTTGACTATTTTCATTTTCATGAGATTTTCATGGAGTACATCAACATGATTAATAAGAGATTCGCCAAAAATTTGCTGTTTTGTTCTTGTAAATCAGGACAACTCGCCGGGTTGGTTAAGATAAGGGCACATTGATAAATAGCGACCTGAATAACAATAGGGGCCAAGGAGAAAAAAGGTTTTTTATTTGATAAGCGTGTCATTATATAATTATAAATTAGGTAAAACTATAGTAGTTGGGGTAGATGCTAATTATAATTAGCTAATAAATAATTAGTCATTCGTGATTATGTATTTTAATAGTAAAAGATAAGCCTAAGGTAGTTACCTAATAATGGCTTATCTTTCATTATTTGGGGCAAAATGAGTCACAACCAACGTGCGAAATTTAATAGGATCCATGCCTCTCTCAATCGGCACATGGTGGATCGGAGGCGAAGGCGAGAAGTTTTAGTCTTGCTCCGGAAATTTTGTTTAATTTTTTGTTTCTAAGTTCATATCATAGTTTGGTTTCTGAAAAGAATAATAATTAAGAACCAAAAGGTAACAGACTTTTCATTTAGCATTTAGTCTTTGACATGTTTCTTTTTAAATTTGTAAACTGAAAATTGATTTATATAATAAATGATTTAATCATCTCGTACGAGATTCTCGTTTCAAATCATTTACTTCGCTAATAAGTAAAGTTGACTAATTGTAGTTCATATTTTGTGTAGTTTGAATATCGAGCTGATATTCTAAGCAGCTACTGAAATGGAAACTGCAACTAGGAATCGGGATAAGTCTGTTGTCGTCGACGAAGGGCAGCTTGACTTATCATCGTCATCATCGGATTCGACAGTAGGACATCTGAAAAAGCAGATTCGGTTGGACGGGGACGATTCTGATTCTGAGTCTTGGAGTTCGGATTTGAACGATGAAGAAATTGATGTGCAGAAAATATCCCTTCAGGAAAAAGTGAAACATGCTGCTGAAGATCTTCACGAAGAAGTGGAAACTGAGCGCACCACGGATTGGAGAAATAATATGAACCAGATGGAAGGTAATAAAATAGTTTTTGAAATTCGTATTCTCAATTTGTGCCTAATAATTCTATAATTTTATTTTTTACTTACAGAGGACATTAAAAAACTTGACGAGAGGAAAGACTCGGAACGACCGACTGATTTTAAACTCGATACAAGTCAGTGGACCGTACTTCCTCCAGTGACATCGGACTCGGACTCGCCCCAAGCAGGCACGTCCCAAGCTTATAAGGGGATAAGCATGAAGAGTCCCGCAATCAAGTTTCGAGGTTATACCGTTCCGACCAAAAATAAATTGCACCCGGAATTTGGTGGACGATCCAAGGTTGCAGTGAGAGTCATTCCGAAGGTAGAGGCACTCCCACCAATGAATTACTGGGTTTCAATTCCTACAAATATTTATGCTGAGGATGAGCCGACGCTTACCCATATTCCATACCTGGGAGAGGAAGTGCTGTCGAATAAGAAAGAAACGAAGAGATTTATAAAACAACTTGTGAACGACACGTATGATAGTCAGGTGTATGGGCTTGATGATCTCGACCACGCGGATCAATCAATTAACACGCCAGCGTACACCCCTGCATATAAGATTGAGAGCGATGAACAGTTTCTGAAACTGGTGAACAAAGTCATGCAGACTTGTGGCGAACCTGAGGGAGCCTCTCCGAGACTAGAAATGTTTGAAGCAATGGTGAATCTGTATCAGATGCGTTGGTCACCGCAAGAATTGATGGATAGGTATGAATATTGCGAAGGAAATATAATGATTCTGATGAAGATGACCCTTTTTAATTTCAGATATACGAACCTGTGCCAAGAAGCACCTGGCTCCAGCTCGGAACTTCAAAATTATGACTTGGCTCCAAACATTGATGGACCTGAAGCCCAATCCATTTCGAGGAGCATGGCAATGAATACTTATCATACTCTGTTTTGCAAGAGATGTGCCATGTACAACTGCCCGCATCATAGTAAGAAAAACAGAATTTAGCGAAGATCGACAAAGCTCGAATTAACACAATGAATAATTATACTTAAATTTATTTCTCAGCACCGGATGAGCGTGGCGATATGCCACCTGAGTCGGATGATACCAGTTCTGAAGAGGATTCAGACGAAGAAGAAGATAGAAAAAATTGCGGTACTAAATGTTATCGGCTAGGAACTGAGGAAAAGCCAACATCGTCACGTCGTCTTACTTCTCGTAAGACGACCAATTGGACTCCGGGTATGTATGCACAAACAAAAAAAGGACATTTTTTTCCTGATTGATCATCTATTTTTTCTTTGCTTATTTATCTATGCATTCAGCGGAGGAAACCCTGTTCAGATCAATCCAAAATTTGTTCAAGAAAGATTTTTGTTCAATGGCGGAAATAATTATGACCAAGGATTGCCAAGAGGTTATAGAGTTTTTATTCCAACGAAGAGAAATGACGCATTAAAAGGTATTTTAACCTATTTTGTGTAGGTGTTTGAGTTTGCTCAACAACAGAGTTTGCTTGAGGAAAAAAAGGAGTCGAACCCTCCTTGCTCCAGCAGCGGAAAAGTTAAGAAACCAAAGTCCAAGGCTCCAAAAAAACCGAAGAAAGCTAAAGCTCCATTAATTGTGGATTCGCATGAGAATAACTACATCCCATGCAACCATTCTGGCGAATGCTCTTTATCCAATCCGGAATGTTGCTGTGCTAAATCAACTCTCAACTGCGAAAAATTCTGCCTTTGCAGCGAAGACTGTAAGAGAAAAATGAAACTCGCCAAACAACAAGAATTAATTTTCTTAATTTATTAGAGATTAGTTCTTTATAATATTTTGTTATTACTTTTTTGTCTTGCAGGTTCGAATCGGTTCCCCGGTTGCAGATGTAAGGCCCAATGTTCCACGAAATTGTGTCCATGTTTCATCGCCAGTCGGGAATGCGATGCTGATCTTTGCAAAACTTGTAGCGCTCATGAACTCGACAAGGAAAAAATAAATTGTAAAAATGTCAACTGTCAGCGAGGATTTGGTAGGAAAAAATATTTTTGTTGATCTAATAATAGCTGCTTTAAGTACATGATTATCATTGTGTACATTGTAGGCAAAAAGCTCCTGCTGGGCCGATCTGATGTCGCTGGCTGGGGCTGCTTCCTTCCCGAAGGTGCAAATAAAGATGACTTCATCGCGGAATATTGTGGGGAACGAATTTCGAAGAATGAAACTGAGCGTAGGGGAATCGTCTATGACACAAAGAAATGCAGTTTCCTCTTTAATTTGAATTCTGGTATGAATCACGAGAAGAGACTATATTTTCATAATAATTGTTTTCATTGACTCTTCTATTATGTTTCTCAGAATATTCAATTGATTCGACTCGAATTGGAAATGACATTCGATTTGCCAACCACTCTAGCACAAATCCAAATTGTTACTCGAAGATTTTGCGAGTGTATGGGGATCATCGAATTGCCATATTCGCAAAGGACAAAATCCCACCTGGCGCTGAATTACTCTTCGATTATGGGTAAGTTACTCTATAATTAAATTAATAAACATCTGTATTTAACTCACCTTGTACTTGTCGTCATCTCTTCCCCCAGTGCTAAAGGGGACAAGGACCTATCAAAGCCGATTTATGACGAGCAGGTTGATCCACCGCCGAAAAAAGTAGGAGGGAAGAAGAAGAAGCCTGCAAACAAAGTTGATATTGAACCTTCAAAGAAACAACCTGACGCAAAGCCTTGTTAGCATAATCAACATGTGTCTTTATTTTAAAATACTGTTGTGTATTATTTATTTTTTTACTAAAATCACTTGTTTTCCACCGAAAGATATTTATAAGAACAAATTATCTACCAGCTTTCACACAGTGAATGAATGATATTATATGACAATTGTAATAAATAATAATACACTCTTAATTGTAATTATAATAACATTTATTATACATTTGCATCAAGAAGAAGATTTGTACTTCCTGAGGGTGGCGCTTGCCCTGATTGTTCTCTCATGATAACCACTCAACTGGATTAAGATAAGATAACGAAATAACTAGGACACTTTATCCTTGTAGCATTTATTTCATACATTTGCATCAAGAAGATTTGTATTTCCTAAGGCTGGACCCGATTATTCTCTCATGATAACCCCCCAATTAGATTAAGATAAGGTACCAACATAATTAGGATATCTTTATTTATCTCCTAAAGTGGTGGTGGTGTGAACAAAAATGGTGAAAAAGTCTAGAAAATTCCGTGTGGTGATGGTGACGGTGAGGTCATTGTCCTCTAAGCGTCTCTGTCTCGTCTCACTTTTTCACTTTCTCGGACTTTCGGTCTCATGAACTCTTGGCTTTCCTTCTTCTTTCTTCACTCACCAGAAGCCGACCAGCCAGTCCAGTCCATTCTTTCTCGTCCTCCATCTTGCCAACATTTCTCTGGTGTGGATTTACTCATCGCTTATCAAGATAACTTATCATCATCAACATCAAGTCTTAGGTAAGTGTGTTGCAAGTTGAGATTCAAGGGGCGATTGATACGGTAAAATTTGGGCAGTTTGGCATAATTCTTTTCTTGGTTGGTTGGTTGGTTAGATTAGGAGCGGAGATAAGCCTTTTGCCATCATGTCCTACTGGAGAAGCAGAGGAAGTAGAAATATTCGTACTGAGCCGGATTCTGTCTCGACAGAGGTGGAGGAGGGGGTGAGGACAATAGGATATGCAAAATTAAATGAAGAGGCGAAGGAAAATGTCGACGAAAAGTCCACTACAACAAAAACCAGGGGTGGGGGAAAGGACAAGCAAGTTCTTGTGGCGAAGGAGAATAGGGAACTTCCCCAAAAAAGCAATGCAGGGAAGAAGCCCGGGTTGGATGAAGGAGCAGGTACTTCTTCAAATGTGCAAGTATCGTCATCCGTCAAAGCTGACGGGGCAGAACTAACCTGTGAAAAGAAGAAGGCGGGGGGGAATAGAGACATTTCTAAGGTGTCTGCTTCTGTCTCGACAGGGGTGGAGGTGGGGGTGAGGACACGGGCGTCCTCAAAATTAAATGAGGAGATGAAGGAAAATCTCGACGATAAGTGGACAACAGTTAAGCCCAGGAGTTGGGGAAGGAACAAACAAGTCCTCGTCGCTAAGGAGAATAAGGAAGCTGCTCCTCAAAAAAGTAATGTAGGGAAAAAGGGTAGGTGGAATAAGAAGTCCTGGCTGAAGCAAGAAGCAGTTGATCCTTCTGAAAATGTACAAGGATCGTCTTCCCTCAAAGCTGATGGGGAAGAATCATCCATCACATCATTCAGAAACAGGAGAACTAGAAACATTTCTGCCGTGTCGGCTGCTGTATCGACTGGGGTGGAGGTGGGGGCGAGAAGACCCTTCTCAGCATTGAATAAGAGGCTTTCAGAAGAGAGGAAAAATGTAAGCGATGTGTCCACTACATTTGATAACACGAATGGAGTAAAGGAAAATCAAGTCCTCGTGGCGAAGGAAAATGAGGAAGTTGTTCCTCAAAAAAATAATGAAGGCAACTGGTGGAATAGGAAGCCCTGGTTAGATCTAGAAGCAGTTGACCCCTCTGCAAATGTACAAGCATCATCATCCTCCAAACCTGAACCATCTTCTGAGAAGAAGAAGACGAAGAAGAATCATGCGAGGGGAAGGAAGTGGTGGTCGAAGAGAAGGGATGATAATGAGGATAGTTCTTCAGGGTGGAATGGAGTTGGACAAATTTTGGACGAAGTCCCAATTCCAGCAAGAGTCATCGCGAACTGTTGTTCGCAACTTTATACCTTCGTCGGATTAGACGATTTCGAGCACATGCTAACCAACGAGTTTCGGGACGACAAATTAAGACGTTAGTTTCATTCATTCTTTAAAGTCATATGAAATTTTAGGTAATAATATTAATCTGATACAGGTAATGAGCTTGGCTGCCAACTTAAGGCAATGATCGAAGCGTGCAAGGCAGTTATGCGCGATGCAAACTTCCCGATGACGGTATACTCAAAAATTCAGGGGGATAAAGTTCGTCAAATGTTTGAATGGAGTAAGTATTTGCGCGTGAATGAAGAGGCGTTTTTTCGAGCTATTGAGCTATATGATCGGTAAGTAATTAAAAATAATCACTTTTAACTATAATGTGAAACGAGCTTACCTGATTTTGAATTATATTTTAGGTTCCGTGTGAACCAGGAGGAAATGCTAGGAGCTGAAGAAGTTGGGAATATACGAACCGCAAAGAATGTAAATGAGGCATATAAATCCGAAAGCGTGATTATGTGCATCTGTATTGGTCTAGCAGGCAAGTTGCATGCCATTCGCACCCGTAACACTCCAGAGTATGATGTAAGTATTAATATATATTTAATATAGATTTGTTTTGTACTTGTATTTGTATTAATTTACTTACTTTGCAGCCCCTGTGTACGTACGATATTCAAAGAGAACTGTCACGAGTGCGTTGGTATCAAGCTAACGATTTGTTCGATGTTGAGAAAACGGTATGGAAAATTCTCAAATTCAGACTAAATTGGGTGACGCCGTTCGACATTACGTCATACTTAGTAGCAACGCTGGACCTCAATCCATTTGAGTTAAAAAATGTATATTGCGTGGCTCTGTTGTACCTCCAGTACAGCTACATTCGAAACGCCGACGTGTACGTTAAAGTAGATGAAATATATCGGAATGAATGGCTCCCAACGGAGGAAGGAGAAGACTCCATGAGTCACGAGTAAGTAAATGTCTTGACACAGAATGACATATTAATATTATAAGGGTTAATATCATTTATGGCGAGTAATGTTAACTAACTTGGTCGTATTGATTCGTTCTAGAGAGAAATTTAAGCGGTCATTCGAATATAATATACCCCTTCGTGCTGCGGCTGTGGTATGTGCGGCTGTTTCCCATATCGGGCAAGAATTCCAGACCTCCACTATCCAAAAGTTTTCGAACTTAGTGTCAGAATCTGAGATTAAAATCAGCACTGTCGCTCACATTCTGCAAGACATTCTAACCGATGTGCACCCTACAAAAATTGTAAACTTATTGGAACAGCAATTTTATGATGGCTGGAATTAAAATAGGTGAGATAGTCTAAAGAGGGGTCTAAGGAATAGGAGGAATTATTAAGGATCTGATTTTTCTATTTTGAAACTAAATAAGTGCTTAAAATTTCAATTATTACGTGTGTAATATTATGTCTTTAAACTCAACATGTAAATATGTAGCCTACTTATGTAAGTTATGTTTTTATGTTCATATTTGTATAGATACAGTGGCTATCATTTTAAAAGTTTTACATTTTGTATACAAAGTGCAAGTTGCATGGTTGTATTTTTAACGTGTATATATTAATACATATATATTATTTTTACAAAAAATACAGGGTAAGGTAAATGTTACTATTTACTTTTTAATAAATGTTTATGAAAATTTACTACCATTAAATTATTACTATTTCGTATTGTTCTTCACATGACAAGTATGTACACCTACTTTATATATGGAATCGACAAAGTTTGAGATTTCCTTGAAAATCCAACATCCAAGTTCCAAGTCGACAAAAGAAAGGCCACCAAATAATGAAAGCTGTTTAGATCATTAATCTAAAGTTGAGACCAAGTCCAAAAAAGCAGTGATGTTCACTTAACACATCGATCGACCTCCTTGTTTACGTATGTACAGCGAAATCATCTTATTATTAATCGCGTGACGTCTCTTATGAATATTTGCTAATATTTTTATTGTTTTATGATCAGGTCACATGCTGCAACAATGTCTCCTCGATCTTGTCTAAGGTCTAATTTCTCACATCATCATCCTTGCCTGAGTTGGAGTTAATATTTTTCCATTATCAAAACGAAATGAAATTAAATTCATCATCATTCCAATTATCCGGTTATATCCACCTTGATTTTCTCAAACAAGTTATCAGAATATTTTTTCATTCTTCACGTCTCATTTTATGAATTCTGCTGTATGAATGATGACTGAGATGAGGTTGTTGTATGATTGAAGGACGATCAAGGTGCTTGCTTATTAGTAAGTATGCACGCTCGCCACAATTTTATTGTACTGACTGATTTCATTTAACTTTTGCCTGCCTAACAAGCAACTCAGTAAACTTTTAATGTTAAATGCATCATTTTTAACTTACCTATATGCTTATCCCAAACCAAACCAAACCACATAAACTCTAAAGCAAAGTGAGAAAGCATATGTGTGTCTACAGACACATACATAATTTTCATGCACGTATGTACATATGTATGCACGTACGTACAATATTGTACATACATGCATAATAAATAATCTGTCTAATAACCCTCTCCAATTGAAGTCAGGGCAGCAGTTAGTCCAAACATATTTAATCTCGAATTTCATTTCATTCACCAACTAGACTTCTTCTCAGCAAGCAGCAGATTCCACTTTGGACATTCTTAATCGCTCCGATTAACTGGCCGGACCAACAACCAAGGAAAAGCCAGTGGTTCTTTCTTTGATGCTTTTTTGTCATCATCATATTTACAAAAGTTGTTTGCAGCAGTTTGTATCTAAACAATTGTCTCAGAGGTGGAATTTTTAATTGTCTGTCTTCTCATCTCATCATTTTCGGTAAGTGTGAGAGGTTATTTTTCTTAATTTTACAATGCATGTAACTATAACCCGGTTTTGAACAAGGTACATACATCTGCTTTCCAAGGTACATTTGCTTTCCAAAGTTTAAAGTCCATCAAATATTTTATGTGGATTTCATCATTCACATGCAAAACATCCATCATCCAAATAAACTGGGTGATGATGAATTAGTCATAAAAAGTTTGAATTAAATTAGTGTTGCAGCATTTAATTGTGTGTCCAACCAACTAGTTAAATTTGTTATCTGCACATGTATGTATGTACCTCATCTGCACTTGAATTAGTTATTAATATTCCACACGCCTCAGACCTGTGACTCCTCGACAGGTGAGTGAGTGTCACACATGTCGATGTCATGCAAATACGTGGATTGGTATAGTTTTGATTAGAGAGAGAAAAAAAGTGGTACATGAATTACAAATGAACACATATTTATTTATTTGCAGACGTCACTAAATTACATGGAAAATGCATTAACATCACAAAAAGCTAGAAGAATTGACGTGAACAATTCAAAAAAGTAGAAACATGTGGTCCATGTAACAAATTTATAATTATAGGTTCTAAACCCTGTATAACTTCCATGAACGAAAAAAAATCAGTAATTTTAATATGTTTTAATTGTGGGTTACATCATCATTTAAGGATAAGTGGAAGTGGATGGAATGGAATTGTACCTGAGATTCAGCTCGATTTTAGTGCAACTCGTGTAGGCAGTTTTTACACAATTATTTTACGTAATTTCCATCCATCCATCCAGAATAAATGAATTAATGGATGAGATAAATACTAATAAATGCATACATAAAAAGCGGATTTATAGCCACTGGCTTGAATTCAGTCGGAGGGGTTGCGTGGCAGATATTTAGTACTTACAATAAATTGAATTGCATCCATTTACCATTTACCGTTTGAAGGGTAAGTATGTTAGTTAAGGTTTAATTTAATGGTTGTGGTTGTTTCGAGTGGTTTCTGGTTCATTCCATACGTTCATATTTAAGTAGTTAGACAAAACATAATGTTTGTTTTATTTTTATTTTCGTTGGATGACCGCCTTGTGGTTAGAGTTTCTTAGTACCAGTTTATTTACATTGTTTTGCATACGTGCCACAATTAGTGTCACCAAACACACACAATTGTCATCCTCAGCGTCATCAATCATTTAGCGTAGCGTAGCAAAACAGAAAGCTAACTTTAAAATTAACTTCTTGGCCTGTGCATCCATTCGCTTAAACGAGCTGTAATAACGAGGCACTTTCTCTTTCTTTCAGAGTCAAAACCAAGTCCGGAATAGATAAGAATCATGCCGTGTCCATTCATAACGCGACTGCCGACATCCTTCGTGCGAAACTATGGGGGGAGCATTCTTAAAAAGTATGGCGAATCTTGTCCCGTCATTAGTCGAGCGATGTCATCTTTGCCAGCGGCGAACCGTAAGTGATTCTTAAATCTTGTAAAATACAAAATTGGCAGAGAAAAAATATTTTTGTTCTGAATTTATGCAGGTAGCGAGGCTACGGAGGGTAGTGGCGAGGCGGCTTGTCCCTACAAAAAGGCAAGTGATGCTGTCGCCACGGACATCAAGGGAAATGGGACGCCAACGGCTACTACTGGTTTGAAGGGGTCGTTCCCATATGAGACGTTTTTTCATGAGCAAATCCTCCGGAAAAAGAATGATCATTCGTACCGCATCTTTAAGAAGGTGAATCGGTCCGCGACGAATTTTCCAAGTGCGACGGAATTCTCGTGGGGCAAGAAACCAATTACGGTGTGGTGCTCGAATGACTACTTGGGGATGTCGTGTCACCCAGCGGTCAAGGAGGCTGTGTGGTGAGGATGCATATCTGATTAGTTTATAAATTAATTTACTAATTAATAATTGTCTTGATTTTCAGGGAAGCTTTGCAAAATCATGGCGCTGGTGCTGGCGGGACTCGGAACATTTCTGGAAATTCTGTTTTTCATGAAACTCTTGAAAAAGAGTTGGCCTCTCTCCACCAGAAGCCATCCGCCTTGCTTTTCACGTCCTGCTACGTGGCGAACGACTCGACCCTGTTCACTCTGGCGAAATCTCTTCCTGGTCAGTATTTATTGTGCTAATTTATAAGGTCAAAAGTACAAAATATTAATACTGGTTATCCAATTGCTGTTCCAGGCTGCCACATTTTCTCCGACGCTGGCAATCACGCCTCCATGATTCAAGGAATTAAAAACTCTGGCGTTCCGAAGCATATCTTCAAGCATAACGATCCCTCGGATTTGGAAGCTCTGTTGAAAACAGTGGATATAAAAACTCCGAAGATCGTAGCCTTTGAAACCGTTCATTCCATGACGGGAGCCGTTTGTCCGTTGAAAGAGTTGTGCGAGGTGGCTCACAAGTATGGGGCCATCACCTACATCGACGAAGTCCATGCCGTCGGACTTTACGGGGAACATGGGGCCGGGATTGGCGAGCGAGACGGTCTCCTGGATAAAATGGATATCATCTCGGGAACTTTGGGTATATAAAATGCATACATAGTTACTAAATAGTTGATGCTTACTAAAAGTGAGGCAACTTGACACATCAAATTGTACAGGCAAAGCGTTCGGAAACATTGGAGGTTACATTGCCGGGAGTGAGAATCTTGTCGACATGGTGCGAAGTTATGCTGCGGGATTCATCTTTACGACATCCCTTCCTCCAACCGTCCTTTGCGGAGCGTTGGCTGCCGTACGAATTTTGCGATCTGACGAAGGACGCGAACTCAGGGCTGTTCATCAGTCCAATGTCCGCTATCTGAGGCAGAGTCTCATGGACGCTGGAATTTCTGTGGAACACACTCCGTCCCACATTATTCCGGTTTATGTAAGATTGAACAATTACTTTGTGTATGTTTTCAGCTCTCATCATGTTTTTGGTAATGCATACAGATTGGAAACCCATCTCTCAGCTCTCAACTGTCTGACGAACTCATCCAACGGAAGGGTCACTATGTCCAAGCCATCAACTATCCGACGGTGCCACGGGGTCAAGAAAAGTTGCGAATTGCTCCCACCCCCCACCACACGAGGGCCATGATGGACGTCTTTGTGGCCGACTTGGTCGAAGTGTGGCAAGATTTGGGCATCCCTTTGAAACCGGCATGTTCCCAGGTATGTACATAAATCAAAACCATGCAAGATTTTGATAACCATTACTGTCTTGGCTTATCTAAATTTCGTTGTTATGTTTTTTTGTGTCAGGAGTGCCAATATTGCAAAAAACCGGTTCTATTTACCACCTTGGAATCCAGGACTAGGAAATCCTTCCCCGAGGAACGATCCAACCTTGCCGAAATGACGGCACAACTTTGCAGCATTCCAAACTGTCCTCAAATTGCAATTTCTGCCTAATGAACTTTTCATGGAAAATAATAGAATCAATTTTTTTGTGTTGCATTTTTAACACTTGTGCACACGTCATTCTGGTTTTTTGGAAATATATAGTATGTAGTTTATCCTCAAAAGTATTGTGAAATAATTCGCCAAGATAGAACCCTGTCCGAAATAAATTGTGATATTCGACCAAATTATAAACCACCTGAGATTTCAGAAATTAAAGAAAATAAATATATACCTTTGTTCGATCTTAAAAAATGATTCATTAACTCTTTTCATATATCATTGCGAAATGTGGGATTTCATGAGTTGTTCATTTCTACGAAGATGCATTTAAAATGCACCTTTACTTAATCACGTTTCAAATTAATGTTTTTACGATTTTAAAATTTTCAATGTTTATTGAATTTAAAAATTAGCAATCACATATTTAAAACTTTATTTTTAAAAGTATATGAATTTTGTACTCTCTCATTAAAAAAATTTTCAATCTCTTCAATACTAAATTAACTTCCCTTTGCTTCCCGAAACCTGCATTGCATCTTTCATAGCGTCCGAATATATACAGCTACAGTAGTGGAGTTCGTGTACAATTCCGCATGCAAATCGACTTGCTAAAAATTTGCGAATTTTATGCAGAATCATATACAATTTCCATAGATGAGCTTGGCGTAAAATCTCCAAGATTTTCAATTCCGCAGAAAATTATGTGCAGAAACATGCAGGATTTCGTATTCTACAGAAAAATATATAGGTCCATCTACTTCAAGTTGATTCACACTACACACGAATTGCATATTGCACTACATTCGCAAACTCGCAGTTGTTATGTCATTCCTTTAACATATCGCCATTTCTTAAGCCATGTATGCAAAATACACTCACCTATCTTGCTAGAAAAGAAACCCACTCCAGAAAGTATGCACAACAAACCAACTCTCCCATTCCCATTGTGTTATACGCAATTGTGTTGTTTGTTACGGAGGTGAAACCGTTGGGTAAAAAGGTAAATGTAAAAAATATATGTATGTACATGCATTCGACGACGATGATGACTAATAATGAACCCAGCAGCGTTGGAGTATATGTACATACACCTGTCCAAATCCAATCCACCGACCGATGCTTTCCTCCATCCCCTCCCGTTCGTTCCATGATGCTTAATACTTAATATTATTACTGTTTTGTAGGATCTGGGTGTGAGTGTGTTTTTTAGAAGCTTATTATCTAAACCAGGGTGGTAATTCTAAATAAAATAATTTACAGTTTTTGGGGGGTTATTCCATAAAACGAGAAGGGGTACAAAATCTGGACGAAGATGATACCGATACCATGAAAAATTACCAAGTTTTCTGTCATATACCAAATATCTCTGAAATTTTACCGGTTTAATCAATCATTGATTTGAAAGTTAAGTTTTTTCTGTGTGTGGGTTTCAAACTTTTACCTGTGTTTCATATATACTTGCCACATATGAGGAATAAACATGTGGGTCATCAAATGTGGTCAAGTTTTGTGTGCTGTGATGATGTTGGGTAAGTTTTGACTTGAGATAAGCAATGGATAAGAAGGGATGGATAAGAAGGAGAATAAGGCTAATTTTACGTGTATTTTATGCAGTTGGATACGCTTGTGGGCAGAACTTTTACGGGACGCCGGCGCCCGACCGAGAAAACACGGTGATTTGGTGTACGGTGAATCAAGAAGAGCAGAGAAAATGTGAAGCCATGTCGGAAATTTTGAAAACTAATCCGCTTTATAATGAATTTGGACAACGGGCAGAAATTAATCAGCTTAACTGCACCCAGGTAATTGTTAAATGGTGAATAATCCGTGTCGTGGGGAGTAATTTGCATTTGTTATTGCTCAGACCTACAACAAGGACGAGTGCATGGTGATGTTGGACAACAACGTCGCCGACATGACGACCCTTGACCCAGGCGAAGTCTTTGTTGGGGGACGGGAACACAGTTTAGTCCCATTTATGGAGGAGCGTTACACGGAGGGGTTGTACAGCGTTGCGGTGGTCTCGAAGCGATCGGATATTCGCAGCTTGTACGATATTAGGGGTAAAAAGGCGTGTTTTGCGGGGGTGGGTACCTTGGCTGGATGGATCACACCGATGGATAAGGTGAGAATTGTAGAATTTATAGGGTAACACAAATGTTAACGTAGGACTTGATGACTCGTAGTCGAAATGAGCACATTGTTAATCATTTATCCGCTATTTCAAGATTATGAACGACAAATTTGTAGAGCAAGTCGCTGGCATTGTTTTAAAAATACATACTCCAGATTTTGATAGTTTTTGAATGGGGTCTCAAGTTTAAGAAGCGTTCAGAACAATTGGACCTCGTCGAAACTGGCTTAAAAACCTTACCTAAAACCTATTCAATTAATCAATAAACCGATAGCAAATTTATCGTCCAGAATTTTAAAATAAATTCCCAGACCCAATAATGACTTAAAATGTGTCGATTTTGACAATTTATGTAACAAATTCTCGAGTCCTACGTTAAGTAATTATTCTCATTTCATTCTTCGCTTTACTCCCTTCCCAGCTCCTTAAAAAGGGCGGAATGGAAATCGTCGACTGCAACAATCACGTCAAAAGTGCGTTATCCTACTTCGGCCCAAGTTGTGCTGTCAACTCGCTCTCCGATAAGTACAACCCACTCGGCGATAACTCTCACAAGTTGTGCGAATCCTGTGGGAGTGAACTTCCAGGCGTGCGGTGCACGAGTAACGATCCATACTCCGGGTACGAGGGGGCCCTCATGTGTCTCATGGACAAGGGGGAGATCGCCTTCCTCAAGCACTCCTCCATCCAAGAATACTACACCAAGCTGAACGACCTCCTGGCCTACGCCCATCAGGAGAACGAACGTCTCAACAATCCATACGGCCAAACGTCCACGACAGAATTCCCATTCTTTCTCGGAAATCGTCCCACGACAACGTCCACGACGCAATCTCCATTCTTCCCTTTTCAACAACCCACCAGAAATAATTCAGCCTTTGGGAACAATGACCTCTTCGATAGGAGGTCTCGTTTCGAGGCTGAGTCCCCAAATCATCCCGACGCCGCGGCGTCGCCGGGGGAAAGTAACGCGATCCGTGGTCCGAGATCGTACAGCTCGTTCAAGGAGACGTACGAGCTCCTCTGCGAGGACGGGACGCGGAGGGATATTGATGACTGGCGATACTGTAATTGGGGTCTCCTCCCGTCACATGCGATCGTCACGTCGTCCGCGAAATTGTACCGACCCACGAGAAAGAGGTATCAGGAGTTTATTGAGAATATGTTCAGACAATTTGGAGGTGTTGATGGGACACAGCAGCAGCAAGGGCAGCAGGGGCAGGGACAGGGGCAGATTGTTAATAAGAATTTTAGGATGTTTGACTCCATTCCGAGGTATGGAAATAGGAGCAATTTGCTCTTCCAGGTAAGGGAAAGGATATTATTTTTAATTAAAAGTAACTGTTGAAGTACTAATTTTTGTTATTTTCTCGTCAGGATGCTACGATTGGATTTCGTGCAATCCATGAAAATGATCAGACCTACGTGAAATACTTGGGGCGACATATGGACGCCATTTTAGGCATCAGGGCCTGTCCCGTGGAAAAGATATCGCTCTGTATCACGTCCGATGCGGAGTATAACAAATGTGTCAAAATGAGGGTACGCAAAAACTATACCCAAAATTTAGAAAAAAAAATGTATTTTGCACTTTAAAATTTCTTATTTTTATTAATAGCAAGCTCTCAACGCCCAACTTCTCAAACCGGAAATGACCTGTGAGAAAGGACACAGTCACGTGGACTGCATTCAAAGAATTTCTCAGGGGTAAAACTACCACAAATTTGTAAAAGCTCTAATTTACAAGTTAAATGGATAAAAAATTGTAGAAATGCCGACACTGCCATTCTTGACGCTGGAGACGTTTACACCGCCGGCTACCATTACAACTTGATCCCCGTCATGTCGGAAATTTACAACACGCGCAACACCAAATTAGGAGAGCCGGAGTATTTCGCAGTCGCCGTGGCTTATCAGGGAGACGCGGACACCGAGCTGACCTATTTGAAGGGGAAGTATTCCTGCCACTCCGGCATTGGTCACGGAGCTGGGTGGATTATCCCGATGGCTTATCTCATCTCGAGTGGCAGGATGCGAAACTATGGGTGCGACTCGGTCACCGCGGCGTCACAATACTTTACGAAGTCCTGCGTTCCTGGCGCACTCAGCAAAGAGCACACTTTTGGGAGTCAGCACAGCAATCTTTGTGACTTGTGTAGAGGACAAAGTTTTTCATATTGTAGTCGCGATGCGTCGGAAGATTTTTATGGACATACGGGTAAGGAGATGGTTTGATTCGAATTTTAATGATTTTTGAAGTGTTTCGTTTCTTCCGGGTTTGTTATATTTCTTGGACTGCGAAGGAAGAAACGCAAGAAATGCGAGGTACAAGAAACTTCAAGAAATATGCGGTATTTAGCGTCGCACCGTATGAACTATTTATGGCGACGGGGCGTAGTTTTTTGCGCCTTGCATTTCTTGCAGGTCAAAATATTTACCTGCAAGAAACCACTTTCTTCTTCCCCTTATTTCTTGCAATGCAAGTGGTTACTTTTGCACCTGAAGCACTGCATTTTTGTCACGCATTAATTGTTTCATCATTTTCCCAGGAGCGTTACGCTGCCTGATCGAAGGTGGGGGCCAAGTAGCTTTCGTAAAGCATACGACGGTCAGTGAGGTCACGGATGGCAAAAGGAGAGAAACATGGGCGAGAAATACGCTCTCTGGGGATTATGAACTGCTCTGCAGAGATGGTAAATACACTTTTTGAAAAAAGTTACAGTCACAAATTAGTATTAAGACTTTGTAAAAGTATAACAAATTCTTAAAAACGAACCTTTCTTTCCAGGTACTCGAGCCCCCGTCACGGACTATGAACGCTGCAACTTAGGGAAAGTGAAAGCCAACGCGGTCGTCGTTCGTGGGGGTGGAAGTTACAATCACAATCAAACAACTGCCATCATTAATTTATTCTTATACGCGCAACAATACTATGGAAGGAAGGATGAGGATGATTTCAAGTGAGTGTTAGAAAAGTTAATTATGCATTAACAAATGGGTCTTATTTAACTGATCATAATTTAAAACTTTCTGCCATCATAATTAAAACTTTTTTCCCGAAATGAAATCCAAATTAACCATAAATTAACAGAGAAAAAAATAATCTTGTCTTGGGAGAAACGCAAGCTTGCTTGATCAGAAGCTTCCAAAGCATTTGTGGTTGGGTAAAGAATCGATAAAATTTGTAAAAGTTTTTTTCAAAATTTTGAATTTTAAAACGATTTTAACGTGCTTCATCACTTCTGGCAAAATCGAGTACTTCTGGACAACGAAATACTTTATTATTATGAGTAAAAAGAAGTATTTCTGTAAAAAAACATGTATCATGGTCGGGACTAGTTCTAAATCATGATCAGTTAAACCTTTCCATTTAACAAATTATGTGATTTAATTAACTAATTAATTTCCCCCCAGTTTCGGAATGTTCTACTCTGCTCCGCCCTACAGCGATTTAATATTTCAAGACGCAGCACAGCAACTCAAAGTAATTCCGCAGGAGCAGCGGAATTACCGAGATTACTTGGGAAAGACATTTCTCAAGGCGAGGGCCCTCGTCGACTGCAGGGCGCATGCGGGTCGAACTGACGCCATGACGAGTCGTTTCTTGATGGGAGGAGTCCTTCTACTTCTTGTACTGCCTCGATTTCTTTCATTTGGCCAGGACGGGATAATCATCACGTCGTGAAACAAGGACATGACTGACACGCTTATCAAATAAAATAAAAACTTACAAAACTACTTTTTCTGTCCTTTTGCTATACATTTTACAGTGTACCCTTATCTTAACCAACCCGGTGAATTGTCCTGGTTTACAAAGAACAAAGCAGCAAATTTTTGGCGAATCTCTTATTAAACATGACATAGTTTACTCCATGATAATGTTATATAAATATGTACATAAGTTAAGTTTGATAAAATTTTATACAAATTTGATGACCAAATATAAAGTTTTTATAATATATTTGTTATGTATGTGTGAGATGAAATATGGAATGTTTTTACGGAAATAAATGTTGTTACAATAAAATAATTTTTTATAAAACTAAATTCATCTCATTTTCAATTTTGCTATCACATTACTTTATAAGACATACATATTCAGAAGAAACGAGCATAATTAATTGAAATTGATTTTCATGCTTTTACTCATAATACATAAATATATGCCGACAAATATAACGTAGTAGAATATTGTTATATATTATTATAATCTTTGCGAAGATGATAGAAACTAAGACTTTGATACAAGTAAATTGCTGTGCCAAAATTATATAATGTGCTTCCAAGTTCCAACAATTCAAATTTTGAGAATTCAATTTTGCCATGCAACATTACTTTAAAATAGTTTTAACTATTACATACATAACTTATGCACAAATTATAGACATTGCGATTGTAATGAACGAACTAAATGGCTGTACTAAGACTTGTTCTTGACTGTAAATAAATAAATTGAATTGAAAATAAATAATTCCATTCTGAGAGAAATGTGTGATGATTGAGGCGAAGAGAGATTGATTTGACTTTAGTTGTCGCTACATTCATCAACCTTGACTTTACGTGGGCGACCTCGTCGTTTTGGACCGGATGGTGCAAGCCGCTTCCGGGTTGCTACCGGTGAAGCAAAACCTTTGTCATTTTGACCATTAAAATCATTTAGACTGTTCGAATTCTTACTCAGATCTATTGGTTCTTCTTGCACGTTTGTAATCTTCACGTGTTGGGAAGAATTTGGTTTTTTGGGAGAAGAAAGTCCCGTTGATTTCGAAGTTGACCTCGGCTTTTGTCCTCGACCTTTGCCAGTTTTGCCATCACCTTTTCGTGATTTTGGAGTTGTTGCTTTGGATGGAGTGACGGGTAAAACTGATTCATCCAAATGCATAGATTCTTCATCTGTGCGTTCTACTTTCTCTTTCATCTGTGTGAGTATTAGGGGTAGTGGATTTGATTCCACTAGTGGCATTTCTTAGTACATAAATATTTGTATAAATTAGTTATTTAGTAACAAATTAGTAATTTTATTATACCTGGTGGATTATGTGTTTCTACCACATCCAACGACGGTTGTACAACTTCAGGAATTAGTTGAGGTATTTTGTCTGCATTATCGTTCACAGTTGCAGTTGGTGTCACTTCTCGGTCCTCATCACCTCCAAGGTTTGACACCTCAACGTTCTCAGTTTGCAGATTATCATTCTTCTCCACATGAGCGTTGGACGATGTGGCTAGCAGTGGCTGTGCGGCTTTGATCGCGTTCATTTTTGCCTCTTCAATTTCCTTCTTTGTCCTTCGATCTCGTCGTTTTGGTTTTGGTGTGGGTGGTGGTAGTGGATCCTCATCATCCATCTCTTCATCGTCGGCACGGTCGCAGCTCTAATAATGCAATGAAATCATCGAATATGTTAGCACCCTTACATTACAAAGTTAGTTTATTTCGAAATAGCCATGTTTTTTAAAGCAAAATAAAGAATATTAGTACATACTGATCCCGGATTTGCAAAAGCAATAGTGGTGAAATTGTCCTGACTTATATACTTCATCTCCAAGTCGGGGATATTCTCCGGGGAACAAATGCTAATATCCGTTGATCGCGTGGTATGGTTGTAATATTGACGAACAAATGCAACAATTGGCAATAAGTCTCCTGCCGTGTGAGATGAACCGATTTGTCTGTGATATTGAAACGCCCTGATGACATCATTCCTGCTAGCTGGGTCCAATAACTATCCACATAGAACAAATATTTAGTAAATAGCAAAATATATCCCATTATCAGTGATAATAATTAATACTTAATTATACAAAGTAATATAATGAATAATTCTGATAATTGCACTCACATTATTGTTGGGTCCGTATTCTTGTACCCTTAGCAAGTACCCTGTCTTCGAGTTTATAGGGAAGAATGCCGCAAATGGGATCTCGTTCCTCTCTATTGCCTTATGATACGCTGGAGTGTCAACTTTTACGGCATAACCACACCCAAATCCTTCCTGAAATACGATACAATCAATTGTCATATATTAAATGTTGTCTATAGACCTTCTCAATCATTATTTGAATTAACTTACGTCATCTTCATCAGATTTATTTTCAAGTACTTCACAAACTCGCTGTTCAACGTCCTTTGAAGTACTGGCATGTCCCTTTCCCTTTGGAATGTCTTCGTCGGGTAAGCGTATTAATTTTACTTTTCGACTAAATATTACGCATTTTCGTTAATTTAAGCTGAATACTTCGCCTAAAATAGTAAAACTGCATGAACAATGGGTCACTCACCCTTTTTCTATGAAAACATAGGTAATCCCATGTTTTAAAGTCATATGACTGTTGAGCAGCAATTTTTTATTGAATCCTTTACTACACAATGTACATTGAAACTTCGCCGTTTCATTTTCAGCAGTATTCTAAAATTAGAAATTTATGCATTACACATTACATATGCACATATCACAACGAAGTATCATTAATCGATATTAATTAGCATACCACTTTATCCTTATGTGAAATAGTACATCCTCCGAGATCCCCTTCAACAGGAGGTGGTACTGCATCCAACTCGGAAATGTCGCACAGCTCGACAAACTTCTGTCCACCCAACTCTGACTCATCCCTTATCGTCATTACCGGAACTGAAGGTCCTGCTCCCCCTCCAGACGACGACTCACCAGTCCCCACTTCCTCAAACTTCCACATGTCTCGAACTTCAACGTGAATTACGTTATTTTCCGTGTACTCCATTCCTTCACCTACAGCTTCAGCTTGCCACTGGCTCATTTCCACAAAGTACTGATTTGACCTTTAGTACGTATCGGCAGAAGTCTAGTGAAAAAAGTCAAGTATGAATCAAGTATGTATTATAAATCAATACAAAATCAAGCTTACCAAAAGGTTCGGCTCCTAAAAGGTGGCACTAGCGATGCGGTACTAATGTTCGAAAATTTAGAAAACGAAGATTTCGGAGAAGAAATTTCGAGATGTGCTTCTGACGAGGTGAGAAGACGACTGAAAATCTGACTTTCTTCCAGTGACCGACTTTTCAGCCCTGCTGAAAATGAAAACTCGAAGCGTCTCACACAGAGTCAATGACCTCTGATCGTCATATTTCTTCTCTCTCAAAATGAAAACAAATCCTAATTTTAATAATTAGATTTCTGAATTTTAATAAAATGATGAACTTTATTTCGAACATTGGGTTATCGGTATTTTCATGATAAGCAATAAAATGCGTTTGAGTGGTGGTAAAAATATGCATATGTATGTATGGCAAATCTTATTTGTGATCGTTATGATTTTATGCCGATATTTATGTTTAGATTAATTATCATTAATATTGATTAGTCCATTCCGAACGCTTTCTTGACCTCGACTTTCAAGTCTAGAGTTTTGTACATTTCCAAAGGGAATTTTGACTGTTGGAACTCAGCATCCAGATCATTTTGTGGTTGTTGACTTATCAACGATGATTTGTCATTGTTTCAACTCTTGTACCATCGCATAACCTCTCGGAAGGATCTCTCCAGTTCGGGATCGATGGATGTTCTTCGTTCTCCATCAGTGCTTCGCTGATTTTGACTGTTGTCGACCCCGTTGCTCTTTGTCGTCATCTTCTTCTGAAGCGGCAGAAATTTTACAGTAATGTTCACACTCGTCGGGATAGAGAAAGGTGTCGTCGTCTTCGAGGTCACATTTGCAAGAGGATTTGACCTGTGTGATGACGTCCTCCATGTTCATGAACTCGTGGAGGAATTGTCCTAATGAAGATTTTTTGGTCTTCATCTTTCCAGCATATAAGTTACCCTCTCGCCACCAACTTCGTATTCCCATCGGCATAGTATTTGGCCCAATTTGTCATTTTTCCAGGTTGACACAAAGAAGATTTGCATGACCAGGGTGGTGGTGGTATGTTTATCAAAAGCAGTGGTGGCGTAAAAGTGATAAATCTCTGAAGGGTTTCGGCTTCATCTGACTATTTTCATGTCTTCGGGATCACTGCGGGACGAGGACACAATTTCGCCCATAAATAACTTCCTTGCCTTCTTACGTCGGCTTGGTCAAGAGATGCTCGTACCGCTTTCCTGTACTCTTCCTATTTCCATTCCCACCCGCATCGTCAGCTTTTGGAGACTGGTGATCATGTCTTCCTCCGTTGCGACAGAGGTCGAACATTCATTGTTTTCATAGTGCATACAATTCTCCAACTGATTAAAGTATGGTAACACTTTTACTTATGTACATAATGTCTTATTGATGAACATGTGTGATGGAAAATGGACTATAATATTATTATTACGGATCCAATTTTTTTATGTTATTATTCAATACGTGCAATATATGTAAACGAATGACTAACGTTTACATGAAATCTTAGCAAAAATAAAATATAGTTTTAAATACTTTGCCATTTAACTATATACTAAAACTGACGTTTATTTTGACAATAATTGCATTTAACTTCCATATACGTAGAAGTTGTCGATGCAAAGCAGACCAGTATTTTAACGGCGTGTCGATAGTTACATTTTTATACAATATACAAAAGTATCATCACATTTTACAAGGATATACATAACATAAATAATAATATTAGACCATTGCAGATATTATTTTACACATAATAAGTTACAAATATTGGGAATTTGAAGACCATAATAGCAGCAAAAGTAGACTATGTATATTCCCTAGAATTTGGCGCTGTCCTTTTGTTCTTTGGGTAGTGGACAATGAAACGAAGAGATTAAAAACGGTGACGGGTATTTAGCCTGGCTGTATTTCTAGCGTAGTTATATTTTGGTTGGTATTTCGAGGTGACGAGAAATTACGAGATGGAAGTTTGTAGCAGTAGTAGTTTGAAATTATTAGATAAGTGTTACAATTCGTTTATACAGATTGAACTGTAGGTGCTTTGAAACCGTTCGCTTCGTCGGCAGGTGATGATTGTGTAGCTCGTTGTAGGACAAATTTGGAAATCTGTTGAGACGAGAAGAGGAATGTGTTAGAAGAGCATTTAGAGTAATTGATAAGCAGTTAGATTTAAGATTTCTCACTCCTTGTTGAATAATTCCAGTTGCATCCGACATCCCAGGATTGTGTCCCAACTTGCATCGAATATATCCGTACAAATTGGCTCCATTCAGGGCCAAGGCGATGATAGTTAAAATCTTTACGAGCAAAAAGGGATCAAATTGAATTAAAGTTTGAACGAATAACATTATTAGTAAAAACATAAACAAAATGATTATCTTTCGTACCGTCCACTGGAAGCTGAACGTGAAAAAGGACGAGAGGAAGAAAAGAAACCACAACACAGGGGCAACAATGAGTCCGGTCCAAAACACTCGCTTTTCTGGGGCTCGTCCCCCCGCTTTGATTCCCTTCTTGCTTTCGAACACCCACTGACTTTTTCCCTCCTCGTCGACATGATTCCACCACCGCAAACCGACCAAAATTCGACCTTTAGAAATCAATAATTACAAATTATAGAAATTTGCTTTGCTTGTAAATTTCCTGTCGTAACAATAGATCACCAAATAAACCCACCCGTAATGTTTTTAACCGTCCAAAAATCCAACGAGAGTAGAACAAGCACCGTGACGAAGATAGTAATGTATCCGGAGAAAAACAAGCGTCCAAACATGTACATGAGAATCGCAGCACCACGGAAAAGGACGTCTACATAAAATATGACAAGTTAAATACTGATTAATAATAATAACCATTTCTCACTATTTTTCATTAATTATTTAATTTAACGATTACAGATTAATCATTAAACCACAAATGAAGACGAATTACTACTTACGAAACAGAGCAACAACGGGATGTCTATGGACAAACAAGGAATAAAATAAATTATTATTTATTATAACCTAATAGATAAATGCCAATTAAAAATATATTAATTCTTACCGAAGTCGATTTTTTGCCTCGGTTCCTTCCTCCCCAAACCCGAGACCTTCTTCGTCATCATCACTCATCAAAAGAGCCTGCCGAAAAAAGTCGATACAAATGTTTCAAATCTAAAGTAATTTAAGTTAATTATATTGACATTATTTTCCTACCTGATGTTGTTCCGCGTTGTTGGACATTTTCGTATCAATGAGTCAACCAACCACGAAACTTTTTTTTGTACTTTACGGTGGACACACCCCACCACGTCGATCCTTCAATCTGTTCTGGAGTGGGAGTGGTGAGAACAATTGATTACGAGGACACAGGACAGGACAGAAGGTGGGTGACGACGATCAGAAAAAGTTGACAGAGTGACGTCGAATCTCAGCAGTTGAACACACAAAATCCAATAGGACATTCCGCCACGTGGCATAATTTGGCATGGGCAAATTGAAACCGGTCAAATTTCGCAAATTTTATGACATGAAATTAAGTTGTGCACATACATAATTAACAATTAACAATATTATATACTTTTTATTCATGTGAGCATTTCACAACAAAGTTTATGTATAACTCAAAATGTGTAGGACACATTTTAGGGCATCGGTTCATAAAATATATAGTCTTCTCGACCAAAAATATATAATTGTTAAGTATTACTAAATTAGTCAAAGTAGGGTAATAATTAATCCTGGACATACTTAATCCATTCATTCATTAAGCAAGTATATAGAGAGATCATCAAACATTAATACAGGTAGTAGAGTAAATATAATTTATATGAATATTTGTTGATATTAGGGAATTGATTTTCAATATTTTTTCTATTCAAAGTTTTTAAAGTATCTGTGTATAATAGCAATTAGAAAAAGGTTGTCAATTATATATTAAGTGTAAAACAATAGGATAGATTTTTGAATAACAAATTTCTCTTACAAAGTAAACCTGACTGTATATTTTGCTATGCTATTCTACAAATATTGATGTCGAGTTATAATAGTAGCATTATTCTCTAGATTTAATTGATATATCGTGTGCTGTGACTTGTTCCATGGTTCGTATGACTTTTTTTAGGGAGGTTTGTTTTAGCATTATTATTATTTATTAACCTGCATGTAGGTTAAATGTCTAAGGCCCATTCGTTTTCTGTGACGAAAGCATCCACAACCTCCTTCATTGCGTAGTTTGGCATGAGCTGGTCGGAGGTTAGAGTGACTCGTGTAATCGGGTCGAAATGACCAACTCGCATCAAATGCTCTTCAAGATCTTTACGCTCGTATGTGATTCCGCTTGGTGTAATGACGGGATCCCGAAGTATTTCGAAAGAGATTTTGCCACACAAGTAATCGGGGACTTCACGCTTCTGCAATATTTTTAGAAGAATTGTAAAACTAATTGAACGAAATTATTTTTAAATATAAGTATAAACAGACATACCCTTCGTCTATCATCAACTTTTGCGAATAAGTTGTTCATCTCGTTCATGCAATTATCGGAGAACTTCTCTACAGAAGCAATTTTTGCGTTCAGCTCCGTTTCATCAGAGTCGCCTTTAGCAGCTTGCTGAGCCTTGAATTCGTCAATCTAGACAACAAATGTACAAAAAAGTCATTAATAAATAATAAGTCCTTAATAATCATTAACAAATAAACTGCTATGATCTCAATATTTGAAAACTTTGATGGTATTTACTTGACGCTCTCTGTCCTCTCTAATCAATCGAGACAAATATGTCTGCAACTCGATTTCCTCCGCAAGCCGTTTCTCTTCTTGGATAGAAAATCGACGCTTTCTCCAGTGTCGCAAAACTTGTGTCATGTCGTCTCCATAGTTCAGTCTGCACAAATAAATATTTCTTATAGTTATCTATTCATTTGTACTACTTTCCTTTCATTAACCTTTGTTCTTTTGCAAGGTCCACGGTACGCTGGAGGTGTTTCACTCCATCGTCCAACATATCCAGACCGCAGAGAGCTTGACCCAAGTAAAAGTGAGCTTTGACCATGTTTGGTTCCAATTCCAGAGCCGATCTACAATCTGCAGCTACATCTTGAAATCTGCTGAGCCTAGAGATCAACAACAATAATAATTAAATCAATGTCATTTTAAACTCGCACTGTGTAAAATGATTAATTAGTGTAAAAAGAATACCTCAATCCACTCAAGGCTCTGTTGGTGTAGTAAATTGGATTCGATGGATTCTTTTGTATTGCTTGAGAGTAGCACTATTATAATAAAATTAATGATGAAATCAAGGTACAAATTAGGAAAAACTAGATCAAAATATGTAATTATTACCCTGATTGCTTCTTCGTACTTTCTCTCGGAAAAGTACCGATTCCCTTTTTCCTTGAGCTCCGTCTGAGGCAAAATTTAGAAATTGAAATGTAACACATAACTAATTAAGTACTAATAATATAATATTGAGAGCTTATCAATCACAAAACTTACATCTGTAACGCTGACATGATGCCGTTTCGTGTTCTGGGAGCGAGACATATGAATATTACCTATGGTTAAGCTGACCCGTGGTCAAAACGTAAATACGAAAGGGACCTTTACTTAATCAAACAAATAAAAAGAATATAATTAATCATAAATCTTCTAAATATTAACATTCTTATTTCGTTAGGAAAGAAATATATAATTAGGAAACTGTTAATTTCCAGCCTTACCTAAGTACGTAGATGGGATTGGTACTTGACAAAGGTCAAACGTAAAGGTCACACTGGAAATTATCTGGACTTGATTATTTAAACCTCAATTAATTAAACCAAATAAAGGTGTAGTTTCACAGGAGGAGAGCGAAATCAGCAAATCAGCAGCAGCAGCAGCAACTTTCAACTTCAGACTTATTTCATCACTTGGAGAAATTTGAGATTTCTCGTATCGTTTATTTGAGACGGCCTCAAAAAATGAGTCTGTAAATTGTTTACACTAAATGTGTCATCTGACGCTAATTTTCTATAATTACGATGACATGAGTCATTCTTTGTGTTAGTTATTTAACCCTTTTTGCTTGTTGATCCACGCAATAATAGTAAGAAATATTTATGTATAGAATTGTTACCAGTTAACGAATCCGGTTGACGAGACGTAGGAATTTTTTGGGACTGGTCTCATTTTACATTTTATGATTATTCATGGAAGTATGCACCACAGAACTGTATGTACTTCATGTGTCTCATTTTACATTTTATGGTATAAGTAAAGTGGATAAGTATACTTCGTGTGTAGGATTTACTTTCACGTTTCATTGGTTAGCGTGATAAATATTTACATGATAAATCTGTGGAATATTATTTAACGCGTCTTCGTGAAAACAATAAGGTTTTAAGTTATCCGTGATGAATTAATGTGGTAGTTGTGAATAATGTATAATAATTGTTGTTAATTTGGATATCTCGCCGTATTTTGGTGTGCAAAGAATGACGAGAAACTAAGAATTCTTTATCTTTCTTATGAAATCTGATAATTTGCATGATGAATGGAATGACAAAAGTTAACTTAGTGAATGGTTAATTTTGATTTCTGAAATCTCGGTAAATGATTTGGTCGAATATCACATTTTTTGAACTATTCAGGATTATGTGGGACCAAGAAAATGCTAACATTATCAAAATCCGAGCAAATTGGATTTTTGGTTAACTTTTTAATGAAGTTTGACATATTTAACACAATCAAATGCTTGACCTACTGAGCATGACCTTAACATAATTAGGGCAATTAATTAGTCAATCTTGTCGTTAAACCTTCAACGATACGAGTTAAATCATGTACAAAAAATGAATGCATTCAAATATAACAAACATTTCGTAGAAACGCAAGCTTACAAGTTTACAAATTTATTAAATAAATTACACATTGAAAGTGAAACTAATACAACAAGCTAGTAAACTTCAACAAAGAAATATGAAACCAAATTTGCCGAGGAGAGGAACTTGGTCACATTGAAATATGTAAATGCTGCATAAGTTTAGTTTCCCTTCAGAGTGTCCATCAAGTCTCCACTTTCTTTGAGTTCCTTTACGATATCCAGCCCTCCGATGAGCTCGCCACGGATGTAGAGTTGCGGATATGTTCGCCAGTTAGAGTAGACTTTTAGACCTTCACGGATTTCATTGTCTGCCAAAATGTTGAACGTGGAGTATGGAACTCTACAAATTAATTAAGCAATTACATAATTGCTACGCTGATAGTTTGTTGGCTGACTTACTCGGTCTCATTCAACAGACCAACAATGGTACGGCTAAATCCACACTGAGGTTCGGATGGTGTTCCCTTCATGAACAACATTACGGGGGCTTGAGCAAGCAGGATCTTGATCCTTTCATCAAGATCAACGACTTGGGCAGCTTCGGTCACGGGCAACGATACATTATCGAGATTGCCTCCCTTTTAACATGCAAGTAATAATAATACGAATAAATCATTGCTGGTCAGAAAATATAATTTAAGTTTTAAGTAAATTAGCACTCACTGATAACAATTTGTCTTTCAAATCACGAAAACGACGCCCAGTAACTCGGAAAACTTCTTTATTGACATGAAACAGAATTGTCGTCGGGACCGCGGTGATTCCGTACAATTGCGAAACTTCTGGGAGTTGCTCAGCCAGCACGTACCCAAGGCCGACTTCCTGTAGAAAGTAAAGAACAATTCATTAACATTTTAACATCGTCTTTTTATCACAACTCAAAGTGTAAAAAATGCACAAGTACATACATCAGACAATTTCAAATCTGAAATGACTTCTCGGATAAGTTGTTGAGTTGATTCTCCTTCCTGAGACCAAATTTCGTCGAAAAGAAGGATTGCGCGTTTGGGAAACTTGCTGCAAAAAAAGTATGTACCCAGTTATTTAATTAATTTGATGAAGTAACCAATTCAAAGTTAAGTTAAGAGTTGAATAGCTTATCTACTGTAATTTATAAAGGCTTATCCCGTTCCCTCCCAGATATTATTATGATAAGACTTAAAATGTTGGACTTAATTATTACCCGAAGAACTTATCGATTTCCTCCTTGCTCTGGAAGTCCTTGACATCACCGACTTGAGAATCCATACTGACAAAAGTACCTAGTCCGTAAAACATATTAAATGTAAGTAATTAATTTCTACAATGAGTTTTTGTAGTTCGGAAACGACCAAATTAATCAAGTAAGAAATAAATCGTTTTATGAATATACTTCTATCTAGCTAGAAAAATTGTATCTTTTCCAATCAAAATCTTACCTTTCGTGGCGAACTTGACAAGTAGAATGCACACTCTTTAGTTTTAATTAATTTCAATTAAGTCTTTAATTATTTTTATCTGGAAAGATCTACGATAAGATCGCCGACTAGAGGTGGCAATGTGACTTTTTTTTGCTGACTCTGGCTCCCAGTCACCATTGCTTGATGATGAGGGGAAGGATGAGGCATTTTGAGGCACTTTGAGACTTTGGGTTTCTCGATAAAAAATATAATGAAATTTTGTCTCATCTTTTTAAAATTATTAAAAAGTTTCATATTTTATGAAAAAAAATTTGCCCACCCCACAGCAGATATTTTAGGTCAAAGGTCATGGTTCAGAAAATAGTTGTCGGGAAGGGTCAGGCATTTTGAGAATTTGTGATTGAAATTTTGTCGTCTCACCTTTGTTTTCAGCTTTACGATTATGATTTTTATGCAGTTTAATATTTTAATAAATACCAGGAGCAGGGGTATTTATGCAAGGTCAAAGGTCACGGTGAAGAATATACAAATATTATTAAACAAAATTCTTTTAAGGAGTAGCACGAATTTGAAATTTATTCAGGGTTTAAGATTTGCATAATTAATTATGATTCAATTTTTGTAGGAAAATGTTGAAACTTATTTAACTATTAATCATCATTAAACACTGGATCGTACACTTGTCCGTTGAATTGCTTGCTCGTGACTGGAAGGCAGTGGTACTTCTGACCCAACTTGTAAATGTTCTCGTACCCGTGCGCTTATCTTTTTCATTTCGCCCAAAAACTTTTGAATGAAACGGAGCTGTCCCGTGACATCGGATTCTTTCAACTGCGGACAATTTACCAATAATTAATTACTATAAATATCATTAATTCAAACATTAATTATTATTTATTAACAACAAAACCTTAATTTCCTGTCGCATCTCCTTTGCAAGATTGCAGTATAAACTATAAATGTTCATTTTTGGTCGTTCTGCGCCCAAAATGTGGGCGTGGTTCTGTTTCTTGACCTTGATCAGGTTCTCGTTCAGATTTCCAACATAGACTTGCAGTTTGTCCGTGTAGTCAACCATTTTCTTGGAATAGGTTCGATAAGCTTGTTCCTCGTGGTGGAAACGCTAGAATTGTTATCATAATTAAGTAATATTTAAATAATTAAGTGCAGATAAGTAACGTTGACCTCACATCTTTCTCTTTATCCTCCAAAACCAAAGAGCTTGCACACCGGGTAAGATTTGTGACCACTTCGGTGCTCTTATTGTCCCGGATGTTCCTCAAGTGTTCAAATCTTCCGAGTAAGTCGGGAATTTTTGAGTATGGTTCATCCCCCTTGACCAAAGTTTCCGACCTGTTATACGCCATCACGACGGATTGTAGGTAATCCTTGTACCGTTCGCAGAGGTCACGCCGCGTCTCAATGGTGACCTTGACTTTGGCGAGGTATTGGAGTTCTTTCCCTAATTTTCTAATCTCTCGGTCCAATTCTTTACTCTCAGAAAAGTATTGGGCACGTCGGTCCTGGTCGTGCCGGACTTTGGATTGAGATTCTTGATAGTACCGGTCAAACAGGTGAAGAACATGGTCCAAGTCTTGATGTCGTTCGTAGGCGAGGGCCCATCTTTGTGAAAATTCGGTTTGTTTTCGTCGTGAAATGTCGCGTTCGATTTGGAGGGCATCGTCCAATTGTTGGATTTCTTGATTGTGACGTTCTAACTCGGTGAAAGGGGTGAAATTAAATTGGCCTTTGAGGTCTGGTTTTGATAAGCGGATTTCTCTAGGATTAGACACAACATATATTAATAATAAGAGACTTTTATGATGAATCTAACAAGGGAGGTATCCAAGCGTATGTTATCCGATTTTAACCAAGTTCGTGTCAATTGATTATAAATTGAATTAGTATGAAATTTGCGAAAGATACGATCTCCCAATGGGCACGTTTGGAAGAGATATTTGCATCCGAAGAAGAGAAAACACGCAGTAATTTTGGAAAGTGTAAAACTTGTCGACTTTATGGCCTATTTTCTCCTCTTCTGATGCAAATATTTCTAGGAAACGTGACCATTGTGAAATCGTGTATTTCGCAAATATCATACTAATTAAATTTGTGATTGATTTGGCACTAATTTGCTCAAAATCGGATAGCATATAGACCTCCATTGTAAAGTACATCTTTATACAAGGATACACATGCCTTTCTAAGTTTGTGGCTTTTACAATTGTGTAAAATGATCCTGGAATGGTATCCCGTATCTTTTGCCAGGCTCGAAGTCTTTCCATTTTTCCCCTTGGAAAATTGTTTACTCTTTAATTAGTTTAATTATTAATGGTGTAAAGTAACTCGTTACGATGATATGCAAATTCTCTCCTTTCTCTCCTCTTGTTTCTGAGTATATTTAATCAATAATAAAATTTTACGATCCAAAAATCGATCAAACATTCTTCTTATCAAATCTGATTTCTCTTTGTCTCTTCAGCTATGATTCACTATTGGAATCCAAACTCATCTATTTAGCAGCTATACTTTTCACGTGTACTTCACTTATCATTGATAAGCTATCAAGACTTCTCTTAAAATACTTATTTTTCTCATGTATTTACTGTATTCTCACGTTGCCTCCTCCTCTAGCGTCTCAAATTGAGACATTGAGACTCTCAATGTCTCATTTCATCTACACCACTTCTAGCCAAATACGCACTCCACTCTGTTCCCCAAATTTGCGAGGCAAGTCGACCACCACGTGCGGATTTAGCTGACGTTAACTTTTGGCTAGTTTTTTTAGCAAAAATTAACTTACCTCCGACCTCAACCTTATCAAGATGGCGATGCCTAGTTTTGCTGGCCCTATTATGGTCGCACGGCCCGTGATATTCGTGGAGATGGAGAATTTACCCGAGGAGGACTTTCATATTGAATTTGAAATGGTGCAGAAGGTTCTGAAAGACGCGTAAGAAGAAGAAGTTCACACTTTATTTCAAATTTGCACTGTTGAATTGAACTAATTATTATTTTCTACTTGCAGGAACACCATGAAATTGCTGGGTTGCGATGCAGCAAAGCTGAAATTGCACATGTTGGACCTTGAAGCCGAGATGAGGCGACGATTACGCTTGGCTTATGCAAAGGCTGCGATAACCAAGACCACTCGACCCACCAAGGCTGAACGGATCGCTGTCAAGGAGAAGATAAGCACGTTGATTAAACAAAGCGTTGAACTGGCGAAGGAAAATTACTCTCCCAATTCGTACCAGTTTACAAGGATTTACGACGTTTCTTGGGCCCGATTTGGTGACCTCTTTCGTTCAAGAAAGAAGTGTTGGGAATTTAGTGACTGCCTGGGGTGGATGACCAAGTTGAAATATATTGAGTCTCTTTTCCGACCGAAACGTTGGATCAATCAAAGTTCACTTGAACAGTGTAAAGTTGAAGATGGTCGAGAGGTAAGTGACCAATTATGAGTTGAACGGCCTTTTCTGGCATTAAATGAAAGTAGTCTGATTGTATTTTTTGTGTTATGATTTTGCAGGTAGCTCGAAAGAAGGAGAAGGAGGAAGAATCTCAAGTAAAGAAGACAGCCGGCAAGAGATCGGGACATGTGAAGGTAAACGGTGTAAACTCTCGGTATGCCGTTCCACCAAAGAAAAAGTCTGGATAGCTTGGATATGGATGACTCTTTGAGCGATGAAGATGTGAAGGATGACGATAAGGAGGCTTTGAATGGTACCAAGCCAAGGAGATAATTTTAAAAAAAACTGTAAATTGCTTTTAATATATAGGATAAAGATGTGATACTAATTGTAAGTATTGCTAATATTTATTAAACGATGTTAGTATGGATAACTTTTTTACGACTTTGTTAGCAAATTTTGATCTCCTCAATAAACGAGAATTACCGTTGTTTCAAATCTGGATGTTTTACAATGATATCATGACATTACTTGTTTCATGTCATTTTTCCATATGCAAAAGAAAGTAAAAGGTTGCAGAATTCCATAGAGTACATATAGCATTGCATATTTAATTTATGCTGCACTGTATTCATAATTTTTGTCTTACAATTTACATGATTAAATACTTGAGAACAGTTGTCATAATATGCAAAATAGACTGTTAAATTTGATATAAATTATAGCTAAACAACTTTTCAGGTTTCAGCTTCCACAGGCGTAAGGTTGATCAGAGTGGAAGAATTTTCAACTAATTCCGATATCTGCACTCTTCCTCGCTGCTTGATAAATTTGGCAAACCTTTCCAACTCCTCTTGCGAAATATAGATGAACTTTCCACGGTCATCCATCACGCCTGCAAAATGAATGACCCAATAAGAGGTTAATTTGTTCAGAATGAAATTAGAATAATTGAGAAATCTGTACATATAAACCAAATAAAACCGAATAAGTATTTATAAATGAAATACCTGTTAGTCTTCCCTCTTCAACGAGCACCTTCAGTCGATCAATAGTGTCGGGAACTTTAAGGCCAAATTTCGACGCGAGTTCGTCAAACATGACAACTTTGTGTCGCTGAAGAGAACAAGAATATTAACTAAAGTTTAGCCTAACTTAAGTTACAGCGTTTTAAATATCGTTACACACCTTGATATGATCTAAAAACATTTCAATCAAGTTTCCTTCCTCCTCTTCTTCAATGACTTCACATCCCTCCTCCTCCACCGAAAATGCTTCCTTCATTTTCAAATATTCTTCCAGCTCTCTCTGCGCTTGTTCTTCCTTGGCTCGTTTTTCATCTTCTTCTCGCTTCTTCTCAGCAGCAATATCCTGCTCTTCTCGACTATAAGGAATGATAAGCGTATAATCACAAACGACTCTTATTTAGCTTGATAACACAACCACTCACAGTTTCCTATCCGTCTCATCCTTAATTTGTCGGGCCTTCTTGTCTTCACGCATTCGTTCTTCAGCCTAAATAATTAATAATTAATCATTTTACAAACTCATGATGATATCCAACTTTACAACTTTTCGCATAATGTTTTTAATTACCTCTCTCTGCAGCTTTTTCTCCGCCTTGGCCTCCAATTTAGCTCTTTTCTTCGCCCCCAACTTGGGATCATTTAATCTGTCGTCTAATTCATGATCCGAATCGTCCGAATCTCTCCTAGCTGCTGGGGCACGACCCCCACCATCCCCTCCATCCGAGTCAGACTCGTCAACTAAACAACAAATTTAATTAACCTTTAATTAAATCAGTTAAAAATAAATAAAGCTTAATCACTCACCGACTCGTCTCCCCCTCCCCCTTCTCCCCGCACCAGCACCAGCACCTTGTCGTCTATTCCCACCACCTGCGACAGGCTGTCGTTCCTCTTGACCTGCCCCCTGCCCCCCGGACGACCCTGACTTTTTAGTGAACCAAAATATAACTGCGGTGAGGAGCACCATTACGGCAGCCAGTCCAAAATAGAGGAGTGCGTCGCCAAACCCGTCGAAATCCACTTGCGGACCTTTCGCCATTTCCTGAGAATTATTTTATCTGCCAATATCCTCACGAATTGATGAAATTAGCAGAGTATAAACAAATAGTGAATATTATGTAGATGAAACAGCAGGTGAGTTATTTTTTTTGTGAGAGCAGCAGCAGATTTCTACTTGGCTGGCTGGCTGAATAAATCGACCGGGATGAGAAAACAATGGATTTGCAACGTTTGGCATCTTATGCAAAAATAAATGCAAAAAATATGCCTCGATAAGTACAAATCTGTATATTTATTATGTCCTGAATTGCACATGGAAAGTTTGATACTTATATTTAAACTTGATAAGCATAGGTACACCATTTTTTAGCCTGGTAGCGATTCCGTATTGCAATAATTCATACATAAACTACTTATATAATACTGGAAACTTTAAATTTCTATTTTGATAATAGGAAATATACATTTCTTTATCGGTGAGAAGTTTCTGAATAAAGTCGTTTAGATTTCCACCCTCGCTGTCGCACCTGGTCTGTGGGGAGGCCCACCTTGCTCCTTCTTCGGGTCGAAGTTTTTCGATAGACTGGTCAAGCCAATGTATCCGTCATTTGAATACGTGGTTTTCTGATAACAGTAAAAATACGCGAAAATATTAGAGACATAGGAGTGGATTGCACGATTTAAAAAAATTTTCATATACTTACCTTGGTGTTAAAAATCTCAATTAATTTGTCTAACTTCGCATTAATTAACTCCTGATTTTGCTCGATTTCATGCAGGCGCTCTGCAATGCAAAGGTTCATATTTACAAATCATTTTAAAAAATCAAGTTAATTTTTGACAAGTCTTGTACGTAGAATTTTTAAAAAGGAAAAATTAGTCTTGATCGTTATTTGTGATTTTGAATATATTCATAAATATCAGTATACTGATATTTAGGTACCTTCATTTCTTTTCCTCAAGCACGAGAGATCATCGGAGCAACTGCAAACAACAGTGCTGGCGAAGAAAAACATGACCGCAACAATGTAGAATATTTTACTCATGTTTTTACTATTGTATTAAATCAATTTGGATAAAAAACTTAACTCGAACGATGCGTAAGTAGCATAATGTGCGGTGCAAATGAGACTGAAGTTGTTACCTTTCAACAGACGTGCGTTCCTAAAATAAACAGCCCTGAGAATGTAACTGGACTTTCAAGGGACACAAGGGAGGTGCCTGTCTTTTCCAGGTCATGCAAAGGAGCATTCACTCATGGCTAGTTGCAATCCAACATTTGACCTACATATTAACGAGTTGGTTAGCAAAAGGTATATGCAAAAATTGTATTGAATTTTGCATTCATATTTTGAGGTTTTATCGATCATTCATATACGACGTCAGCCTATAATTAATTAAACTGTTATTCGTCGAAATAGAAATTAAAGTGGTATGAACCAGCCACTCCCACAAGATGGGAACTAAAGCGGAAAATACAAGTCTCAACACCAGTGGGTTTTAATATGCATGAAAATGATACGTTTATTATTGTCAGTATTCTATATTTATACAATCCACATCCAGCTTCTTGTATTAGTAATTTTGGTTTTTAATAGTTTTCCATAAACCTCATGGTAGGAAGGTTAATTAGTGGGTTTAAATCGATCGCCCATACGAAGTCTAGATGGTTGAATCGGTTGTGATCAATGCGATGGAACTTGACCAGATTTGGGAGTTGTTCCGCAAGTCGGTAAACATCCTGTGGAATTAAGAACCTTTTATAGATCACTTTCATCTCGATATTTACAAACAAAAACGTACCGCAGGAGCCGCCAGCCAATCATTTTGTCCCCAGTAGAGAGCCACGGGTGCAGTGATTTTAGAGATGTCATACTCTGGTGGGGTCTCTTGTCCGTATCGGAGAAGATTTTCGGCCCGTCCGTAATTGTACTTCCGGAAAAGACCGGAATTCACTCCTTGCGAGTAGTGGAGCAAATCTCCGGATGACGACCCCGCAGGGGAGTGGCCCATCGCGATGGAAAGCAATTGCTGAAATAATTCAGCATTTTTACAACAATGCATTATTTACATGCATGTTCTTCTTCTTACGGGATCAATTTGATCAAAATTGTATCCTGCCACGAGAAAGAGGACGTTTGAGCAGACAAATTGCACCGGGCTTTGTTCATGGCAGACCGTTTTTCCTAAAAAGTCCATGAATGCGTTGGATGGTAGAAATTCGTAGAGACCCAACATGTTTATGATCCACTGTGAAACATGTTCCAAATTAGTAAGTAAAAAAACACATTATCCTTCAGAACAACTTGCCTCAATCTGATTTTCGAAGGGGGCGAGAAGTCGGAGTGGTGTGATCATATGCTCCGTGTAGGACACGGGGGCGAACGCGTTCATCAACTTGATCTTGGCGTTGTACTCTGGCTTCTCTGACAGCAAGACCCACATGGTCGTGGTCCCCATAGAATGTCCGACGTAGTACAAGCTCTCCGCTCCGGTGACCGAGAGGGCATAGTCAATATTTGCGGGCACGTCGTTCAGCCCGATTTCGTTCCAGCTTCAAGAACCAAGAATATCGGTAACTATTCAGGTTTATGTACCCCATCGTATAAAAATTGACGATACGTACATAAGTATGTACACAAATGTGTCACTTATTGTCAGTTAGTCTCGTCGTACATAACAGCATCAATATGCAAATTGCGACTCAACCCCATCCCATCATCGTCACTTATCTCATCTCGTACTACGTTCAATCTCATTCCAATGATCAAGTGCATTTACATAACCACTAAATACGTTCTGTCACCTCCTCTATTTAGTAATATCGTTGTTACAAAAGTCTCAAAAGTTTTGTCATGTCATGCTCCATTCATTTTCGTCGCAAATTCCAGTACCTGTGATCCCAAAACTCTTTCTGGTTGACGTTCGGATCCAGGAAGAGATGTCTCCTGGAGTACGTGTTCCCACGAAAGTTTCCCATCCACACGTCGTAACACTGATCAGCCAGGACGTAGCCTAAATATGTCATGATTTTACAAAATTTCTTCCTACCCACGTAATAATTCTCAACCCTTACCGAAAGCCTTATCCGGTCCGGCAATGATCCAGTTGGAGGAATCTCCAAGAAGACCGTGTTGCAACCAGATGACTCTTTTCCCCTCGGCAGGACCGCACTGTTTCCCGTACGGGATGCGATGCGCTTCCAAAACGTAGCCGTCCGCCGTCGTGATGCTGTGCACCTCGACGGGGTAGCCATACTTGACAATGATTTCGGGCTGGAGAAGGACATAATTTGTATTTAATGATTAGATTACACGGAGTTTTAGTGGAGAAAAATAAAGAAAAGTTGTCTTTAGGTATTTGTCAACATTTCGAATGCTATCTGCATTTCATTATCAAGACGAATATGAGAAATTTGATTTTTGGAAGAATTAGTGGTAAATTTTTGGAAATTTATAAAAATTGAATTGTGGTCATCTTTGTGGTGTTAGTCACGTTTTGAAGTGATAAAAATGTGAAGGGAATAATTTTTATGGAAATCCTGACCCCCTACAATTTCTGACCACTTACAATGCTCAAGTTGGCATCTTCATGATCAATGTATGGAATATAGCCCGGTGGTTTGGGCAGGGCTTCTAATTCCTTCAAAATCGAGTAAAAATAGTCCCCATTCGCCGTCGTGTTTCTGACCGGTCCGGCGGAAACGTGAACGCTAGCCACCACAACCACTGCGAATAACTTGAAGAGCAACATGACAATATTATTATTGGATTGACTCGACTACCCGATTGTGATGACAATCTGGAAATGAAGTCTTGCTTCGATGGGGGGACCAACTACTTATTTATAAGGTGGGCATCACCACCAGTAGGAAATATATGGATGGATGGAGTCATTATCACGGCATCACGTACAACATGATTCGATCGCCATTTCGGATTGATTGGTTACAATTGGTTAGTTTATTTATTGATGATTTCACGTTAAGGTGAACTTATCAAGAGCACGTGATTGATATATGAATCAAGATATTTTATGTAGTGGGTGACCAGGGCTAGAAGCGTACGAAAATGTGTCTGTATGAAAATGATCCATATGGAGAGATGGACAATGCGATGCCACAGGGTTTGGTGTTTTTATTTCTTGCTAGGAAAATATGATGACCAATATTTTTCTAGGCTTCATATTTTAGATAAGTCTCATATTTTTTGAAATTATTGGCATTTAAATAAAATTCGAAAATGTGTCCGTATGAAAATGATCCATAGATAGGTGGACGATGTGATGCCGCAGCTTTGCGTATTTTTATTTCTTACTTTCTGAACATATAATGTCCAATATTTTTCTAGGAATCATATTTTGGATAAGTTTCTTATTTCTTTATTATTATAAAATTTTGAATTTATATTTGTAATATAATTTGTAAAGGGTGAGCGTGAAGGTGTGGCGTGCGACACCCATGGGCCAACCCGTATTGTTTTTTAGGTTACACAATGTTCTACACAACACCATCCCTTTCACCATCCTTGTACAGAACAAGTACTTATCTGTAGAACAAGTACTTATCTGGTTCGTGTAGGTAGGTATTTGTGGTTATCAATTTCACTGTCATTGTCATGGTTGGTCAAGTTATGTATGTATGTGTGTATGTATCTTATTGCAATAATAAATATGCAGGCAGAGGTGGGCGAAAGATGTTGACATAGGTAAATTTTCAGTATTTTATTTTGCAAAAATATGTAAGACACGTATTTTGAGCTATGTGTTTAGGACATACATTTCGAGCTGGGCGAGTATTCTGATTTTTCTTTGCATTTCGAAAAACTTTGCCAAATTGAAATATTTTGGATTCTAAGTGACTCTATTTTGCCGACCTTTGGTAATATACAATTTATGGACACATGCATACATACACTCGGATTGTACTGCATTTCTGCCCTTTTGTCCCTCTGGTATCGGACTTTTTATGATAAAAACGATGGATGCCATGTGCAGTATCCTACATAGTTATAAATAAGTGCAATATTTGTATACTGAACAACAGGGTGGACAGAGGTGGAACTTATCATATTATGAAATATATTTTATGCGAAGATCTTGTCCCGTACATACATAATTCTCACCGCGACACGATCCCACCCCATATTGCATGCAATATGTTCCAAAGTGCTGGGAAAATACCAATAGTTTCATTTGCATGTCCATCCATTCACCCTTTCTCCCTGCACTTTGCACTCCTGGACTTGCAAATAACTTGAACATTGGATTGGCTTTTCTGCAGTTTGATGGCAGCATTCCTTTTCTAAATGAGATATTAATGTCAATTAAGTAAGAGTGAAAACCTGTCAATGCGGCCCGAGCCAAGGTTTACATAACAGAAAATAAACAGTAGTATTTGTCTTCCTTTCATGAGACCCATTTAAAATCTTTTATTAACTTAATTAAAATATGTATGCACCTCTATCATTATAATTTATACTCAAAAACTGGCGTTGGTTACGTCTACAGTATTTTTAACGGTCATTGTTGCTTTATTGACGCTGCCCATCCGAATCTAATTTTTACGATGATAATCATTAATATTTACGACTTTTCAACCCTTTAAAATTTTTAGAAATGCAAAAGATCACATGTGAATTTCATATTATGAAACAATCATGAGTATATGAAGTTGTTTATGACTATGATGCTTGGATGGTCCAAGCATCAAAAAGGGTGTTAAAATTTTATTTCAAAATTTTTAATAAGGTTAAAAGCAGATGTAGAGAATGTTACGTAAAATAAAATTATGAATTATTTTTACTAATTAATTATTTTACAAAAATATTTTCTTCAACTCGCCATAAAGTGAGAGGAGAGCGCGAGTTTGGAGGTTGACTGTTTTATCGGTGAATCCTTCCTTTCTCTACCCACAAAAAAAAATCATCAAATTATCGGTTTCTTCCATTTTTGAAATTTGTAAAAATTACAGAATTTCAAAAACCAGTGGGTGTGATCTTTCCTGTCACCACGGTGCACTTAGTTTTGCCAAGCAGATTTAGAAAGTGAGACCGGAGATGAGAATGGCGGACGATAAAAACGTGGATATCACCCAAAAAGGTCTTTTCACGATTGGAAGTCATATTAAGTGCAGATTTCAAGGGGATGACGTGGACGGACATGTTGTCGCATTTCAGGCCACGGATAGGATGCTGATGATACGTAAGATAACAATACACAATTTTTTCTAGTGATTACGAAACTGGGTTTATTTAATTGGCTTGTTTTGTTCATTATATAGGTTCGCCATCATCCTGTGGTAAAAGTACAAGTGGCAACTTTATTTTAATTAATGCTGATTGCGTTGAGAAAATCAGTGTGGAGGAATTGAGCCCAACGGAGAGTTTAAAACCTGTTGATTTTCATAAGGTTCTAGTCTAGTTTTTTTATGTAAGAATTGTGGTAACAGATTGAATAATTTGTTTCTGTTTTTCCTCTCTAGCTGGAGAAACGTCGCCAAAAAGTATCGCAGTCCAAACGAGCGAGGATACGAGCCCTGTCTGCTGGAGTTCCTTCGGAAGCAAGGAAGTTATTTCTGTCCATTATTAAAACGTAAAATATATATTGTTTCATAAAACTTCTTAAAAAAACACAATCTGATAGATTTAACTAAGCTTCTCTTAATTAAAATCGACAGGATAGACGAGGTCGCGTGGGACGGAGAGAAGATTCTCGTACTGAATGAAGTCCGTATTTCCCCACCGTATAAAGTAGACAATGTCCAAGGGGACAAGGAGGCGTCGGTCACCCATGTAAGAAAAATGGTGGATAAATATTGGAAAGAACAACAGACCACCAACTCAAATTCGTAATTTCAACGAAACCAATTATTTTGTGCTCTCAGTTTATTGTGTATCAGTTCCAAGATTTTAGTCGTTGGATATATATTTCCAGTATATTTGGTTGCCTATCCCCGCCCGCCTTCTTTGTTAGGTTTAATCGTACTTTTCAAAAATAAATACAAGTTTATCGAATTGAAAATAAGTTTTAATTCTCGTTCCCCCAAAAATATTCATACTTTCTCCGAATCCGATATTGATATCCGAGTAAGTTTTATACGATAAAACCTGGTTTAAAAGTGCACACACCTTGTGATTAGTTAAGAAAGCGTAGTTTAATTATTTTTCATTTAAAAATTAGAATGTATGCATTATCTAGAAAAATAAAGAATTTGACGCTAAAATTGACATATTCATGATTTATAATATAGCAGATTGAGTGGGGTCGATCTTATTTTCCGCAGTAGAAAAATAAACACAAAACAAATATTGCCAAGTAATTCAACAACGGTTTAAATTCCGCAGCCACTCTGACAACCGAAATATCAACCCGACGTCAAAAAATGTTTCTCGCTACAAAGTGAAAACAAAATTAGCATAATTTTCCACCCTAAGTTAATTATCTATTTACTACCACGTAAGGTCCAATTTCCTTAACATGAAGTTTCGTCCTATTCTCTAAAAAGTCTTTATGATTGGTCACATTAAAAAAGTAGACTTTTAGCATCGGCTGCATGGGAGGTTTACTCCACAGGTTAAAAGTCTGTGACCCTTGTCGTAATGGGAACACTTGTCAATTTTCACAATTTTGTAATTCAAAATGTGTGTAATTCAAAACACCATTGAAAATGGTTTCGTTTGGCTCAAGTTTTTTGATGAGAGAGATGTTTTATGTATGTATAAATAGTACATACGATATTATACAGAACAGACTTGAAAGTATATTATTCTCCATTAATAAATATGTGTATACATACATAAAACTGTACCTTGTTATGTATAATAGTGGAGAAATGAATGACTTGTGAATGAAGTGGTCACTTTTTCTTTGATTAATTATATATTTCATATGTAGTTATCTTGTCTCACATTATTCATGAGAGAGGGTTGTTGGTTTGTAAAATTTTGACTGGAAATGAAATTACCCTGATAGTTTTAAGAATAGAGGAACATTTCCTCTTTGTGAGGTTTGAAATGTAAATATGTGACGAAAGCTGGCTTAGAAAATGTGGTGGCGAATTTTTTGCAGACAGATTCGCACGAAAGTTATGAACATGCAGAAAGCTCAATGTTGCAAATTAAAAAAGTATGTGCAAAATTGAAGCGGAATAACTGCGTGCAAATCTTTCCAAATTTTGTAAGTATTATCTTTAGACTTTATTTATTTTTCTTCATTATCAGAACCAAGAATTGTGCAGTGGTGTGTGTTACCGGTTGAACTTGGCGCTTGGTTACACACGTGTCTCACATTGTCCAAGCTAATGTCACCTAGCGGCAGGTGGGGCACTATGTTACATTTTTCGTTTCTAGAGGGCGTTTTTCGCTAAAGTGTCAAAACGTTGACGAACACGAGAACAACGAAACACACCCTTTAGATCTGCCGAGACTTGATCAAATGAACGGGCACACCCCCTAAACTTGACATTTGACCTGTGACCTGGGCACACCCACCAGACTTGACATTTGACCTGTGACCTTGGCACACCCACTAGATTTGACATTTGACCTGTGACCTTGGCACACCCACTAGATTTGACATTTGACCTGTGACCTTGGCACACACCCCTGGACTTGACATTTGACCTGCGACCTGCGTACAACCCATAAAGTTGACACTTTACAGAGTTGACACTTGACCTGTGGCTGTGGCTTGGGCACACCCATCATACTTGACCTGGGACCTCGGCACACCCGCTACACTTGACCTGTGACCTGGGCACACCCACTACACTTGACCTGTGACCTCGGCACACCCGCTACACTTGACCTGTGACCTGGGCACACCCACTACACTTGACCTGTGACCTGGGCACACCCACTAGATTTGACATTTCACCTGTGACCTGGGCACACCCACTAGATTTGACATTTCACCTGTGACCTGGGCACACCCACTAGATTTGACATTTCACCTGTGACCTGGGCACACCCACTAGATTTGACATTTCACCTGTGACCTGGGCACACCCACTAGATTTGACATTTCACCTGTGACCTGGGCACATCCACTATACTTGACCTGTGACCTCTGTGCCCCACGGCAAAGTTGACACTTGACCTGTGCCTTACTAATTTTAATTACCTACCAGCGCCACCTATCGGATGTTGGCTGTTTTTCAGCGCTAGAGGGCGGGCTTTTGGTTTAAGTGCCTAAACGTACTTAAAACGTTAGAACAATGCCATACTTCAGAGTTGTGACCTAACGTTTTTCGTGGCAACCCCCTTTAGAGTCGTGACCTAACGTTTTTCGAAGTCACCCCCTTTAGAGTCGTGACCTAACATTTTTCGTGGACACCCCCTTTAGAATCGCAACTGAACGTTTTTCATGGTCACCCCCTTTAGAGTTGTGACCTAACGTTTTTCGTGGTCACCCCTTTTAGAGTCGTGACCTAACGTTTTTCGTGGTCACCCCCTTTAGAGTCGTGACCTAACGTTTTTCGAGGTCATCCCCCTTTAGAGTCGTGACTGAACGTTTTTCGTGGCCACCCCCTTTAGAGTCGTGACCTAATGTTTTTCGTGGTCAACCCATAGAGTCGTGACCGGACGTTTTTCGTGGTTACCCCCTTTAGAGTCGTAACTAAACGAATTTCGTGGTCACACCGATAGAGTCGTGACTTAACGTTTTTCGTGGCCACCCCCTTTAGAGTCGTGACTGAACGTTTTTCGTGGCCACCCCCTTTAGAGTCGTGACTGAACGTTTTTCGTGGCCACCCCCTTTAGAGTCGTGACTGAACGTTTTTCGTGGCCACGCCCTTTAGAGTCGTGAAGAACGTTTTTCGTGGCCACCCCCTTTAGAGTCGTGACTGAACGTTTTTCGTGGCCACCCCCTTTAGAGTCGTGACTGAACGTTTTTCGTGGCCACCCCCATTTAGAGTCGTGACTGAACGTTTTTCGTGGGCACCCCCTTTAGAGTCGTGACTGAACGTTTTTCGTGGGCACCCCCTTTAGAGTCGTGACTGAACGTTTTTCGTGGGCACCCCCTTTAGAGTCGTGACTAAACGTTTTTGGTGGTCACACTCAATTACAGTCGTGACAACGTTTTTCGTGGACACACCCAATTAGAGTCGTGACAACGTTTTTCGTGGTCACGCCCATAGGGTCGTGAGTGAACGTTTTTCGTAATAAAATAATAAAATCGTTTTGCTTAGAGCCCGCACTGCGGGCTTAAGAGACTAGTTTTGATCTAATGAAGAAAGGAACCTGACAACTTTTGCATGGACTTCAAACTATCCGGCGAAACCAAACTACACTAAATAACTCTAACTTTGCACTCATTTTCCCCCACCCAGTGATCAATTTGAGCCGAACCGTTTTTATCGTAGTGTTCAGAAATTTGCAGGGAAAAAGTTAATGCATCAATTTTCCACACAGGTTCGAAATTGACGTCGTAATTAATTTTTCACAAATTTTTACACCTTCTCATTTGCAAGTCTTGCAAAATTCGGACGGAGTGGAGAAAGACGGGGAGAAAGAGCTGGTCAAGATTTAGCGACTTGTGATTGATTGGTAATGGTCAGTTCGCTTTCGGGTGAAAATCACTCAAAATCTACAGTTTCCGAACCTATGGAAAAAATTGATGCACTAACTGTTCCACTGCAGCTTGCTGAACACTATGATATCAAACGTTCGGCTCAAATTGATAACCTGGTGGGTAAGAATGACTGAAAAGATTGGTCATGTTTGGGTTCGCTTGTCTCGCATAGTAGGTGAAATTCAATTCCAGTGGAGAAGCAGACATTTCCTAAAAACAGTAAAAAAAATATAAAAAATAAAAAAAAAACATACCGCAAAATAATAAAAAATCTATAAAAAAAATAAAAAAAAGCGCCTAACGGTGCAATAAATAAAATCAAAAGATAAGAATTCCTTCGTACACAAACAAAACTGATTTTTGCTGACAAGTTCATTCATACATATTTTTGAAAACTTGCAACATTTTCGCAAACCACCGACCCGATTATTGACAAATTTTTATTCAATTTCTACTAAGAGCGATGCGATGATTTATCATACATCATTTATGACAACTAAATTCAGTGAAACAGATCGCTGGTGACAAGTTCATGTGCGTTGATAACAATAACAATATTCCGTCTCAAGTAGTGAAAATGTCTCAAAACCAAAAAGTTTCCGAACCTGTATGAAAAATTGAACAGTTGTTCATTGTGTATTCATTTCATCTCATCGCATCACACTATTGACGCAGAAACATAAATTATGTGTGCTTATCCATCCTTAAAGAAAAATATGTATATATATTTTACTACACAGAAAGTTCCTCATGTTTCGTTATCGCCGACACAAAAATAAGATTCGAATTATTCAATAACCATGAATTGACGCCGACGTTTTCATTAACTTTGGCAGCAAAGCAATCCACCATGAAAAAAATGTTGCCACAAGCCCTATTTATATCACGTCACAACGCTTGTCCGTCCCCCACGAAGGAGAAGAAGATGCAGTATGTAAATTCATGCCATTTGTATAACTACGTCTTATTAAACATCCTCATCATCTCATTTCAAAAGTGTGAATTAATGTACCACGAGATTTTATCCGCTCCTGCTGCTTTGTGATGATGATGGCTGAATTTAAAAAGTTTTGAAATCTACAGGATTTTCTAATTTAATTTAATTTAATCGTGCAGTGATGTGTCACATTAAGCGTCGTTGCTGAATTTTCCATCTTTTAGTGAAAAGTAGAAGGAATCGATTCTCTCCACTTTGATGGCATCGGTCTCGCTCACGAAAAAATCTTCACATTTGCACTCATACATATCGTATGTATGCGATCTCTGCTAAATAAGTGGAGAAATCGTGGCTTATCAAGTATATAAGTATTGCTGTCATTGTGTTATGCACACACAATTATGTACATGTTTTTCTGAATGAACTCCTACTAAACGTAGACACTTGGCTATGTCAAATTCGCCAATTCTGAAGAAGATGAAGCATTTTTGACTACATGGATTATTGCACAAACAGCAGCATCACGACCATTGGGTCAGGTTCAGGAGTTTTGCAATAAGTAACAACGTAATTTAAAACCCTCCAACCGTGCTTCCCCCGCAATGAATGACCGCATGAAGGCATGTCAAAGACAAGAAAGCTTGAAATCGTCTGGACACAATGAGTCGTATTTTTACACAACATATTTCTTGCTTCGCTACCTTTATGTAGGCGAAACGGTAGAACATTTGTTACTACAAATATCTTGAAAATTGAAGCAAAAGACGTAAACATGTCAATCTCCATGTTTCAAGCTCAAGTGACATTCGATTTCGTGTTGAAAATGGAATTACCTCGTGTCCACGCCTGACTAATCGTTCATATGAACCGAATTGTTGTTTTTTGGACTTGAAATAAATGTTATTTCCTGTGTCTCAACAATTACGTGAATGAGTTTGACATTGCGTAAATTTAACCACACACGTACGTACGCAGAATGGATCAGTGACTTAATTCCGATACAACAAAAGCAGTATGTGTGTACCTATTTACCTACTGTGATAAATTCCTTCCTGTCAAGGATGTGGTGGTGACGATGTGTCCATAGTTTATTGGGATTTAACACCTTAATACCGTTCTCCAATTACATAGAATTCTTTATGCATGTATATATGTATGTGTGGCTGGCTAAATATATGCATCCACTGGTACCTGTGTGGTCACAATGTGATCAGTCCTCCTGTGTGTCAACACAGGACTTTTTTTCCTTACTTTGTATGCATTTGACCTTGTAACATTTTACAATTTGTTGACGATTACCAATTCCTCATGGTCGTGAGGGTGAAATTCTCGTGATCAATATCGTACGTAAATTCATTGCCTCTTCGTCAACATGGCGCTTTTTAGCATTAGATAACTGGCCAAAAAGTTTGATAAGGCGTCTTTAGTTGGATACATATATGGGTTCAAACTCAAGTCGGGATGTGTCATGAGTTTGAAGATGGATCTCTCCATTGTGTTGGTTAATTCCTCTCAGAATTCGAAACTTAGAACGCTTTTTCATATAAATCGACCCTCCTCAACAATTAAAACGCGCATCATTCAATCCCCCAAAGCTCTGGCCTCTTGTTTTTAGCACAGTATTTTATGCAATTTTTACAAAAACCTTCCCCAAAATAGGTACCTACCTACCTATGCTTCTCTGCATACATACGTTCCAGCTCATAAGTTAGCAGCACTACGAAATGAGAGAGTTTTATCAGCCATGCAATTCATTCCCTTGAATGATGAGAGTTATACGTATCATATCCCGTCATCCACCTGACGCTATGCAAGTAGTACGTCTGCTTGCCTAGGGACCTACGAGGTAGCCTAGTGTAACGTCACTGATTCATTGTCTCCCATTGTTGCAGGGACTCATCGCAGCAGTGATGTCGCATTTTTGATCGCTCATTTACAGATGTAATAGTTCCTTCGACGTCGTCCTACGATTCACATCAAAAACTTTAAACTTTATTATTTGCAACGGTTGTGTCTTTTTTTGCAAAATTTTTGCATCCTCATTCAGAATTTGGCGAGTTTTCTTTCCGTGTGTACTAATTATATTTTGTGAACTAATTATAATTTGTGAATATTGTGTGCACCAGATTTTTCATGTTTTGTGCATCTCCTCATGATTAATCCGAAACCGGATCGGCATTCATTGTGTGAATGACAATGGCAAGTTGTGGAAGAATTCTTCTTAAGTGCCTCATACTTCATGTCGTGATCAGTTCGTCGCAATCGCAGAGCAGGTAGTTTCATTAATAAGTGTTTTTCGTGTCCAGAGTTGGTGTGAATTTTGTGTCTGAAAAATAGGCGAGATCGTGACCGTGACCGAGACCGTGACCGAGACCGAGATTACAAATATCGGAACGATTTCCGTCCCTATGATGATGTGCCAAGCAATCGCAAACCAAAACCACCCCGACAACAGGTCGACCCTTGTCTGCCCAGTTATCACAGGATCATTGCCAACGAGCCGAGACGCAGTTACAATTACCGATTCGGATCCGGCGGGACGAGGGAGCATGCCCTCTGCGATAGAGACTTGGTCCCCGGCTGGTACCGTTTTCAGTCCTTGGCCGGCGACAATATGCCCACGTCTTGTCCCGGTGTCAATTACTGTGGGACGCGTGCCCCCGTTTGGATGAAAGGTAGGGGGTCAGATTCAGCTGTTTTGGCACATAATTTTTGCACATATTTAAATATTATGCAAATGAGATCGATACATGCAAGTAAATATTATGCATGATTTCGCTTTCATAATTGCCCCTGTTTCTTTCCAAAGGGTTTCCTCCATTTTGTGGTAAATCCCACGTTTTTCCCCCAATAATTTGTACTACTTGACTTCCTCAGGCTTAACACCAGCCCAGTTTATTTATTAACGGACCTTTTTAAATAATAAAAAATCCTTCCTTGTTCATTCAAGCGTCGGATAGAGATTAAAGTACAACTAGTCACATAAGTGGTTGGAATTACCCACAGCAGGTAAACGAACGAACGAGGACATCGCGGCCAAACACATGCATAAACGTGTAAAATAGTAGTTATTTATTCTTATCAAAATACATAAATCGTCCAACTCTCAATATTCAAAAATGCAAAAATGCATTCTAATTCAGGCTGCGAATTCGTCACTTTCACATAAACCGCAGTCCCACAATGACTTTTATGAATTACTCAGTCAGTCAGTCAGTCACTTCTTCTTTTGTATTTAAATACGCGAGAGAGAGAGAAAAAAACAATTATAACTGAGCCATGAATTACACACACTTTTAGCCGGAAAACTACATAAATATACAACATTTACATTTTTATAAGTAATTCGCCACTCATGCAGATTAGGAGAAGAAGAAGAACGCCACCAGATGTAGGTAAAGCTTTAATTATCGACAGTTGACTTGAAGCACCCAAGAATCGGCGGCATACCTGCATGTTAAATCAGCTATGTACCATTTTTTCCATTTCTAAAAATCATTACCGTTTAAATCGCGCCTATTTAAATCTTCCCATGCACGCCACGCCACGCCATGAGTGAGAAGAATAAATATGTAAATATGGGATCACGACCAGCTTCCTATGAAACGCTGCGTTAGAACAAAGCGAAAAAAATGGCATCATTTTAGCAGTCTAGCTTTTGTATTACACAATTAAATAATGGGGATGTTTGTGTCATGCAGGATTAGCGAAGTAAGCGTGCCTTGTTTTTGAGCCGTGTAGCTAGTTCGTTCTCCCCCTGACACGCTGATACTATTTCAGCATGTAAATAGGTAGCTGTGTGCTGCTGTGTATGTATAATTTGCACTGTTGAAATTTACGCCTGAATGGTTCTGTCAAGGTACGATTCCAAGCGTTGACGAAGGGATTGTAAAAGCCACAGCGTGCGTCTCTGTCCAAGGGAAATGCTGCACCACGCAGATTCCCATCCTCGTCAAGAACTGTTCGGATTACACAGTTTACCACTTACAACCCACGCCTGCCTGCCCGTCAGCGTACTGTGCGGGGTACGAGGTGAGGTCAATATACGTGCAGATACAGATACTATGTTTTGTCAGGGGTGGACAAAACACAGAATTTTGGTGATGTTACACCCACAAAAAGAAATCTGAGATGGTTTTGTGAAGAAATTAAGTATTTATCGATGTCAAAGTACATTTTTTCACGATTATTTAAAAAAAATAAGTATTTTGACAGTGATGAAAATTTAATTTCTTCAGAAAACCTGTATTTTCTGATGACTTATATTCTCCGCGTAGATTTTTTTTAGTGCGTGTAATCTTGAAATCCAGAACGGAGCTCAAAATACTGTATTTTGACAAAGTATTTTTCGCCCACCCCTGCGTTTTGCAGGCATTTTGATGCAACAATCTTCATTTTTATTAGGTCACTTGTCCTGCCGGATTATCTTCTGATACAGGATATACGCCTTGTCATTGTAAGACTCGCTTGTAATTTTGGTGACGTGATGTTGACGTAGATATTTTTATGTGTCATGTTCAGTTCCCGTGGACCTGCTCGAGACCAAAGTGTCGTACGGATTGTCGAAAGACAAAACGCAGATCCAGTTCTTCTGCGATGTCACGTTGGGCGGCCAGGTCGTCCCGGACACGGTGGGGCTGCAGGTAGAGTGGTTAGCGGATGATGAGGTCGTCCAATCGGAAACGTTTGGTTTGTTACAACAACATAAAGGAGTGCTCAAAGAGGAAAAGTGGACGATTGGACAAACGGTATGGAGGGATTTCGGGAATGTTTTTGCATCAATAAAATAAATAAAAATTACGTTGTAATTGCAGTTACAATGTCGGGCGAGAGCGAAGCACATGACGATAAATACCTTCACGTCACCCTTGCTGAGCAAAGCGATCAACACGGGGGTTTTCATTCTAAGCTCTCCAACCTTATCCGCGACGGAAGGTAAGTTAAACTAACAATGGAGGTCAAACCGGAGATCGAATGGTCAATTGGTCAAATAGTCAATAGCAAAGGTCTTCCAGCGTATGTTCTCCAATTTTGATCAAATTAGTGCCAATCAATCACAAACTTAATTTGCATGAAATTTACAATAGATGCGACCTTACAATGGGCACGTTTGGCCGAGATATTTGCATCCAAAGAGGAGAAAACGCACCGTAAATTCCTACCCTTTCCAAATTTACTGCGCGATGTCTCCTCTTCGAATGCAAATATCTCGGCCAAACGTGCCCATTGGGAAATCTTGTCTTTCGCAAATTTCATACTAATTATATTTGCGATCAATTGACACTATTTTTCTCAAAATTGGACAGCATACCCTGAGAGACCTCCACTGTAAGTAATATTTTGCATAATTAAATCCACCACAATTTTTCCGCAACTGTACGCAGGCTCCGACCCGGCCTACATCGAGTTTCAAACCACAATCCCGGTCGTGTGTCCGAAGAAGGAGAAGCCCAAGAAGAAAAAGGGAGAGAGAAACGCCAAGAAGGAGAAGGAAGAAGAGGTCGAGGAGGAGGAAGAAGAATGCTGCGTCACTTTCGAAATCAGCACCAGCACGACGTCCTCCTCCCTCCCGAGATGCGCGTCAGGAAACTCGTTCGATCTGGTGAGCAATCAACTCAATGCATGTCCACCAAAAGTGACCAAACTAATGAACTTGGAATATCTTTAAATAATAGGCCGTGACCAGCACGTGTACGTACAAAGTGTGTGGCGATGAGTGGAATTCGACGCATAAAGTTCCCATCTGGGCGGTGAATGATGGTTTGTTCGGTGGTGAAAGTGAGGACCAGGATGCCCGACCTTCTGTAGTTGTGGAAATACGAACGACTGAAACGGGCAGTCCGCCGAGATGGCATGACCTCATCCTTCCGTCACAGGAGGTGCGTAATTTTGCAAAATTTTCATTTGATTCTAAGCGTTGACAAATTTTTGACAAATTTTGACCAATTTTTTGGCGATTTTTTACAGGTCCAAATAATCCAAGCCGATGTCGTGGAAAGATGCATCTCCAGCACGCACATTTACACGTTTGACGGGATCGGGTATGAAAACACGTTCGAGGGAACGTTCATCCTCTACAAACATTCCACGTTGCCGTACGAGGTGCAAATCCATAGGAAGAAATGTACTCATGCAAAACTCTGCAATTGTGGGGTTGCTGTCCGATTTGGGGATGTCATGTTAGCCGCAGACATTTGTACGACGGGAAAACTCCGATTTTGGAGCTATACTTTGGATGGAAGTTATATCGAACCGGCGAAAATTGCGCATTTGCCGCAAATCATTCGTTTAGATGAAGGCCGCAGTTTTCAGGTAATTTAATTTATTGAATTAATGAAGCTCGAATGTTTGTTCTGTAAACTCGGTAAAACAATATTCGCAAAAATTGCAAAGGTTTACGCAAGGTTAAAAAGTTACGAAAGAAAATCAGGGGATTACAAACTTACACAGATCAAAAGGACTTATTTTTACTTTGTAAAAGTTTATAGAAAATTTCTTTTTACAAAATTTCTAATATTTTTTTATTACCAGTTTACAACCAACATTTTAAAATTTTTTTCGCAAATATTCGCAAATATTTTTTTTTTTGCAAAATTTCCAAAATTTAATCACCAGTTTACAAATAACATTTTAAAACTATAAGATTTTATTGTAAGTAAATTAATCTGTATCGAATCTATGCATCATTTTCCAGGTACAATTTCCCACCGGTACAAGTTTACTTCTGGGTCCAAATCTACGCATGATAACGATCCAAGCCTCCCTCAGCGACCTGGAACACACTTCCGGTCTCTGCGGCTCTTTCGATAGAGATCCGTCCAACGAGTTTTCCACCTTCAAAGGTCAAGTCGTCTGCACCGCGGTGTCCAACCGGACCAATTCCTGTCCCGATTTTGCCAAGTCGTGGCGCCTCCTCACCGAACAGAGTCTCTTCGTTGGCTCCTTTACGAACGATGGACACACCGAGGAGGATGAAACCCACCTGAGCGAAGGTCAAACTCGAGGTCATTGCAGTTGCTCGGGCTCCAAAAAGTCTGCCGATGTCGAACTCCGCCCTAAATCCAAGCCTGGCGGGTATTCCTCGCCGTACGAGGAGTTCCAAACTCCAGAATCTGAGCAGCAAACGGACGAACAAGAAGCCGAAGCTAACAAATGTGTCTCGAGCCATTGCGTGGATCCGCGCGGCGTGGAAATTACGAACCAACTTATCGACCTCTTATCCGAGGAGGACTTTCTCTACGAGGGCGACGAGTTTGGCACGCAGGCTTCCACGTCACAAATACAACCGGTATTTTACGGCCAGTCAAAACTCAGGCTGACGATGGACAACAATTCGCACATAACGGACGATTCGGCGGAAGTCTTCTGTCGCGGAGTGATTGAAGGGATGCCCTTTACAAAATTGTGTAGAGACTTGGCCAACATTGATATTGAGTATCACATCAAGAAATGTCAGGTTGAAGTGAAAGTGAGTAAAAATTAAATAAAATGAAATTATTAATATTTCTGAAATCAAAATTGTCATAATTTCAGTACACAAAATCTACCATTTGGAGCTTTGATTCCCTGGAAGAATTGAGGATTGATTGCCGATTTCAAATTTATCACAACGTGACGACTTGGGAGCCGCAGTTGGGGCGGCAGCATGGCACGCCCCCGCTGGGAATTTTGTCCAGTCTTTGTTTAAATGATTGCAGTCATGCGGGTTCTTGTGAACATGGTATTTGCATATTTAAAATCTTCTTATCATCAGATACTTGTCACGATAACCACAATGTTTTTATTAAATACGTTACAGGCGTATGTCGCTGTAAGAAAGGATTTTCCGGCGCGGATTGTTCCGTCAATTCTAACTCGGCCCCGAAAATTACAAGTTTAGGGTTCAAACACACGTGTGATATTCGGAACAAGGCGTGCAGCGAAGTTCTCGTGTGGGGAGAACGCTTCGCAAATACGGATAGCATCAAGTGTCACTTTGAAGTGTATACGGTAATTCATATTTGCTAAAAAATGTGTTCAACTTAAAATTATACTTGCAATGGAGGTCTTGCAGCGTATGCTCACAGATTTGAGCAAACTAGTGTCAATGGTGACGAATTTAATTAGCATTAAATTTGCGAAAGAAACTATGTCCAAATGCGCAGGCTTAGCGAAGATATTTGCATCCGAAGAGGAGAAAACGAGCAGTAAATTTGGAAAGTGTAACTATTTAAATTTTCGGCCTATTTTCTCCTCTTCGGATTCAAGTATCTCTGCCAAACGTGCCCAATCGTGTCTTTTGCAAATTTCATACTAATTAAATTTGCGATAGACTGATAGTTATTTAGTCAAAATCTGAGAATATGCGCTGGAAAACCTCCATTATTAGGTTGCACTTCAACTTTGTATTCATTATTTCAGACAACGACGGTAAAATCCGTTCCCAGCTTGTCCAGCACACTAACCACGAATGCAAAACTGCTCACTTTCCAATCCGTTATTTGCGACATTCCCGACTTACCGATTCACGACGCAAAAATAGCTTCGTTCTACATCCCTGGCGAGGGCCTCGAAAAAACAAGGTATAGTAAAAACACAACCTACCTATTCTCTTAATTCTTTCCAATTCTCATCCAAATTTCACTCTAGAGCTCTCCTCCGAATTCGGGTCAGTTACGGGGGTCAAAACACGGCCAGCGACCCTCTCGACTACACCATTTACGACTCCCTTTGCTGGAATTGTGAACAACCTTTGACCTGCGAAGCTCGACCCACACAAAGCTGCAACGTTCTCACGGAACCCTTTGGCTCCAGTTCGGACCCTTTCTCCACCATCCCGTCCTTCAGCAACCCCTCCGTCGGCTTCGCCCAGAGCAACAGTCCCCTCCAGTACTCCCCCGATTCGTCCCTTTCCACCTTCCACACCGGCCCCGACCGAGGCTCCCACCACCCCGGATTCACCGGTCAGCAGCAGCAATTCCACCCGGGACTCGTGAACCCCTGCACCTTCACCCGGGACACGGGCCCCTGTCGAAATGATAACCTCCGCTACTTCTTCGACGTCTCGATTGGCAAGTGCCGACCCTTCATTTACGGCGGGTGTCAAGGAAATGGGAACAATTTCGTCACAGAAGAAGACTGTTTGCACGCCTGTGTGAGCAAGAGTGACGACGACGACGATGTCGAATCCGCGGAGGGAGGTGGACCAAATAACGGCAACAGCAGCAACCTTAACCTTGGCGTCATCCAAGGAGGCGAGTCCGTCCTGCCGTCCTCCGACAGCCTGCAAACCCCCGTTACCCCAGCGGAAGAGGTGGAGGAAGGCGCCCCCAAGAGGAAAACTGTACCGGAAAAATGCCTCCTGGGTAACAGTCCGGGTCCCTGCGACTCCGAAGTGGTGCGGTACTACTTTGACACGCTGATGAAGAAATGCCGCCCCTTTATTTATGGAGGATGTTTAGGAAACGTGAACAATTTTGAGACAAAGGCCGCCTGCATAAAGGAGTGTGAAGTTACGTAGAAATGGGGGTCTGCGCTTGCTTGTATATTAAATTAAATCCAATCCAGTTAACTACTCATCGTCAGCTAGCCATGTAAAAAGTGTAGTTTTATTATTAAATATTTTGTTAAAATTTGTACCGTTTTTAATCTTATATATGTATGACATGATACCCACCACGCTGTACTAAATAAATGTATGTATGCTGACTATTTACCAAAGAATCTCGTCTTCTTGTCTCAATTTCGGGAAGTACCTAAATTTCGGGAAAGAGGGCACGTTGCGACTTGTTCTGCCCGAACGGGTGAAAGTCTCCGCTTTCTCTCCTTTACACGATTTCGGCCCAAATCTAGTATGAAGAAATGCATGCTTTCTCCTCATGGTAAGAAGTGTGCATGAAATTACATGTGTGCACATGTAGATTATATAATCCATTCCCAAAAAATCTCACGTACTCACATCTAAAAACCCAACATACTAAAACCACAATTTTCAACAAACCAAACACCACAACATGTCGCTACAGACACACCGATTGAGAAAAACCAGCCAAAATGATGAACTATTTCACCAAAGAAAGTCGTCCCCCACAAAATAATACCCCGCGTTCTCGAATGAATACCGAAACAAGACATTCCACCCCCATCAGGACAAGCCGTTAGTCGTCGTCGTCATGTGTAGTGTTGGTATTTATTGCGTGCCGCTTACAAAAGCGTGTGATTGTGGCGTGGCGTGGCGTGGCTTGGTGTCTATTAAATAAGTGGCACGTCTGGAGAAAGTCGAGTCGGTCGAAACACAATAAGGCAACGACGCAGCCAGAGAGAGAGAGTTACATGGATGGGCAAATAAATGAAAGCAGATGTGGTTAACGTCTCACTATAGTTCATAATAATAACAGAAAACGGAACAAGAAAAGCTGTGGGGAGTCTGTGTCTTGTGTCACTAAATAATAATCACCGTTTACCGTCGCCTGTTTTCTTCTTTTTCTTCTCCTCCAGAAGTCCCGTCTTCTGTTTCCTCTCGCAAACCGCAGAAGAAGAACAAGAACAAGAAGAACTCACCCGTCATAAATAAATACTCCTGTCTGTCTCAACTTGGCCACCACCACCACGCTGGTACTTTCCCCTGCGTGGAATTTGTGGGGCTGCTGCTTTTTCTTCCTGGATGACGATACTATCTTGATGAGATGTCTGCTATAATTTTATAATCCATAATAATCATAACAGCAGCAGCAGCAGCAGCAGCAGCAGCAGCAGCAGCAGCAGCAGCAGCCGTGGTTTACATTTCTCTGCCTGGACGGAACTCATCCTGAGGGAAGAAGGAAGAGGGATCCTCCGGTCGGTGTGTGTTGTGGATGGATGGATGGATTCGAGGGTGAAGAAGACACACACCAAGATTTTATAATGTTTCGTTTTAATTACTTTGGTTTTTGATGGCTCTTCTTTTATTGTGAGGACTCTCTCCTATTCCTCCTCCTCTCATCCATTACGGGGGATTGGTATGTACATCAGGGTCTCCTACTCGATGGATGGGTATCTCTCTCCTCCCCGGCAATAATTATCATACACACACAAACTTGCTACATAAAATTACAATTATATTTGGTCCCAACTTGCCAACTGCAATAACGTGCGATTGACGAGGAGGCTACTCAATTAAGGTTCTTGGTATAATAATAATAATATTCTTCTTCTCCTCAGTCACCCTTCTTCACAATGTCTCTTTCTCTCTGTGTGTCGTGTGTATTTATAATTTTACGACGTCTATCCATGCATCGACTCGTAGTAATTAAATCATGCCTGGTCTCGTATACAATCACACTGTTTTAGAGGCGTCAAGTGATGATGGCAAATGTCCCGTCCCTTGTTCCTCGGTGAAACGAGGCTTCATATCGCCGGGTTGGTTGGTTGGTAAGCAAGCAAGGAAAACAAGCCTAGTTAAAATAAAGGAAGAAAATAAAACAAAAACAAAACCGTCGCTCGCTCAGAGCTTGTTGATGACAGAAGAAGAAGCGGCGGAGGGAAAGTGACTGGGCGACGGACAACACGAGAGGGTGACGACGAATTCGTCGACGACGACAACGACGTGTTGTTGGTTTAGTAGTTAGTGTTTGGGCTTTATTTTTCAGAGCCTGTTGTCGGATGACGTGCTCCTCGTTCGTCGCTAACAATAACAAGAGCGAGGCGAGGTGGGAGCATAGTTGTATGCAAACCAACAAGGAAAATATAACGCTCTCTCTCTCCTCAGTTTTAATTCGGCGTGGTGGTGGTGTTTGGAGGGTCGTAGTCGTTCAGAAGAGAATGAATCGATTAGGGAAACATTTTTAGACAAACTTCATACTCCGCAAGGACGTCGACGTCGACAACGACAGTATAAATGTTATCGCCCAACTGGTCTGATGTACATACATCCATCCATCCATCCACAACTACGTATGACGAACTAACGATAGATGAACATCCATCCGTCTCGCAAACACAAAATGGTGTGTGAATTTATTTGTAGGTAGTGCCTCGCTTTTTCCTCACTTTCCTTCCTCGGCTACTAACAACCGAGTAAACTAAACAACTAAATGTGCCACTGCTTTTCCTCCTCGCTAACTAAATGCTGGATGGATGGATGGTTGAGATGCAAGGAACAACACATTCAAACATTCAGCTCTGTCTGCCTCGTTCATTTCGTACATGGAGATTACGAACCATGTTTGACGATCGATATGCTCTGTGTGGCAATTAAAGAGAAGAGTAGTAGTCGTCGTAGCAGTGGAAAAGAGTGGAGGAGAAGCAAACGGTATGTATTTTTGTTTATTATGTGCTTCCACTTCTTCTTCCAGATTGCCTCATTCCTCAAAATCCCTTCCCTTCAGTCGGCTAACAGGCACGCACACAACTTGACTCTCATCTCATCATCTCATCACATCGCTAAAAACAAGAAGAACGACGAGTCTCAAATAATAAACGAAGTAGAAGAAAGAAAGCAACACGTCTTTTTTTGTTTCGGCTTTCTCCTCCAAAACAACAAGTAAGCGCTTTCACCTGGACGAAGAGAGAGAAAGTCAGAGAAATGTCTCACTTTAGTGGTCGTGGTTTCGAGGTGACTTGTATCAAATTGTGTACGTATTGGGTGGTGAGTGAGTGAGTGAGGAAGGTTGAGACGAGACAACTACCTGAGAAGAAGGAGAGGGTACGAGCTGAGGTGGACCCTGGGGAGTTGGGCACTTAAGTAAGTCGAGTCAAACGCATGTATCACAATTGGTCATCGGGTGATATTGGATGGATGTGGGGCAGGATCCGTTCAAGTTGATGGTCCTCTTCTTTCGTGTCAACTTTCCTTCCTCGGAAGGGATGCGAGTGAAGGGAAAAGGCAGGGTAAATATATATGGCAACAGATAGGCAGGCAGGCAGGCAGGCAATTGTTGGGAAACGATGCCGCCGACGACGACGAGATTAGCTGTGCAATGCAATAAAAGAGTCAGAAAGGGAGAAAGAGGAGGAAGAAGAATGAAATAGTTTTACAAAAGGAGACGACGGGAAATGCAAGGGAACATCTGTAAATTATTGCGGCCTGTAGTCATTTCGGCCAGCTTTGAAAATGTGAGTGGGCATTATTTGTTGGAGAGTAAACTGTTTGCTGATTTTGCAAAAAATAAACCGCAGAGCGACCACTGGACGGAGATAAGCACCACCACAAATAGCGTAGATACAAATACATACGTATGTACGTACCACCGGCTTAATCGGATCTTCTTCTTCCCGTCATCAACTCTTGATTGTACAGATTATTCTTCTCGTAACTTTTTTTTTTACCCTATTCCGTACTGTATTGGGTCTTGTTGACCATTTTCATGGAACGCCTCATCCAATCTGGGGTCAATTTTTGCCATTTTTCATCCTTTGTTGCCCTTATTCCCACCCACCCACGAACGAACGAGCGACACATTTCCAACCACAGGGCTAGATTACATCTCTGTAATTGCATTGTGTTTAGAGAGGAGGTGAACTGATGACCCGTGGTGACGTCTCGTTTACTTCTTCTTCCTCTCGAGAAACTTGAGCCTCTTATTATCTAATCTAATCAAGTCGACAAATAGACAAAAACATTTTATTTACTCGTTTTGTTTTTATCCTCTTGTTGACTACCAGCAGAAGCAGTGGCCACGGAAGCTGTGGGGACATTAATGTTGTAGGATGGGGGGAGGGTCGGGTTTATATAAGATGGGGACATCGAACAACCTTGCGGACATTGTCCTTCACCCTTCCGCGGCCGCTGTAAGGGAGAAAAGACGACTTTGTTGAGGGAGCAGTGGCCGCAGAAGCCGTGGGGACATCTGGGGACATTAATATTGCATAATAACGGGAGGGAGGGGTTTGTATAAGATGGGGAGATGATGCCGACATCGAACAACCGTGGGGACATTGTCCCTCTGTCCTCTGTCCGCGGGCACTGACCAGAAGATATTTTTATTTACAGTCACCAACCAACCAACCAACAATCTTCTTAAAATACATAGTCCAAAAATGTTTTGAATCCGTAATCTCGCAGTCAACAATAATAAATATGAGAGCAATTACATAAATAAGTACTGGATGCATATATATGTGTGGACACTGTAAGGCGAGTATAATTTAGAAGAGGGTGAGGATTTTGAGGGAGAGAGAAGATGAGATTCAAAGTATTTTTAACCACTCTCTCCAGATTGTAAATCCAATGATAAACTCGCCTCTTGTTTATCTTTGCTCCGCCGTTGGGAAAAAATCTCTCGAGGAGGAAGAAACTCTATCTCATTTGGTAAACACGGGGAGGAGGAGATGCTTTCAAGAAATAAATGTCCTTTGTAAAAAGTAGAAGTATTGCCAACCTACGACCTGCCTCATCTGCCATCAAATCCATTACTTACTCTGGTAAATAAGCAAGTAAAATATCATCACCAACAAAATTCAGACGACTTCTTTTATTACTATTAGCTCGGAAATAACAAACATTTGTTGTTCCATAAACAATTCTTCGAGACTTTCGCAAAAAAAAACAGTCGAAATTGGCTGAAAAGTAGCAATCGGGGTTTTCTTGTGTGGGAAGTAATAATAATATGCCGGAAAATTTAGATAACATAATTACTCGAAATAACAAAAAGCGGGACACAATTTTACCTGATTTTTGGAAAAAAGCAAGGATTTGCTCATTATCAGGTCAAATCGGGATGTTATCATGAAT